TTGTATTTTATTTAATTTTTTTGAATGGTTCCATTACGAATTTATTTATTTTTTTTTATCAAAAGCAATAAGAGAAATAAATGAAAAGAATGTTAATTCATTTTCATCAATAAGTTAAATCATTTTTTTTGAAAAATTAAAATAAAATTAAACTAAAATGGACTTGGTGGCAGGGAAAAGAATCAAAAATGGAAAATAATGTCAGTGACAAATGGCTTGTAAATTATTATTTTTTGTTTTTAAAACCATGCTTTCAAAATCGATCAAAATTAAACTTCTTATGGAATGATTGTCTAGTGGCATCTTAGAAGTATTAAGGTTCTTTGTCTTTGAATGATTTCATTCTCGATGTTTGAAACAGTTTCTAGAAAATTGAATGTTGACAAGGTTTATGAACCAATCACTTAAAGATTACGAACCATTTAAGAAAATCTTTACCTCAGATAAGTAAGAAAATGACATTAGCAATGAAAGAATATCTTTGAGATCCCTTAAATTAAGAATTTAAACAAAAATTTCCAAAACTTTCTATTGTCATTCTCATTTATTTTGTAAATATACTTCAAAAGCAAACCTTTGGATTTCTCTGAAGTGTAAGTCAAGACAACTGATCATAAATCTGTTCAAATAGAATGGAATGATTTCAGAAATCTGTTTGTTTTGTTGAAAAAATAGCAACTTGAATGGTTTCTCTTTTTTCTGAATGAAATAAAACTTGTCAATAAAGTCATCAAATATAATTTTAATCAGTTTCGATCAACTTATTGCAAAAACAATCAAATCTAAGCGAATCAGCTTGATTTTGAACAACATTGATGACCTATCTGAGTAGAGCTTAAAGGTTTCTGGATGATCTTAGTTACAACGAACCTTTAGAAATTTTACAATCTGCTTCAGCTTTTAGGTAGCTGGATAGATAATATAAATCCTAAAAACTGAAGCAGTTTAGTTTAAATTTTGTATTGAGCTCTATCAGATGGATTTTGAATCATATTAAGGACAGATAATAATGGAAATGAAATTTGATTCCGTTTATTTTGTAGTTTTCCAACCACTTTTCGGAAGGAAAAATCTTGCAATTTTGAATTTACTGATCAATTAAGTTTTGATTTTTATTGCTAAAATGGATGGATTAAATGAAGAATGATTTTAATATAAAATATATGGAATGAGGTTTGGTTTCTTTATGCTTTAACAACCCAAAAATTAGGGATTCCTCATATTCATACTTCATAATATCAATCACTGATCAAGCATAAATTAAATGGTTCATTTATCTAGTAATCTATTCTAGCGATCATCCTATAAATATGTCTTTCGAAACGATTTCATTAGCATGGGACGATTAACTGCTACGATGTCAATCAATCAAATAAATTAAATATAAAATTGAACTAAGATTTTTTTTTAAAAAAGGAAAAAAGATTCAAATGCAACGAAAAAGTAACGTCAAAAAACTTCTACAAAAATACTTTTTATTTTAAATTAAAATAAAGTCAATCAAAATGCTTCTTTTTGGCTCAGCAATGCTTGTTTTGTAAAATTTTAAAAAGCCATAAAAATAGGAATTAAAAAATTTGCAAAATGCAATAAAAAAATTTGGAAGATAATTAGTGCATAACTGTTCAATTTTTGATATAAAAATAAGTAAAATTAATTCATAATTAAATAAAATGAAAAAGAATATAATAAAATAGAGAGATAGATTGTTGCGAATTGCAAATTTGATGGGTGTGTTGCATAGGCTGGACTGAACTGTTCTGTTAAATTTAACAGAACTATTCTGATAATTTTTTTGGATTTGTTCTGTTAATTTAACAGAATTTTTCAGAACTATTCCGATAAGTTCTGTTAAATTAACAGAATATTTTACAGAACTCTTCTGTTATTTTATTTTTGCGATTCGCATTTTAAAATTTTTGTTTACAGAACTGTTCAGATAAAAACATCAGAATATTCAGCATCGTAATATCAGAACAGTTCTGATAATATCGGAATTCTACTGTTAATTATCTTCACTTTTATTATATTATTATCAAAGGTCATAAAAGCCAGTGTTGATAAAGAAGGTGCCTTCAAGCATAGTCTTGCCCATGACCAAGGCAAGTCATGCAATTTCAACTTGTCTACGCTAGGTTTCACTTTTTTTCAAGACAGGTGCTGATCATCACCTTTACATGAAAGCTACGCGTAGATTTTTGACCTTTTTAATAATTACATCATGAACATCATTCTTAAACACTAACCTTCAGCACTTTGTTAAAGACATTCAGTGGCGTAGTCAACGCGGGTTTTTGGGGCAAAATCCTTTTTTTTTCGAAAAATTTCTGGCTAAACTTCTGAAGACATTATTAATCCAAGATTTCATTCCAAGCACTAGAGTTCAAACTAGCAGCATAAAAAACGGGAGAAAACAACTTCAGGATCTAAAATCTTTTATCAGATAAGGGGTCATTCACTTATTACGTTTTAGCTTTTAAAGGAAATCTAGGATTTTCTAATTTATTTGTTCAAACAACTGATTTTCATTTCTTAGAATATTTACTATTTGGGTCAAGGTTTAAGTATTTGGGTCATAAAATTGTTAAAATTTTTTAATATAGGGCAAATCCGCGGACAATAAAAAGCTCCAAATTTTTGTTTTTCTCAAATTTCTCTTCTATTTGGCTATTTAAGTGATATTTTAATACCAAAACATGCGTATTTCCGACAAATGTACAACTTTTGATAACTTTGGATTTTTCTGGCGTCAATCTCTCCTGCAATCGAAATTTATTTTCAAAAAAAGCAAAAATTTTCTTAATTATAAATCTAGACAGCACCAGACTTGTTTTATAGCATTTCAAATTTAATTTTCTACCACATTCTTTTATCAGGTGTTAAAAAAAGTCACTTAATTAAGAGAAATTAAAGAAAAAGCGTCAATCTCTCCTGCAAGAACACTTTGTTGCAAAACATCAGTTTAGAGTATTTTTTCGTAACACACGATAAATTTTCAAAAGTTATAAAACGGTAAGATCATAATCAGTTGAAATATCTAAATTATGCAGTGACTTAAAAATAATGTTTATTTTTGTTCAAAAATTGTAACGAGTTTTTATTTTTCAAATTTTTCCAAGTAGAGAAATATTACAACTCGCTTTTTGCCAGTTTCATAATTTTGCAGATTTACTCTAGAGTATCTTTTATATTAAAATAAACCGCTCATTTGAAGCGTCTTGGGCTATACAATATTTATGAATCATTTGATTTATTTCTGGTTTGAATAGCTCAGAAATTTTTCAATCATTTGGGATACGTTTTAGGATTTGGGTTTGACAACCAGAAAAATGAGACTACTCATAATTACACTGTGAGTTTATTTATAAATATTTATAAATTTCCGGAATAGTGATCTACATGTGAGGTTTTTAAGTCCAACTCCAGTTTGTGTCAGGACTTATAAACCTCAAGTGTTTTTTTTTTTGAGTTATACAGGAAGTTATATTTGAAAATGACGTTTAGACTTATGATTTAACTTCTTTTTATTATTATTTAAAATAATTTATTAAATATGAAAAAAAAATTAACAGAATTCTGATAAATAACAGAACAGTTCTGAAAAATAATTGCGAATCGCAATTTTATTAACTGAACTTTTTAACAGAACTTTTTCGATATTTATCGGAATTCTGATAATATTAACAGAACAATTCCGATAAATAACAGAATTCTGATAAAATTATCAGAACAGTTCAGTCCAGCCTATGCAACAGAAGCAAAGGTAGGCAAGAACTTAAAAGTTAGAAAGAATAAGAATTGAAAATCAATTAATAGCGAAAATTGTGCAATTTCATCATTTTTATGTCTAAAAAAATCCAATTTTATCATTTTTAAAATGTTTGGTTCTTTTCATTAAGGATCGAATTTAAATATTGAAATACAGTTGGTGAAAATTCTAACAAAAGAGGGAATTTAAGTGATCAACGATAATTTCATGATTTTCTTGATTTTTACTTCTATTTGTGCTGTTTTGTGCTTTCGCGATGATAATAAGTGAGATGTGCTCTCTACGCTGTTTTATCTATAAATTTTTTACAATTTTAAGGAATCTGTTGACTACATCATATGCTATTCGATTTTTTGGACACCATATTTATAGGTTACAGTTTGGCTTGAGCAATCAATTGATTTAGTATGAGGGAGGTTTTTTAAGAGGTTTCAAGTTTTTAATGGCTTAATAGGTTTAGGGATTGTGCATAGGAAGCAAGTTTATCAATATGTTAAGAATTTCAACTTTTTTCCCGAATATCGAAAATATTTTCAGAGTTCAGTTCATTATAAGTAAAGTAAAGATGATTCGGTTATAAGAGACATTGAAATTTAAAGACATGATTAATACATGATCAAAAAATTGAACAAGGATACAACTAGAACTTGAAATCAATAAACCAAATTGTTCAAATAAGCAATTCACCAAAGAACATACTTGAAGACAATGTCTTTTGAAATGGTTCTGAATTAACCCAACGCTTGACATCGAACATATATAAACAACAGCTCACTAAAGTTCTTTGTCTTGATCAATTCTAGATGTATGAAAAGTAAGGATATGTCTTGAAATCATCGAAAGAGATCAAACTTGTTTGAACTAATGTTTCAAAATTTATTCTTATAAGCTCCCGAAATAATAAAGAATTGTTCAATTTTAAAGATTTTTTACTTTATTATCTCTTGTAGATCCTTTAAAGTTATATTAAACAATCCCACCCATTGATTAAAGCTTAGTATTGATATATAGATGAGAATAAATCTTCATTTCTAACTTATCATATTCACAAGATAATTCTAAACCTTCAACCCTGAACAAATCTTCACTAACATAATCACAACACTTAATTACACGAGATAGATTCTAAAATCATCGTTAATGACTAATTTCTCTTAACATTTGATAGAATTTTACATAAAATTAAAAATAAAAAACCAAAACTTTTGCTGTTGATTTATTTAATTCTAATAAAAAGTGGAGGGAAAAGGAAATTCCATTTGTTTGATAAACATGAGGAAGGTTCTTAATTTGTGTTTTGTGAATTGTATATACAATCATACAATCATCAAGTTCATTATGTGAGAGAATTTTTTTTGGACAATTGTAAATATTATTTGAAATGTTGTAAAACGGCAGGGAATGTGAAAAAAATTAAATGTGTAATATCGTGAGATAATGTTTGGTTTTTTTACACCATCAAGTATCTTTTTGTGTATTTTTTATGTCTTTGTGCATGAACGTAATTTCAGTGACTCTTTTTTATGTAAATCATTTTAGTTTTTATATCAACTTTATCTTTAAAAAATCCTTCATAATTCATTAGTTTTTCATTTCAATGGCACATAGTTTAAACTATTCAAGTAAGCAGGTAGTCTTAACAAAAATATCTCTAAAGCTTTCCTTTGCTTCAAGAACATAAATTGGTTATTTTTTACTCTTTCAATTATCAAATTAATTAAAATAAATTTTTCATTTTCTATTTTTTTGGCATTTCAGTTTCAACTTTAAATTATTATTTGAACTAAATTCTATAAATTTTGATTAATCTTGTGCATTGTTTTATAAGAAACAAGAGAAAAGTAAACTTGGACCGAACGGACGTTTTCTCTATGTGCCACTCAATGGTTCCTTGTCACGATCTCCATTATTTTCTGGAGCCCCTGAACTTCCAGCAACTGCCGGCGAAATGTGTGGCTCTGTTAATCTCCTTTTGCTTTTTATTTTCTTCAACATTGTAGCCTGTGATATATATACACATTGGGATTTTTTCAATTGGATAATTTTAGTCATCGGGTTGGGGTTAGACAGGGATTGAACATTTATTTTGTTATAAATAGCTGAGTGAACTTAGTAGATCATTGTTTTTTGTGGATTACTAGTCAAAGGACATTATTCTGTGAAACGTTCAAGATATTCTACCAAAATTAGATCCTCAAGATTCTTGATTCTTAAATCAAACATAAAACTAGCTTCTTAATAAGTCATCTAAAGTACAAGATAAATAATTGAAATCTTAGGCTTATATAAAATCAAACTTAGATCATGAAGATGTTCAGTTTTTGGAAAAACTGATTGACTATACAATGACTGACTATCTGTTTAAGTTTTACTGGAGACTTTTAAGGCTCTTAAACTAAGTTGGATTTCAATCTTACTCAAAACATGTCTGCTTGTTCTAAATAAGAATGGTTTCCGAAATTGGACAAGAAAAAGTACAAGAATCAGTTGCAAGAATGGATCTAGAAATCAAAGTTGTGGATTGAGCCTTTTTTCAAGAATTTATTACAAATAGATTTACTCCTCATCTTCAAATCTCGAAAAATCAAAAAATTAATCTTCACTCAACCATTTTGGAACAAACTTCAATCACTGGGAAGAAGATATATTTCAGAAAAAAGAAAATTTGTTGTGGTAGATCATGTTACTCAACACAATAATCACAGAAAGTGATGGTAAATTATTTATAGTAATCCATCAGAATATTATCATATTTTTGTTCTGTACACAACATTCAAAACACAACTTCCAAATCTTTTTTTTAAGTTAATTAAAAAAATTATCATTTTCTTTTTTCTCCATCAATATTTTTGTGGCCATTTACAAACTGATCAAATTTCAGTCTTGCAAATTTACATACACATTAATTTGATCAGCTTGTAGTATGGCAAATAATTTGAGATTCACATTAATTAAATATAAAACAAAGAAAAATAAAGAAAAAAAAATTGGAACCAATAAAAAATCAATTTTTTTTTGTGCATCGAAAAGAAAAAGGAAATCAAGAGAAAAAATAAATCAGAGAAATAAGAAAAGAATAAGAAAAATTCTATGTGCAACTACTAAGAAGCAAGATTATTATGTATAGCATGCTGAATTATTTTGTTTTAAGCATTTAAAATCAAAGAAAAAAACAATTTGAGTATGTATGATACAGATATATATCAAATATGTGTGTCATAAAGCATTGACGCTTGTGATCATGAATGGATGAGAATGAGAAGTACATAATATGGAATTTGCAAATTATAATCATTACAGAAACATATTTTAAGCCAATTAGTTAATTTTAAGTTTGCTGAAGTCCCTCAAAAGCCGTTGGTTCAAACAATCAAAAATTTGAATCTCAAGACATCAAACTTGAAGCTTTAGATTTAATTCTTTACATATTTAATCAACAGCTTTCAATATTCCTCAACAACATAAACATTTTTGTTCTTTCCACTACCATCAGTTATATAAAACAAAAAATTAAATCCAAAATCATAAAACGTAAAATCATCTTAAACTCTATAAATGATAAAACAATCGACTCACCTTTAGTGCAGATTTAAGAACGACAACATCACCAGGACTTTGCACCCATGGCTCTCCATCTACTTGTACAGGAGTTTCGGAATGAAGATGAATTTTTATGTGACCACCCTAGAATAGAATTTTGATGGAAGTTTGTTAGAAATTTCAATGGAAACTTAAGTTTTACAGTAGGTCTATTAAATTTGATCAAGCGAACCAAAAGGAGAACATTGAATGTTTCTTTGGGGAACCTATAAGGTAACACTAGACCCAAGCTACTATCCGTCCACAAACTATAAACCAAAAGATACTTAAAGTGCCTTGCAGCACAACATACCTGAGCAATCCGCATAGCTGATCTCAAACCGGATTGAATTTGTCCTAAATGCACGACACCTGTTACACCGACGACTTCCAACATTCCATCCCAATGATTTGGTTTTGAGAATGCATCCTCCTTCTCTGGACCCCATGGATTAGCGCCAGATCCCCAACTATAAGAACATAAATCAGAAATTTTCCATAAATCATTAATGAAGCTCACACATACCTCAAAATGTTCAAAATAATGATTCCCTCAACAGGTGGTAATTCAACATGTTTTCCGTCTACTTCCAATCGAATTTCTTTATGCAAGTCCTTACACATCTTACGCCCAACCATTTTGCGCAATCCCATTTTGACATAAACACCTTTATTGTGTAAGCGTGAATTGAATTTATTTGGATTTTCTTCTCGAGCATTGTGGAAGTCTAAGCATAAGTCAGCATCAATACCGATTCCAAAGTAGTTGTTCATGACAAAGATTTGTGAATTGTCCTCGCTCTGTCCACCGACAACTGAAAGGTTTAGAAAGAAAAATATGTTAGTACTGAAGTTGATGGATCAAGTATGGCTAACATTGAAAATGAAGAAGGATTCAACTAATTTGATGCAATTAGCTTAGGCCTTTTTCACTAAATTTACACAATCTATCTATGGACGCATTCTTCGAGGATCTTCGATAAATATTCAATCATGTCTTTGAGTATAAATATATATGTATATTATAAGGGGTAAAGGGGAGGCGTCTGCTCTAAGATATTTATCAAATTTAGTCTTCGTATCGCTTTAAACTCCAAAGTTCTTCACAATCATGCAATAAAAGTAAAAAACATTTGCGAACTAAATGAGGAAATCATATGCAACAATATATGTATATGAACTCAGTATACTTATTATGATCATCATCAGCACATTACTTATTACTTATATATGTATATCATTTAGCTGAGCTAGCAACTAAATCAATGATAATAAATCAAAAACTAAGAGATAAAAAAAAATATATATGATATAAATAGGAACTGATTACACCTAATGAAATAAATTAAATTAAACTTTTAGCTTATATATCATTTCCATTATTCAATCATTGAACACATTGAAAAAAATGCTTGTTATTGCTACACGGCTTAGCAATATACAGCAAAAGAGAAATAAATGAAAACCTTGACAAAGTGGTGTAGTTATGGTTGTTGCATGATGATGATGGTGCTGATTCGATTGTGAATTCGCTTCGGTCTGTTGCTGATCCTTCTTCTTCTTACCAGTTGAATTTGTTGGCGCCTTTGGCGCAACGTCCTCTGGCTTATCTTCTGGATGAAATACTACTGTCCAGCGATCGAGGCGAATCTCTTCTGCATCAATGACATCACGTAATAAGTTTAATGGATCTTCGCCTCCCGTATAGCCAGCTCCCCATCTCAGCACACGTGCCAAGTCGTTACCTAAAATTAATCAACAATTTACAACACTTAATATGGACTTGATTGTTTGATGGACTCACCAGTTCCTAAAGGAACAATTGCACATGGTGGACTTGAACATTCAGAATCTTGACCTACATTATCTAAACATTGTAATACCCAACCAATGGTTCCATCCCCTCCACACACCAGAATTTTATAGTCTTGAATATGACGAAAGACGTACAATCTATAAAGATAAGAATAGAAGTAATCTTCTTCAGTAATCAGTCAATTGAGTCAAAAGCAGTATGTCTCACCCTGGCAATGGACCTCCGTTATCTAAATCAAACACTTGGTAAGGGTTCAATAATTTTCTGAAGCTACTTATCAATTCTAATCCTTGACATCCACCAGATTTAACATTCACAAATACTAGGAGTGGCTTTACACCTGTAGGTACCATACTTGGTTCTATATTCGGCAGCAAAAGGACGAGCAGTTGTTTGTCATCGGATTTCGATTCCCTCAATGCATAAAGAGCCCGTACCTAAAATAGATCCAGTAAACATTAAGCTGGATAGAAAATATAATTTATTAAGTGACTTACAGCCTTCGATGCATTCTCGTATGTGATGACAAGAGAACCATATTCATAGTAAATAGGACCGATGCTCGAAAATTTATTTTCAGAACCCAAAATTTCAATTAAAATTTGCTCATAATTACGCTGTGAAAGACCTAATGGTAAATTTCCAACGTACAATGCTACATTTGGTCCATGTGGATCCTGTTTTAATTGCAAGTAAAAGCGCATTAATTCCATTTGTCTAATTGAATCTTTCGCTAATTGTTTCATTATTTCCCAAGGTCGTTCATTCCATGATAAAACACGCTCACTAACGCCACGATCGAGGAGAATTTCTAAGCATCTATAGTCGTCAACTTGATGATCTTGTAGTCCGAAATTGTTGAGTGCATCGCGAATTAAATCTTTGACAGTTGTATCGTTATCTACTTGAACAGTCACATAAGGTTCTTCTACTTGCAGCTTGCCTGGATATACGCGAACAAATCCTTTATCAATTTCTTTATCACTGCAAAAAGGAATGAGACATGTTAGAGAGAGTTGACATAACAGGATGTGATGAGTTAAGTACCGAAATCTTAAAAATATAGCTGGCCTTTTGCCTTCAATTTTGTGTAAATTCAAAACGGGTGTTGGGTCCTGAATCTGAATTTCATCCCCGTTTGTTGCATATAAATCCGTCAAATAGAATTGCTGTAAAAAAAGTAAGCAATTGTCAAGTAATGGAATTGCAAAAAACATAGCAGCATATTTACATTAGGCTCTCTCGCGATGTGAAAAGCTCGTAAAGCAGTCGTCAATAATTGCTCCAAATTGCATGTTCGAGGAACAGTGATTGCACGAAATATTCGTCTGCGTAATGAACAATTTCCATCAAAGACTTTAATTGTTTCTAAAAAGATGGACATACACAAAAGGAGTCAGTAAGTTTGGATATCCACAAGATAGAATCATGCCTACCTTCAAATTCCTCTTTGTCTTTTTCTTTTTTCTCTTTATCTCTTTCGCCCTTATGCGCCGACTCATTTCGTGCACTGGAACTTCCCATTCCACTCGCCGTTTCCGATTTCCCATATTCATCGTCTCGAAAACGTGCAGCATCTCCGCTACTTAAGTCGTCTGATATGCTGCGTGCTACAAGTGTAAGAATGACATACAAGAAAGAAAAAAAAATAAGGAAGGAAAGGAGATGAAGAGAAAGAAATTATCTATTAAGATTTTATCTCGTCATCAAGCAAGCAATTAAGTAATATATATGTATATAATATTGGTTGTAAGTATAGCAAGTGATAGTGATCTATTGAATTTATTTCCATTCTCAGAGTATTACTTCCATATCTCTTCTAATGGCATTGGTTAATGTATCAAAACAACACACATAGTCAACACACAAATGGGATGTTATCAGTTTGCAAAGAATCTAGTTCTAGACACTTTAGCACATAGTAAGTTTAGTAATTATATCAATTAGTTTATGCACAAGAAGGAAAATGTTAATAAGCGAATATAGATTTGAATCAGGAACGAGATCTACCTCTTTCAGACTTTTTAGACTGACGCTTAAAAATCTTTTGCATTCGTCTTAGCATTTTGAGATAAAATGGTCCATCATACTTCTTATCATAATGATATTTATAGCAATAACTTTCATCCATTAAACTACGATCATTTTGTACATTTGTTATAGGAATAATACTACTACAATCGCATGTATTGTTTCGTGACGGATTTGAGCCTGATGGTGATATTGATGATCGTGTTGAACCAAAATCGGATGGCGTGTCAGGAAACAAATTCTCATCATGTCTTCTCCTTACTATAATATTCTGTCGTGGTGTTAAATAAGGACCACACGTTCCTTGAAACGATACACTCCTATTTACATTTACGTGTGGATTCTTTAAGAGTCTAAGTGGTAGATTATTTATAGGCGGCATAAGATAATTTCTAGCCTTTGTGTAGTGATGATTATTATTATTAATATTATGAGAATGATGAGTATGGTGATGATGATGATGATGGTGCTCAAATACATCATCTACCGCAATATTATCGTAAAATGATCTATCACTCACACTTTGTTGACTCTCAGTTCCACTATAATAGGAAACTGCAGCCGAGTGAGACGAGTCACTAGACTTTCGATGAATTACATTATACGTTTGCATAAAAAGATCGCTATCACTATCACATAAACTTATAGTACGGAGTTCAGCTAACAATAAATAATTAATTAAATTATAGATACATAATTTTTTTTATGTGCGGCAAAAAAGGAACATAATGAAAAAATAAATTTATTTTTTTCAGAAGCCATAAAGGATGTTATAATAAAGTTTCGATTGTAAAATAAAGAAAAAGAAAGAAAATTAAAATATTAAAAAAATAAAATTGTGGAAGTAAGAGGAACAGAGGTGATGTGGAACATTTAGGTGAAATGTTTGCCCCATTTATATAATAATACAGATTAAAAGCATGTGACATGAAACTTACGACATGAATATTCGCGTTGCATTGGAATTTGTTTATTTTTCGCTTGGACACCTAATATTGCTTCCATCGGCACTTCAGTTCGCGGAATCGAAACAGCATGTGGTGGTAAATAGATTGGCTGAAGAGCACCGAAAGTGCATTCTTGAGAAACATAATGACGACAGCCTCCGTGAGTCGTAAAGCCGCACCATTCGCAACGATATCCTTAAAATTAAATAAAGTTTCGTCAGTTCTAGTTTGAATAGTAATAGATTATAAAGTTTGGGGTATCGAGCTATTAGTAAGTGACTATGTCAGCGAGAAAATAAGGTATTTGTGGCTCAGTGGTCAGACAAAAGACTGATAATCAATATCCATATCAAGGTTCGATTCCCATCCAGAGCTGATTGTCATACATATGACTTGGATCCCCCCAAAGTTCTCGACATAAAACAATGTGAGGATTATGTTACCTGTTAGACATTCCGATGACCAGCACGTCTTCTTACAGGCAGCACACTTAGATGATTGTGGCAAGTTCCCTTCACGCCAATGATGAACATGCTTCACGCTACTCAAGTCCTTTCCCGGAACATACGTTGCGTTCTCCTTGCAATCAGCTATGGCAAAATCTTGACATTCGATATGCGCATAGTATTCGCATACTAAAAAGTAAAGGAACATTAATGATTATTAAGTTTGAATGAGAATTGTGTAGCTTACTCAGGCAATGAACGGCAGGAACTTCATCCAATCGTTTACGACATACATTGCAGAATTTTCTCTTATGATGCGTCGGTTCCGACCAGCAATGTGCAACGGGATTTTTAATCAAGAATGGTGCGATTCCAGAGCATGGCGTGACGACATTGGTGACACATTTCTCATGAAGAATGAAATTGCAAACTGCATCAAAAGAAAAGAAAGAAGAAGAAAAGAAGTATTATTCTACTATGAAGGAATCATCGACTCATCTTCATCTATTTTTATTTATGTATAAATAATTTCAAAAGTGTGAGTGTGTATACATAAAAATCTAAATAGATCTTCCAGTCTTTCTCTATTTTTTTTCTCCCTTTCTCACAACGATGTGTTGATCTATTTTTTTCCCTTGAAAATGTGACGTATGACGTCAACAAAAACAGCATGCATTTCTATCTGTATATGACATGCGCACATGGCACGTTACTTTTTATACACATTTACAATCTTTTTTTTTACTATAATTTGCCTTCCTTACTGATGTTTTTGCTCTTAAATGCATTACATTACTTGAGAAAGATATGAAAGTTTTGATCAATTTCGATTATAATGAGTGACCATCGATAGGATAATTGTCATCAATCATGCATGAGTTTAGTCACGTTTTTCCGATGAAGAAAATCTGTTTTTCACAATGAGAAAAACTTTTTTGTTTTTTTTTTTGTTTGAAAAAGATGAAAAATTGCAAAACGAGGCCGTCGATGTGATAGACAAGAAAACACAAAAAGATGTAGAGATCGACGTAATTTCCGTTTGCTTATTAGTAGAAAAGAAAAATATACAAGTTGGATGATGTGAAGGACCTAATGTGCGTCATAGTTTAAGCAATTAATGAAAAATCAACAGTGGGTTATTTCCTTGAGTATGCTTATTGTTAGCTTTTCGCAATGATTACGCTTCAACTCCCCTCCGAAAAGAGAAAGAGAGAATATATATTTGTGTGTAGATAAAGAAGAAGAAGAAGAAGAAGGAAGGAAAATAATGAACAGAGAAAGAAATGTGTGTCATGAATGATGCAATAACTTTTTACGCTCAAGCAGGGGTCAGTCTTTAATGATGTCTAAGCTTCTGAGAACCCTTCTAATAATCTCTTATTCTCTTGCTTGGTCATAAAGGATGATTAAAGACATTTCTATCTTCCAAAACCTCTTAGTATTATTTGACACAGTTTACCAGACACAAGTTCCTTCTGTAAAAAGCCATTAATATGTTGGGGTCAAAACTTTTTTGCGATCTTAAGGCAATGTTATTCATTTTGTATAGAATCTATTGAAAAATACTTTTAAACCTAAAGGGGCCATTCACTTATTACGTAACGCTTTTAGGGGGAGGGGGGGTCTAAGATTTTGTTACGGTTCAAACAAGGAAATTTTTTTTCATACAAATTTTGTTACGAGGGGGGGGGGGGGTCTAAGAAGTCATTTTTTCGCGTTACGTAATAAGTGAACAGCCCCAAAGGCAATAGGGTGATTCGACTTTCGTAAGCAACCTAGTCTCCTAAATTATGTTCTTTAGAATCCAGATAGAAGTTACCTTGACGGTAACATATCCCTCAAACCAAGCTTCGTTACTACCTCGGTGGAATGAACTACAAACTTTCAACTTAATATGGTCAAAGTTCAAACTCAGATCGAATCGGAAGTAAAGCTAATCCTAAGTGGAACACTAGACTTGATATCTAGTTAATAACTATACGCAGGGTCGACAAGTGACTTATTCTAAGGAATATTACAAAGAAAATATCATTAGTCGACCCTTTGGGATCTTTTGACTATAGAGACTAGATATTATCTTGTACTTTAACTTTGAACTTTCAAAAAAAAATAGATTTAATTCAAAAAAGATAACATCAGAACCACAAAGACTTTAAGAAACACTGACCAAGACTATAAATGTCACTTTTCAGTATTTAAAAATCCAGATATCATTTATGAACAACCTCAAAGCTCCTTTCATCAATTCAATTTCCATTTATTCAACAAAATATTTTTTGAAGATGACAAATGATAATGACGATGATCATCATGATTATTGTAAAACTACTATTGATTTACTCTGCTCTGCTTCTTATTCCTTGCTCTTCTCTTTTTCATTCTTTCTTTTTTCCGAAACCTAAAGATGAAGTAATCTAAAAATAAGTTTCTTCTTCTTACTCCTTATAGCGACTTGTTAAAGAATTCATTGATTGAGATATTTTTAGTCATTCGATAGATATTCTTCTTCTCCTTCCTTTTTTTGCGATATCGATGCTCCTTCTTATCCAAAATGTTTCATTACATCCATCTTTCCATCTATGTCTTAATATGTAACATGTTACATCGATGTCTTTATATACATAGGACTTTACATACATTATATGTGAAGGAAATGAACAACATTTGAGGAATGAGAACACAGTTAGAAATAAAAGATATGTTGTTGTCACAAATGTATATAGCACTAAAAATGTCATGCGAAAATAGTGAAGGTAAGAAGAAAAAATTGGAATTTTCTTTCTTTTTTTTTGCAAAATTAAAATTGTACAAGTCTACATATTGTTAGGAACATGATTTTCAGACAGATCTAAATGTGTCACTCTATAAAAATATCCTCAATGTTAATAAAAACTTTGCTGTGAGGTTTGAACTGGGGGATTTTATAAGATTTTGTTTTAAATGCCAAAGGATTAACCTAAATTGAGATGTTTAGTAATCTTGCATGAATATTATTTTTTATGTTTTTTTTTTGGAATTGATGGAGTCTAGATTTTAGGTTCTCTTTGATAAAATCTTTTCAGTTTGAATATCGTGAAACTAATTGTGAGGCTTAATAATTTTTTATTGCAGTCTCTAAATCATGAAAAATCCAATCATGTTTAAGGAAATTCTTAGAATTAGACATTCTCAATAAAACTATGTTTTCGGATTGCTTAAAAATTAAATTGAACGAAAATTGGATTCAAAGGATTCTTACGGTAACAGCTTAAATCTTCATTTCCTTTAAACATTGGAGAGTATTTATGAATGATCACAAAACGACTATGTGACAACATTAAGAACTGTCTTGAAGATTTTTCAACATTTAAAAATCTTGCTAGACTCAATTGAATAGGTCAGGTACAAATATAGCTGTAACAAGGAGATGATCAATCAATGATCAAAAAATCTACTTTTTTCAATGTTAAACAATACAAAGAATCAAACTATAAATTTAGATTAGATGAGTTGAAATTAAGCAAATCAGGATTACGAAGATAAGTTGTTTTGCTTAAACAGAACCAATCATTGGTTTTCACTCTTGAATCACGGCGTAGAACTAATCAAAATGATTCAAACTGAACATCATGAACCATTTTCAAAACTGAATCTGTTGTAAATGATTTATCCTGTTTTGTTAAGTAATGTCTTACAATAGATAATTCATTCATGAAAACTTTGGTTCGACTCCTATCAGACTCGCTAATTTTTCAATAATTTCAAAGACTTCTTCATCCATCACTAGAAGGATTACAAGAAGTTCTCAAAATATCTCTAAAACACATCTGAAGAGAACAGAAGTAAATCCTGTTTAATGCCAGTTTCCATCGAATTTAAATAATTGATCGTAGATAAAATAAACCAGCAATACTATAAAGGGACTTGTTTTATTTCCATTGTCAATCACCTAATATGCATGACATTACTTCAAAAAAAAAAAAGAAAATATTCATACATAGGAGTGGTGGCAGCAGCAATATAATGTCATATCGCTTTCTATTCTCGAAAAAAAGAAAAACACAGAAAACAAAAACGGAAATACAATTTTTTTTTTGACATGATCTAAAATTGCAAAACAATTGCATGTAGTAAGGAATTTTCTGCTGTTGTTTCTCATTTTTACATTATTTTAAAATGTAGGAATAAGAAATAGACATCAACAACATTGTATTCGATATTGAGTCGATATTTAAGAAATAAGAAGAACAAGAAGTCACACGAAGAAAAGAAAAAAAAAAATAATAAAGTGAAGTTAGTAAGTAAGAACGTAAAGAGTATGAAAATTGGAAAATTTCTTTTCCTTTGGAAAATTACTGTATGACAAACAAATGGAAAATCAATTTTTCTTCTCGTTCCTGAATTTTTCGATACTTTTTCCCGTCATTAAATTGGCAATTTTATTGTCAATTTTTCTTACGGACTCAATGAATTTTAATCATCCAGGAACACTTTATAACTCATAATAGTAAGGCATTAGGAACATCTTTCAGGGTGGATTAAGTAGATTCAATGGAAAACATGAATTTCCTTCTTGAATGTGCAATGGAAATGGAAGCTGTGTGTGAAGAGATTTTTTCCACTGTTTAATTCGTACATAGAGAAAAAGATGGAGTCAAAAAAGGAGAGAGCGGAGAACTGAAATGTTTAAATGACTTCTCTTTTTTTTGCAATTTTTTTTTTCATTCCATAAAAAATAAATTTTTCGGCGATGGACGTAGGGGATGGAAAAAAATTAAGATAATGTTTTTTTTTGTCAAACGAACCTTCACATATGTATCCTTGTCCAATTAGGCCCCACAATAAATCCGAACAATGATGGCAATAAGTCGGTTTGTGAAATGTTTTCTTTCCAAAGGAATGTCCACCATACGCCATTTTGTTAAGGTTGTTAAGATGCTCCGTTTGACTGGTTTGAATTTTGAATCTTATTTTAAGATGATGTGACTGTTTTTGGGAAGAGGATGAAGGTAGATGATTAATAAGGAACAATGCTCGAGATTATCAGTAATCTTAAGTATTTACAGGTGCTTTAGATGATGCTTATGATCGTCGTTCGTCGCGTTGAGAGCTTTTTGAGATTACTTTTTTATCTTGTTCTGTTGCTTTGTGCCCTTCCTCGTTATTAGTTTAATGCACACACAACACCAGATCAGTCAGAAAGAAATCGAGAAAATTGTTACAAAAAAATTGATTATTTGCAAAAATTAAAACGATTTTTCCCCGTCCTGTTTGTCTAGTGTGTATGGTTAATTTAGTATTATATATTTAATGAAGGTGTTGGATATGATGATGATGATGATGATGATGATGGAGCAATGAGTTCACAAAGTGCTGTGTTGTGCCGATTTTCTGCGCCCTTTTCTAAAACTCTCACGCGACTTGAGTTATATATATGAGCACAAAACGGCATCATTCTCCTCCATGTTTTCAGTCATTAAGCCACAATACATCCATCATTGCATTATTGCGTCGAGCGTTTTCTAGCGAGCGCGGGGGGGCTGAGAGCCTTTGCCACAACGGAATTAACAATTTTTTTTTTCCGAAAACAAAAAGGCTCTTTCGGAACGCACAAAATTTTCACAGTCAGTTTTATCCTTGCTCTTCTGATACTCCAATTTCATGCATTAAACCACCTTTTTATATTTTTTTTTTTGTATGTTCGGGAATAGAATAAGAAAATGAGAAAAATTTTCATTTTTCTTGTTTTAAGGAACAGAACAAAAAAATTAGATTTTTTTTCACAATATAAAAAAAATGAATTTTTCTTCTTTTCCGTTTGAATTGAAACTTTAATCTGAATCTGAATTCTTTGCACTTAGAAATTTTTTGCTATTACGAGGCTTACAAAAATTGAATATATTTTCACTACAAATTTCTCTTTTTTCATTTTCTTCTTTGCCTTTACATTCTTTTTTTCTTTCTCATAAAATTTTTTTTAAGCTTCTGTATCATGAACCATTTTTTTCATTTCAATTTTTGCAGCACAAATCGGACCTAAATCCTATAAATTTGATATTCATTTGATAGTTGATAGATTTAACTAACGATTTATTGCAATTCTGACACGTTTAATGCAAAAGGAACACAAAAATGATAATTATTAAAATAAACTACGTACGTAATGTATTAGGAAAGACTCTTCTTCTGCGAAATTTTCCTCGTATCAACACACCTTTTCCATATTTTTTCTTTCCTCATCTATACTGCCATTTCCAATGTGTTTTTTTTTTCTTTCTTATCGTACACTTCCAACAAATCTTTCGTTGTGGATGTATTGTGCGAGTATTTTCATCAAACAGATACGCTAGAGATCAAGTCACTTGTGCATGTGTGCGACATTTTCTTTTTTTTTTGGAAAATTCATTGGAAAATTTATCCGTACTCATGCGTACAAGACATTCCAATACATGCTTTTGAGTCTGTCGATTTTAATTAATTTAAGCGGACTTGCTTAATGATTTTTCGTATCAACTTTGAATTAATAAACTAAATTGTCAATGACAGTTGATGTGGTACCTAAAAATAACCCAAAACCACTTCCAGTGCCCGTCCAAGCAAATTCAAATCAACAGTTATTTTTTTCTATATCAATTTCACTTTATTTTATCAAACGGGATTAAAAATAGTTAAATATCATTAATAATTAAGGGTAAGCACGCGTAACACAAGGTCAAAGATGCTCAGTCAAGTTCATTTTGCATCATTTGGATCAACAATCTCGAAAGTATTATCCGAGTGAGTTCTGACTCGCTTATATTCTTGATTAGCTTGATTACATATTGCTTTAAAAGCTTCATCAGTCGATGTAAGGAAACTACTGGTGTCTTGGATCTGTATGGCTTGTTTTTGTGCGTCGGTTAGTGGATCGAGATGTGGAATTAGCTGTTCAGGCATTCCAATTTTACCTGAATTTAATACTAATTGCTGACTAAGATTTAAGCATTCGGCAGTAAGGTCAATCACATTTGAAGTCTGTAAATTAGTCTCATGATATCCAGCAATAAATTTCAAATTCTGATAAAGCTCAATTTCCATATCACGAAGCATTGCAAAAGTTTCGAGGAGCTTTTTATTTGATGAACTTAAATGCTGATTCTTTTCTGTTAAAACGGCTTTCCATTTTGCAAGTTCCTCAACCATAAGACTAGATGCCAGAAATTTACTACGCCATACTTCAACCTGTCCAGCTAGAAACTCAATTTTCTCTGTATTTGAACTTAAATGCTCAGCAATCTTCATTTTATCTTCTGTTAAATTGCTGACTTTGGATTGTATATCCTCGCCAAGACAGTGGACTAATAATCCTTTCAATTCACTATTAACTTGCATCTGGAACTTTAATTGTGTCTCAAATAGATCTCGTTCCTTCTTCAACTGTCCATATTCATCGCCAATAACACTTCCCGATTTAATGCTAAAATTATCGCTGTCGTTCAATGTTAATGATGTTTTTGTTATGTTCATGTGACGCACTAATTCATTCAGATCCAAATTATTCTTATCAATTATTTTCGATTTTCTAATTTTATTATTGCCTTCCTTGAATGGTATAATTGGTGACACACAAGCCTAAAAGAAACGTCATAGATAAGAGATATTAATGTCGTTATCAATATTGGAGTGTAATGTATCATTAATTAATGCTTAATATTGTTGGCGCATTTTCATTAGAACCGATTGTGATCAGCTACGCAGAAGTGACAGTCTTGAACTGTATGACAAGTCTAAGGATATGCATTAAAGTGATTTCTGCGAGCTCTTGTGAAGTATATTGGAAATGTCAAATTTTGATGATTTTTGAGGATTTGAACTTAAGTGGACTCGGGTAATACTCTGCTGAACTGTATGACAAGTCTAAGGATATGCATTAAAGTGATTTCTGCGAGCTCTTGTGAAGTATATTGCAAATGTCAAATTTTGATTATTTTTGAAGGATTTGAACTTAAGAGGACTCGGGTAATACTCTGCTGAACTGTATGACAAGTCTAAGGATATGCATTAAAGTGATTTCTGCGAGCTCTTGTGAAGTATATTGCAAATGTCAAATTTTGATGATTTTTGCAGGATTTGAACTTAAGTGGACTCGGGTAATACTCTGCTGAACTGTATGACAAGTCTAAGGATATGCACTAAAGTGATTTCTGCGAGCTCTTGTGAAGTATATTGCAAATGTCAAATTTTGATTATTTTTGAAGGATTTGAACTTAAGAGGACTCGGGTAATACTCTGCTGAACTGTATGACAAGTCTTAAGATATGCATTAAAGTGATTTCTGCGAGCTCTTGTGAAGTATATTGCAAATGTCAAATTTTGATGATTTTAGCAGGATTTGAACTTAAGTGGACTCGGGTAATACTCTGCTGAACTGTATGACAAGTCTAAGAATATGCACTAAAGTGATTTCTGCGAGCTCTTGTGAAGTATATTGCAAATGTCAAATTTTGATGATTTTAGCAGGATTTGAACTTAAGTGGACTCGGGTAATACTCTGCTGAACTGTATGACAAGTCTAAGGATATGCACTAAAGTGATTTCTGCGAGCTCTTGTGAAGTATATTGCAAATGTCAAATTTTGATGATTTTAGCAGGATTTGAACTTAAGTGGACTCGGGTAATACTCTGCTGAACTGTATGATAAGTCTTAGGATATGCACTAAAGTGATTTCTGCGAGCTCTTGTGAAGTATATTGCAAATGTCAAATTTTGATGATTTTAGCAGGATTTGAACTTAAGTGGACTCGGGTAATACTCTGCTGAACTGTATGACAAGTCTAAGGATATGCACTAAAGTGATTTCTGCGAGCTCTTGTGAAGTATATTGCAAATGTCAAATTTTGATGATTTTAGCAGGATTTGAACTTAAGTGAACTCGGGTAATACACGGATGGAACACTTTAGTTCCATTTTGTGGAGCAAATATTTTACATAGAATAAATAATCATTTGATCTTCAATCGATGTCGAAGGAAGATTAAATGGTATCATATAATCATGACTATATTCAATATTTCAATGATCATTCTTCTAGTTCCACTTTATCGTACTCACCTTATATGGTTCCATCAGTATTAATCTTGGACTTTTATTTTTCAGATGGATTTCTGACGATTTAGGTATCAATCTAGGAATTAGATAAAACTTCTTTCCATTAGCCTTAACTTCGCGTGGAAAATTAAACACTGCTTCCTGATTATCAGACGAATTATAAAGTAATGACGATGATGATTGGATCTTTTTAGACAAATATTTTCGTCCTAATTTATCGACTTGACTGTCAACAGATGAGCGTGATACCTTCCTACTTGATTCAGCCACAACTTCTGGATATTCTGTTCCATCGCCTTGTGTTCTGACCGAGTGATGCATTTTTTTATTTTTTAAATTCTATTGAATTTTGAAAACTTTCTAAATATTTTTATTAAAGTCGTCGCTCAGTAATTTGTTGACAATCAGTAATCTAGTCATTAATGATTTAAAACATTTACAGACGTTAATATTTGGGATGCATGCGTGGCTGTTACTTGAGATTTTCTGATTCACATTGAATTTCAAATTTGAACTTGTGAGAATCACATACTTCACAAGAAAAGAATTCAATAATTTGAAATTCAAATTTATAAAAATAATAAAAAAATTTGAGAGATAAAATTAAGGCGCAATAATATGTAATAAGACTCTTATAGACATAGCATGAGCAGTAGTCAGTCAAATAAAAATAAAGCATAAATCTAGTACAAAATACAAATGCAGGTCCGTTGCTTGATTTCCCCTTCCATCACACCTGTTCAGTTATGATTAAGTTTCTCCTAACTCCGTCACTCTATTTATTGTATCATTCTAGAGTTACACACCCTAACAATCGCTTATTCATAAGTTTTTCTGTTTATTTAGATTTTAGTTCAGTTTAAATCACAAAGTGCTCTTATTCATTCCTACATTCATTCTCTTAAGCTGATCATTCTTATTGGATAATTCTTATAGTTTTTAAAAGATGAATCCATATAAATCTGAACGAGCTTTAGCATATCTTTATGTTATTGGATGTTTGTCATCACTACTTACAGTCATTTGTACATCCATATTGTGGCTCCATTGGAGAGTAGTGCTCAACACTTGTGCTGGCAATTTTCAAACATATCCAAGCTATTACGATGAAAGAGATTGTGGATGCTTCCTTTATGCCAGTGACACATTAAGCTACTTTGTTGGAAGTAGTGTTGGCTGGTGTTATTTTGGTGCTTTTGGGCTGATTCTACCTCTAACGTTCTTCTTCATGCTCGGCTGTTTTCACGTTTTTAGAGTTTGTTTTAGAAATGAAGGAAGACCGCGAGATACAAAGTTTGAACATTCACAAAGGTAAGTAATTCAGTGACTCTTAAAGGATTCTGAAATTTATTTCATGTGAATGGTTTTATAGATCAAATGAAGTCATGCACTTGACAATCGAACAGGAGCTTGGAGAAGGAAATCCAATTTCTCCTACATACTGGATGCCAACCACTGTCATCGCTAGTTTAATGTTTATCTATTCCCTCATTCATGCCATCATATTGACTGATGGTTTCTGGAAAACTTGCAAGCAGTATAGAAGTAGAATTGTTAAATACACAAATGCTCAGGGTGGGCAAATGGTGAGTATGGTTGATCTTTGTGATATTTGTTCAAGTTAATTAAAGCAATTATTGATTCAAGTGATAAATATGAGTCAATATTAACGGATATTAAGGTTTTAAAAAATAACGGGTTTTAATATTTTAAATTATCGCATCTTTTTGTAGGGCGAATTAATAATTTAAATATTTTGTGACTGTTAATTTTTAAAATTTCTGTAACCGTTAATGTTCAAATTGTTTAAATAATTGATTAACTCTAGAATGACGTCATATGTGAACGAACCTCTAAATTGTTCTTAATCAATTTTTCTAACAATCGAATCTAATCGATTAGGTTGGCGTTCTACAGCATCGATTGACATGTGGCGCTATATTTGATTTCATGGATTATTTGCACGAAGATCTCTCATATGAACGTCGTCGGGATTATCGAATTAATAGCGCTATTCCTTATTATATCTCATTGTTTGGAGCTTGGATTGCATGTATATGCTTGGTGGGAATTATAATTATAAACATTCGACGATATGTTGACACCAAACGGATTCGAATTTAATAGAAGAAATATTTTCCACGATAAATTCAGGTGTACAATTACGTCCAATCATCGCTATTCCGTAGAGAAATTTGACAAAAGTATTTTACATGAAATTCCATAGTTAAATGTTTAAGAAATCAGAGAACTAAAAAGTATTTACATTTTAAAGTTAAGCTGAAATGCGAAGTGGGTCTGATTTAATCAAGATCAAATTCATATAATTTAAGACAAAATAACGTACAAAAGAGCAACGAAAGATAAATAAAATTCTGTGAAACGATTTGCCTTGACCCTCCACAACGAGATCAATCATTCCATGTGTAATTTATGACAAGAATGCACAATTGTTCATGATCGTACTTTACTTTTTTTTTTTAAAATAATCATTTTTTGACTATACACAATGTTCTTTTTTGAATAAATCTATTTACATTTAAATGAATACAAAACTTAATTTAAAGCATTTTCATTAATTTTCCAAACGATTACTCGTCTCATGATTCTTTTGTGTACATACAGTTCATAGGTATTTCCTGCCTTCTTTGGAAGCTAGACAATTTTTTGACAGCAATTTGTGCAATTTAATTGTGTTTAACTTGTTAATTTTAGGGGTTTGATGTTCTTCATGATCGACATTTGTTTTTCAGCAGTTGGAGTGATACACGAGTCTCTTGATTATCAACGCTTTTTTGAAATTCAAATTTGACAAGTTCAAAATCTTAGTCTAAAGTTTGAATCTTAAAAGTTCGTTATTTTTTAAAACCATAAATCCAGAATTTTCGAAAAATTAAGCTAGTGCCAATCGGCTTTTATTAAGTGAAATAAAATTAAGTACAGCATTCACCACAAGTTTAAATAATCAGCAACTTCCCGTCCCCAATCTTCAGCCATTATAGATGTAATATCATCGTAAACCTTCAACATAATGCCAAAATCAGAAGCATCTTCCAAAAACTTTTCAGGTTCTTCTTGATCTCTCAAATGATTACGTACGATTCCAACAAATTCAATTTGAGGCGCAACTTCCAAAATATCACCGATGAAGGTCTTAATTTGTCCATACCAATCTCTAAATTCGACATTCAAATGAGTTAATTTTGGGCACTTTTGAACGATTGATGTGACATATTTAGCACCAAACTCGCTTATGCTCAACTTTTCGACATTCTTCATATGTTCAACAGTAAGTTCACCAAAGTTGAGTTTTTCGTTCAAAATGAATAGACCCAAAACCTTGAGTTTCGGTAGCTTTGCTTTCAAAATATAAAGACAAATCGGTGACTTCAAAAATAGATGTGTTAAGTTCTCAAATTCCATGTCAAGCATTGGTATCCGTCCAGTATATTCATAGCAATAGCTTGAAGTTAAGCACAACTCCTTGATATTGTTGTAATGGCTTAAAAATGTTTTTAAGGCTTTCAACTTTAACTGACACATGAAATTCAATCCTAAATGTTGCAACTTTTTATTGCTGATCAAGAACTCGTTATTTACTGCACTAATTTTCTTTATATTTAGAGTAAGACGTTCGAGATTCAACAAGTTTTTCATGATTAACATTGCATAATCATAAGAATCGAAGCATCTTAGTTCCTTCAAAGTTGTTTGATTAAGCAAAAATTGCTTGCAGTTTTCATCATTAATTTCATTTGTCCAATCAGGCTCATCTCTATCCGGTATTATCAATTTTTCCAATTTCCATTGTACATTTTCCGGGAATCTCAATTCGTTGAAGTCGTGAATGTAAACATTCTTAATACTTGTTATATTTGCAAACATTTCAAGAATCTAAAGATATAAATACAAACAGCTAGATATTCAAAAAAGTTAATAGCAGTCTATAGACTTACATTATACTGATTATCTTGAAAGTATCCAATGCGCAGCGTATTCAACTTTGAGCGTTCGTTCTGTTCCAATTTCATATTTGAATTCATGAAGAAATGTTCGTCATAAAAACGATCCAAATCAAAATCCAGGACTTCTAATGAATTAAAATTAGATATTATGTATTGTAGCATAGTTGGGCATCTCTCTCCACTAGTAATTCTAATTTTCTTTATTAGATCCTTATGCTGATATTTTGAGATCCAGTAAAGTTCCATTGCACCCATTGAATGAAGTACTAATTTTTGATAAGGATAATGGATATTGCTCGAGTTTAAAGTCAGTGTATTTTCAACGCTGAGCCATTCATCCTTTAATAATCTTGCTGAATTGTCGATAATATTCTTAAACGTCTTACAGACAAGTCTCAAATTCAATTTTTTTGGTATTAATGCAAAAATCTCTTCCAAAATCGTCTCTGGAAGTTTATCTAAAGTTAAATCTAAAAGAAAGATGTTTGGCTGGTTACTTTAAGCATTAAAAAAGCTTAATTATATTACCTGTTTCCATCGTTTTTAATTATTTTAAATTTAACAGAATTTAAAGACAAAAATGTGTTAAAAGTTAATCGTTGCGTTATTCAAAAACTTCAGTTCATTTCAGTTCAATTTATTACCAGTTCAAAACTTTGAATTTGAAAAAACCGTTACATTTTTACTTAATTTGTATTAAGACAATTGTTTTTAAGTACATAAATGAATATGTTCAACACCTTCTAGTCCCCACTCATCAGTTAACATTGAATTAAAAATGTCATATGTTTTCAAACCGATTTGAATATTTGATATTTGATCCAATAACGTTTCAATTGACATTTGCTGCATTAATAAATTGTGTTTATTAATTCCCAAGCATTTCATATTATTTGTGATTGCCAACATTTCATTGATGCTGCTGATGAAAGAATCATTTTCAGCATTCCATTCCACAATTTTTAAATTCAATTCAGTAAGTTTTGGACATTTTGAAAGCACTACGATTGCATCCTTTACTGTCTTCAAATCAAGACTCAACTTTTCAACATTTTTCATACTTTCCTGAGACAGTTCTGAATAGTCATAATCTTCATCATAGTAAAAGCATGCAATTGCTAGAACCCTTATGTTAGGTATGTTAGCATTTAAAAATGGAAAAGCTTTTATGCCCTTCAGCAACAAATGTGATAAGTTTTTAAGTTTTATATTGATTAATTGCTTATAATCAAGTGTCCTGCTTTCATTACTTGATCTGATACTTAAAAATTGAATATTATTGTAGTGATTAAGGACAGTCTCTAGAACATTGTTTCCTGTATAGTCCATCCATATATTTATATTCAAACGTTTAAGTTGACTATTCCTTATCAAGAATTTGTCATCCAAATTGTCGTATGAATCTATACTCAAAGTAAGACTCTCAAGATTCGATAGATTTTGCATGATAAAATACGCAAAATTAATGGAACCAGGAAACGATAATTTTTTCAATGTAAACTGCTGACTTTCTAAGAATTTTTTGCAGTTGTCATCATCAATTTCGTCTGCATTTGGAATAATCAACTCCTCAAGTTGCCATTTTACCTTCTTCGGAAATATTGTCATATACCAAGTTAACAATTTTTTGATTGTCGGTATATTCGAGAACATTTGCAGGATCTACTAAATGGATAATGATTAATTAAGTCAGGAATTAAGCTAATATCATGTAAACATGACGTATAGACCTTACGTTGTTTGGATGATCAGGACAAAAGCCGACTTCTAACGTTGTTAACTTAGACAACATGTTTGGAGTTAATTTGATTTTGACATCAGAATCATCAATTTGATGAAATGCATTATATGTATTGAAACACAGCTTTTCCAAGAAATTGAAACTTGATAAAATATACTGGATAGAATCAGATGATTCTGAGATGGAATTTACATAGCATTTTATCATAATTTCTTTAATTTGATCTTTGTGCTGATAACCAGACATCCAGTCAACAAATTCTTCACCCATATATTCAATTAATAACTTTTGATAGCTCTGATGAATTATGCTAGAATCAACATCCAGAACACTATCTATTACTAGCCATGTATGCTTCATTATCACAGTAGAATTATCGATAATATTCTTAAACTTCTTACAGACTAGTCTCAAATCCCTATAGTCTGGTACAAATGAAAATATATCTTCCAATATGGGTTTTGGCAATTCATTTAAAGCTATATCTGAAAGTTTGATCAAGGAGTATCTTCAAAGCTTAAATGCTTAATTTAGCTACCTCTTTCCATGATTTTTGACTCTAGAAATGTGCTAAAGTAGGGACCTAGCTAGGTTCATAAAGCTCAATCATTCAGTAATTCAAAAATTCATTTAATTTCAGTTTAGTTTATTAAGTTCAAAACTTTGAATACCAAATAACCGTTACTCATTAATTCTACAAAAATATGGTGAACATTTAAAATATAATTGAGTTTGTATAGCTTTAAATATGGGTCCTAATTTTAGCTTTACGTAGCTTTTTATTAATCAAAAAAATTCGAACAATATAAAAGCACAGTATCTTAAAAGTTAATAATTTGATGAGCTATCTTCTGAATCTCTTCTTCAATGTCTTTAACTTTTACAGCATCATATGTACGGTTCCTTTCCTGTCTCTTTTTATTGAACAAAACTTCAAATTCCTTCAACCCATCAATATTCGGAATTTCAATGCCTACAAGCAGATTATAGTGATAAAAGCCTTAAAAGGAAAGAAATTGGTGACTTACAATTTTCAGCGACAGGCTCATCAATATCATCAGCATCCTCGTCAGAACCAGATCCCCGAATAAAGTATGATAAGAGTTCCATTATTCCTTGTGCCTGATTATTATTTGATTTTGATTTAAAACCTGAAAAATAAGGATCATAATATATTAAGGTTAAAACAATTTATTGACTATTTTACATTGACATTTGACTCCTTTCTTCCTCATGCCAATTGAAATAGTGATTTCATCAATAGTTGTTGCATGAAATACATCATATCCTTGTATATCAAGCATATACTTCGACTTCTTATGCAGCATACAGTCAAAATAAGCAACAAACAAGTCATCAAATTGTTCAGTCTTTATATATCCAACTTTAACTCCTAATTTCTCAATTAAGCTGGCAACAATCCGTGTATCCCAATAAATTAACGACTCTGCATCGATCTCATGAGGCTTGATAGTAAAGAAACGAAGGTGTTTGAAGAAACGCCGCATTTTTCACGCTCTTTTATAAATTAATTAAATTTCACGAAATTTTCACAACCACTTTAACAAAAATCCAAGCTCAATTAAGTTCAAATTTGAAAATCTCGTTAATTTTTTGAACTTCAATAAAATTTGAAATTTTGAATACCTTTGAAAAGGTACACTGGGTTTATGGTTTCTGTAAAGCATAAAATGAATCTACTCTTTTATTGCTACATAAATCAATATTAACACATTAATCAGCTTCAAATCGGTCCAAATCAAGCAAGTTCTATAAAATATAAAACAAATAAAATCTCACCAATATCGAAGAACCAGGAAGCAGATTTGACTTACAGTTAACATTTACATTATACTCAACAAATAGCAATAAGGTGATCTTAGTCAATTGATTAGTTCTTCCACACAGAATAATCGACCGACCTTTATGAATTCAATTGCAGATTCTTGACTTTCTTGAAAAACATATTTTTAACGGAAATAATTCTAAAACGTAGAACCTCTAAAACGAGAATTTTGAGAGTGTCAAGTACGAACACCTTCCAATGAATGCTCGAATGAACGTCCATGACGTTGAACCTGAAATCACACGACTTATATTTTTGAGAGACTCAAAATCAGCGAAACATGTAATTAATTGTATTTTGCATTGTTAAAGATTCTTTTTTTTTTATTGTTAAACTTAATATTTTTTCACTTTAAACATTTTTTTATTTTTTTCTCCTTTTATCATCTTTTGGGTTCGTTCAACAACCAAGACTTAAGGATTTTTTTATATTACTTAAATTCCGAAAAGAAAAAAATTCTCTCCTTTAATTAAATTAAATCGAGTATATTTTTTCATCGAATTCATGTTAATTTCACTTATATATCTAAAATAGATTAGTCATCATGCAATTTTTTATAATTTTTCTTGGGAAGGGGGGGGGGGGGTCTCCCCTATATTCACTTGTTTTTTTATACTTTTTTTTTGTTTTGAATGATTGAAGAATTTATTAAATTTTTAATAATCAAATGCACATGTAATAATCTTTATTTAAATACAAAAACTTAGGAGAAATTTCCATAATTTTTTTATACACCGTATTCACGTATGAATGTATTGGTTTTGCTCAGATTGAAAAATCAGTTTTTCGCAATTTGTGAGGAAATGAAACAAATTTGACTGAAAAAGTTCCTACAAGAAATTTTGTGTCTGAAATTTGACATCTTCTTTAAACAGATTCCAAATTGATTGGAAACTGCTGAGAAAATCGCAGAATACGATCATGGTAAAGTGTGAATATATTCGCAATGGGTTTCTACCCGATACACTAGTTCAAATATTCATATTTATAATATATTTCAAATTTTTCTGGGAAAAAATATAGGAAGAATACAATTAATCTTTTCTTATATCGCATATTTTTTTGAAATTTGTTAACAATTTCACATTTAGTTTCAATTTTTTTAATGTTAAATTTTTTTTCTCACAGGTTATAAATCAAGGATTTTGATTTAATATTTATAATATGTTCAACGAGATAGAATTGTGTTTTTAACAGTTTTGTTTTCTTTTCTTACTTTCAAGTAAATAGTAAATTTCATGCAGAAGAGCCAACTGACATTGTTTTCCTTTTAAATATATAAGTAAGACTTAGTTCATTTTCATTTTTCATTAATATGGTAAAAAAATAATTCTTTGTAAGTTTCTTTAATGTGATCCATGTCTACTTTCTTTACAATCTCTAATGTAGCATTGATAAGAAAACAAATACAAAAGAATAAAGAACAAAATTCCATCATTTTTACTCAATTCTACAAGTTTTTAGAGGTTCTCAATTGATCAACTTTACTATATAACGAATTCATAATTTTTAAGTTTAACGATCATAACTTTTTCAAAAAATAACGGTTACAAAAGATTAGAAATTTCAATTCACTTAAAAAAAGATGCTAAAGCGAATTCAAAAAAGGTGTGAAAATTCAAAATTCTGAAACCCGTTATTATTTGAATCATCAATTGCCGTTAGAAACGTGACTGAAATCAATTTAATTGCATTAATTGGAATCTAGATATGAGTATTATCAACTGAAAATCCCCACAATCTTGCAATACAAAAATTAAATGACTGCAATCGCGTCAAAAAAGAAACAACAAACAAAATTAACTTTCATTTCACGTATCAACTTTCTAGCTTAGTCTCAACAAAGATTATGTCTTTCTATCCTTTAAAATATATTCACTCAATTTCATATTTGAATTATAAATACTTTTCAATTGTGGCAAAATTTTGGAAATGTCGAGTTTTTCATGCTTGCCGATTATTGGATGTCTGCAAGTGTCAAGAGTCGTTTGCTGCACGAGACTTTTCATTTCATAACTAAGATAACTATCAGTCTATAATATCAGACATAACACAAGCCATAACTTATTGCTCTTGACAGTTCCAGAATGTCCACATCAAACAAGTCTTTCACAGTGTAAATTTTTTCACTCTTTTTATCGCACATTAATCGTGTAAATTTGGCAAAATATGAAGTCAGACGCTAGGGATTGTGCATTTACGGAAATCTTGAACTAATTAGCAAATCTCGAGATTCTCAAAGTATCAAACAGAGAAAGCATCCGTAAGTGTCAATCCTCTCGATCGTATAATAATGCAGATAATAATCTCAAACAATGTAACAGAAGTTATTACGACCTTTAATGCTTAATATGTGTATGTAAATGTAATTTAAATGCTACAAATGATAAGAAACGAATTTATGAGAGATTCTAGTGATTTTAATGATTTGAAGATATGCTCAAAATATATATTGAATGCTTTTGTCAGCTTCATTATAGACACATACAGGTAAATTTTTCATCATTAAGTCTTTAAGATACATAGAAAAATAAAAAGTTTGGCAACAATCTCTTCGATGGGACAAAATTGGATATAATTTATCTCCATTGCACGAATAGTAATTTCTTTTTTAAATGTTTTTTTTTTTTTTTGATAAACTTTTCAATCATGATTTGTACATTGTTTTGTGATGTTGTGGCATCAGAATAAATTCCATACAAAAGGCCTTACATTCAACATTCATCATTAAACTTTTTTTATTTCTTAAATATTTCACTATGCTTTTCGTATATATTTATATATATATATTATTTCTCAATAGTCAAAAAGTGGGTTAAAAGGAAAGTATATCCACAATTTTTGCAGAACATAAGCGCACGTTTTACATTACTAAAGTTCTGTTTAATTTAAAACGACCGTTTTATAACGGATTTTTGAGATTTGAATTTCAATTGAGGCAAATTTGCAAAAACAATTTTCACAAAAGACAAATTCGATATTTGAAGTTAAAAAAACGTTTAAAGGGCATGCAAAATTAAAAGGAATGTTATACTCAACAGAATCACTAAAATAATAAAATTTAAATCGGAAAATGCGCCTTTAAAAGAAGGAAAATTAAATTTTCAAATAAAAAAATACTGAAAGTAACAAGTGGAATTACAAATTGGAATTTTCATCAATGCACTGCCGTAAAATTCATACCATAATTGGTTCATCCTCCATACTCTGACTCTTGGATTTTTGCTGCTCATCATCATCATCATTATTATTGTTATTATTTATACTGGATGTATCCATATTTGCCATTGTTGTAGCAGCTCTTTGTAATCCAGTTGTTGAACAATTTTTAGATGATTCATAAGCACCGCCACTGATACTCCTCATAACGATCGGTTTTTGTCGCTGTAATTCACTGCCATTTTTAAGACCTCCGGAACTTATTGAACAGGTCACAATGCTTCTTTGTGGTGATAATATCTTTTGTTGTGATGATGATCCACTTATCTGCTGCTGTTTTCTTGATGCTGTCGGAATATAGTCTATATATTGCTCACGTAAATTATATTTCACAGCCATTTCATCATCAGCAGCGCTACTTTGTGTTGAGAATCGTTGATTTGTTGGTGACGACAATCCACCATCTCCAGCTGACGAGCTTAATGCTGAATCAACACTAACATCTCGAGAATCTCTACTCATTTTATGGCTATCTATATCCTTATCTTTATTACTTAAATCATCTAAACTTCCACCTTCACCATCTAAATCGGTTGATAATAAGTCATCATCAGATGTAGCTCTAGCGAGACTTGGAAGTGTCGATGTTAATAATGCCTTTTCTTTTCTAATCTCTTGAATATGTCCTTCGAGTAGCATCTCTTCAGCTTCAGCACTTTCTCGTCCAGCACGTGACGTTGACGTAAACTCTTCTTGCGTAAATACTTTAGAACTTCTTAATGTACTTAATCGTGTCGTAGCTGTATGTGCAGCTGTATCAAGCGTATCAATATCGGCAAGAGTTGTCTTAATATTCAACATTTTCTGTGTTATTATCGTCTCCATACATTTCGTTTGACGACTTATATCATTGAGACTGTCTTGTGCTGGAAGTGGACGATTCGTACGTAACACACATGGCGCAAAAACAATTGCTAATGAACTCGCAGACATTCTATTATATTCTTCACGTTGTGCGACACGCGCTAAATGAAAGACTATACGTTCAAGTAGGGCATGATGAGCAGGAGGTAGTTTCTTAATTAATGATAAAAGTGTTTGAACACGATCTGTATCTTCAGAAAGATCAGCTGCACGAAGAAAGTCATCGTATCGATCGAATGTTAATAGTGGTTCAGGTAAATCTCTTAGGAAGGTTTTAAGCACATTTGTAAGTACATGAACATTATAGTGCTCATAATCTATCTCTTCAATTACTGGCTCATTCATTTTCCTTTGCAATTCCTTAATTTTTGAACTTACACCACTCTTTCGATACAATCCTTCTGCATACAATCCATGCATTTCAATCTTTGTTATTAGCTGATCAATGCGATTTGGGATTTTTGTTCCACTTCCCTCTGAACAGCACAATTGCGTCAACTGAACTTTAAACAATCTTCCACTTTCAGCATTCTCATTATCAGCTAATGTTGTCGTGGGATTACTGCATGCTACTGATTTCACGTAGCACTTCTTATGAACTGTTAATCTACAATTCTGACAGACCTAAATTACAAAAGAAATTCCATTAGCACTTAATAGAGTGACAATAAAATGATTATACACTTACTAAGCCCCTTTCTAGTGGCCATAACAAAAATTGCTGACAAATTTCACAGACTGTTGCAATATTGAGGATTGTCAATTGAAAAACGTGACCTAGAATGGATGAGAGAATAAATAAAATTATTTAGTGACATTTTAGCGTTTTTTTCAGATTTGAATTTTAACGACTTTTTCAAATTTAAATATTTTGAACCTTAGTAAATATTACACAATTCAAATAAAATTTGATCGTTATTTTTAGTATTCATCGATAGACATGCGTCAATAAAGCAGTCAGACTCACCATTAAACGTAATTTGTTCGTCCGCTTTTCGCTTCTTCTCCTTTTTCCGTTTCATTTTTGGCTTATCTGCTTCACGAGAGTTCATAAATTCGTTCATAAAGCCACGGAATGCATTTACGCCCATAGTTTTTGGAAAATCATCTGTTTTACCGCATGCTGTTTCAATCACTTGCTCAAAGTTTGCGATAAGATCTCGATATTTAATATTTAATGAATCACTATTATGCTTATTCGCCACACTATATTGTGCCACGAGATTTGTTTTAAATTCTCTAAGTGCCTTCTTAAAAACACGATCTACTTCCGACACCTTTTCACCTTCCTTGCCTTCCATTTGACATATTTTTTGCGTTATAAAATCTTGCATAAGTTGTAGTTCTTTTGCATCACTAATAATTTTATCCGTTGAGTCTGTATATTCTTTTGTGCCACTAAATTTAGAATTTGGAGTACTTGTTGATCCTGAATTAATTTTATCTCGTTCACTAATTTTTTTCAATCGTTTTGTCGATCGCTTTGCACTACCGCACTTAATACTTTTAATGCCACCATTCTGAATACATTTTGTATGCACTAAAATTTTACAGTCTAGACATCTATGTCCCTCTGATATGAATGAATCACTTTCATCACAACTTGCACATCGTTCACTTTTACTAATTCTCGATACTTTACGGAATCGATGTCCACCAATATTTATATTCGTACTTGATTGATATAAATCATTACCGCGATTCACTTCCAATAATGGAACTTTATTATTAGCTGGATCTGAATTTCTACGCGATAATGTTCCATCAAATTTCTGTACTTTTGTCACCAAATACGATCCTGATGATATCTCCTCACTCATATTATTCTTTGTTCTTTTATTCTTACTCAAAATGTCTGTCATTTCTTTCTTACTATGTTTAGATGCTGGTGACACGACAGCCGCTGATGTTTGTTCTGTTGAAGTTGTTCCTAACAATGCTGCGGCTTTTCCTACACAAAAACAAATGAAACATTACTTTAATAATCGAGTTTAAGTCTAATGATTTCATAAACACAAGATAAAATGGATTGGAAATTACGCTCAAGGAATATGAAAATATAATGTTTTCGTGACATTCTTTCAATGACTGAATGATGAAGAATTTCATAAGTTTTGCCATTCTGAGGCACTAAAATTTGACACCAAGATCATTTGTTTTAAAATTGACTAATACTGCAATAATTAAAATAGTTTACCTTTTGACGGAACGCTAGCTATTGTCACACGATTGTCTGCTTGTGATTGCTGTTGCTGCTGATGATGATAGACAATAGGAGGCTGATAATTTTGATATTCTTCATTTAGACTTCTACAGACAATATCGCGTCTTTGTGGCAATGTCTCTAAACTATATTGTTGTACATTATATGGACTTGATCTTAGACTCTGTGACGTTTGTATAGTTGTGGAAGATAAAGGCAGTGATTGCTGCTGTTGAACGGGAGGATTCACAAAAACAATTTCGACATCGGTTGCAGGCGTTGGACGAGGTGGTGCTGTAATTGTTTGAATATTATTTTTAACATCAAATCGACCATCACGTCTTGTAGGTCCCGAATCAATTCGTCTTATTGGCATTTTTGTAAAATCAAATCTCTTTAATGTTTCTGTTGGCTCATCAATTGCATTTATACGCATTGCTTTCTCAATATCATAGGTTTTTGAGCCTAAATCGAGAACGTCATCATGTCGATAATTTGATGTAGAAGCAGCTGCTGCTGACGATAAATTTTGTTGTGATTGTGGCTGATATGAAAGGTAAGGATTATGGTCAATTGCTGAAACATTAGTAATTGATGTTTTCCTAAGATATTGCTCATCTTTATTTATAAGTAAATCTCTGATTTGTTGCTCTGTTTGATCTAACATTTGATCACGTTTCTGTTTCGATAAACGATGACTTGGAGATTCATCTAATTCCTGACATAATTCAATGTCTGCATCGAGACTATAATGAGGTGTTGGTGTTCGAATTCTTTTTACATGCTCAAAATGTACATCTACACTTCTCTCATTTACTGGCAAGCTCTGTGTTGATCTTAATTTCTGTCTTTCTCGCATATGCTTTTGTCTCATATTTTGTGTCTGTTTTCTTGATAATTTACCTCTTAAATGAGCTTGTATGACAATTACACTCTTTCTTACTTCAACATATTTCTTCCTAGCTACATGCATTCTCCAAGCAGCTTGTATCGTAATAGCTGCACCATGAAAGCATGCTCGACGAAAATGAAATTGCTTTTGTGCTAAGTACATACGCCAATTTGATTGAATGACAATCGCTGCCTGTCTCTGATGTAAAAACTTTTGTCTTTGAAGATAACTTCGGAACCATCGTTGAATGCTTACAATTGATTCAATAATCTTTGTGTGTAATTTAATATCAAGTCTCATCTTTTGACTCTCACGCATATAAATTTTTGTTATTCCTAATTGATAATGCTGCTTATTCAAGTCATCTAGACGATTCATAAAGTCTCTAACATCTTTCTGTGAGCTTAAAAGTCCTTTTGGCAATAAAATTCGATAATGCTGGATAAATTCCTCATACATTAATCGAACATTATATCCAGCACGACGTATTCGTACCGTCTCAAGCATTCCCGTGTAACGGAGCTAAAAATAAATGCACAAAATGTTATTACTCATTTTTATTGTGTGTCTGTTTAGGATATATGTGGGCATCAACAATATTGAGCACAAAAATTCTGATAAGAACGTAAAAAGTATTGAAGAAGGAAATGCAAAACATGTTATAGGCTTTGTAATCTTTTAAAGAATGTTGAATTTTCTTGCTATTTTTAACGAACTTTAAGAATATGAATTTTAACGGTTCAAAATAATTGGAATTTTTGATCAAAAAATAATTGAAATCTGAAAATACCGTTGAAATCATGAATTTCAAATAAGTTTCATAAAATGTGTAGAAAGCCTTCAAATAATCCCAAAATGTAGGTAATTTTGCAACACAGAATGCACTAGAATTGTCAAAGGTATAGAAAATATGCAAATTATGATTTATGCCTTTATGTTTTACGTGATAATTCACATCTTTTGCATCTCTTCTTCACTCAAACTTATTTAGTTCGAGATTATCATTCCCACCAAAAAAGGAATGTTATTTTTTCGATCCCATGTGTCTGATAATAATCATAAAAGTTGATACTTTTTTTTCTCTCAATAGAATTCAGGACATTTGCAATAATAATAATAATAATTCTTACCTGTCTAGTCACTGTCGCATCGTCAAACTGATTGGGAATCTTGTTAGGATTCGATTTAATGCATCTGATGAAAAATGGATTGGCCTAAACGAAGAATTTGTATAAAGGAAGAGCAGTAAGTAACAGAACAATAGATCAATTAATCATAATGTTGCACAAACCTGATTTAAAGTCTCCATGAGTGCAATTAATGAATTTTGAAATTGTGCGGTGACAGTCAGAGGTTGTTTTCGAGTTTTCACAGATGTCTGATTATTAATTAAATTCTGACCAGCTGTCAGCGACTTTACTGACTGAAGATTTTTCAATCCTTTCTTCGGACGTTCTCGAGGTCTAAATGATTTGTTCTTCCTACAATTTTGACACATAATACATTCCATTAAGTTTGTTACGGTTTCCGCATAATTTTTGCACGTAATCACCAAAAAATTACTTTTACATTAATATATACCAAAAACTATTACAAGAATGCAGGAAATTCAAAAATTCTTCCTGTTATCTATATCTGTTCACTGTCACAACATTTAACCAACTAACACTAGAACGATCATAACGCAAAAGTAATTTTAAGGTTTTGCAAAAAAAACAAAAATTGAAAAATATTCTCAGTGCATCTCCTACATGCATATACTTAAAAACTCAAACTAAAAGTCAGGTAGGAAATTTCTTTTTTTTTTCAAGAAAATAATAAAGAGAGAAATAAGAGTAAAATTAAGGAATCACTTTTGAATCTGTCGAAAGCGCACATTCCATTCAATTAGTTTATAAAATTTATCGGAAAAATATAATTCAAAAAAACAACTGCCAATAAAGTTTTAAAATTTACGAGTTCAATTTTTGAGTTCAAAATAACAGTGACAGACAAAGTGCAAACTACAAACATTCTGGGAAATGCGCTAAATATGAATTAAACATTTTTCTTGATGAAAGTGAGAGAAAAGGAGTGAGAGACATACACAAGATAAATAGGTAACGTGATGATAGATAGAGTGAAGGAAAAAATGAACAAAAAAAAAATCAAAATCAGCAAAAAAGTTTCTTACATCACAATTTGAGATGCTCGTGCCATAACGTCCTGTCTTTCTCGACCATCACGCGACCTTACAATCTCACTAATATCATTTCTCCATGGACTTTTGTCGCATCCAAGCTGCTGACTCTCGTATGAAAGCTTACCATCAGGAAAATTCTTATTGTTAAACGTAAATGTGGACCATGATCGTCTTGGAGGACTCGTAAGTTGATGCAAAGGACTGTTATGGACACGATGTTGAATAAAATTCGTTGTAGGTTCGTTGTTTGCGTTATTTAACGCCATAAAGGTCGTTGTTGAATTGATTCGTTTACTGGATTAACACAAAAATTAAGGATTTGACATAAAATACAGAAAATAAAAAAAATAAAGGAACTAAAAATAATCTAATATAAAATATGTATGAGACAGTGGAAGGGATGACAATTTTCTATATCGATAACCATGCACCAAGATAATTTGTTGCTTCATGCTAACATAAGTATAATGATTGAGAACATTGAACATCAAATTTAGCTGATTTAAAGGTGTCGAACTTACGCAATCCGATATATAACTAAATTTACAGATGACAATGTAAACAGATGACTGCCGTTTATGAAGCAATAATAAATTGTTTTTAAAGAGAGATATTTTTGGGACAATTTTGAGTAAAAAGGAAGAGAGACAAAGGAAAGAGATAAATTTTAAAATTTCTTATAAGATCCTTTTAAAGTTTTACACAAAGATAAATATATATATCCCCACTATCACCACTGACAGGAGACATCCTATATGTTCCTCACTTTTATGACTATTGCTATTGTTATTAACTTACCTAACTAGACTTTCATTTGCTGTCCTAAATCTCGTCTTTGTTGCAATTTTACTCAATGACTGATCTGCTCTCTCCTTTCTATGTTTAATGCCAGCTGATCGGAATGCAAAGTAGCCACGGAAGAAGGCTCTTAAAATTGCCCATCGAAAAACAGCTACGGGATCAGCTCCGACCAATTCGCGTACAAAAGCCATACTAGAATTCTTTAAAACACTCACAATGTCTTGTCTCATAAGATCCAAATTTTTCTCACGCATTTCAGCGACCTTTATTCGGAAACAGACGTAAAAATAATTTAAATAAAGTCATCAGCCTCAATTAGACATGTCAATTTTAAGTAGTTTGACTTACCTGATATTTAACTTTACCGGCATAATGTTTTATTATAAAAGCGTTTTCTTTTCTCTGAGGTTTCTCATAAAACGGATTCTCTTTATGAATATTATTAAATTTGTGAAGCAGATTCTCATTGCTTCCTCCAGGAAAGCTAGAAGCAAAGAAAATTTCCATTGTTCAATAAATTTCATTTCACTCAATTAGAGAAAATGAGAAAATTATAAACATACTTGCAAGAATCGTCTAAGATACAAAGTAAGCCTTGTGGTTTTGATTCAAATAGATGTAAGCATCCAGAATTATCCATAAACTCGATATCAGTCCATTTAATTCCTTCGCGTTTGTATTCTTTTTGTTCGTATTTGAAGACGTGCTACGGAGTAAAGGGAAACGTCAGTAAAGCTTAATTAAATTGATATTCAACAAGTATTTCTTAATCAAAGCGCATAAGAATTTAACGGATATTTTGAGCACATCCAAACTAAAACTGTGCTCTGGAAAATATAAATTATTTGTTTATATTAAATTCATAATTCACGATGTCAAGGTGTGTAGGATAGGCAAAAAAAAAGTGTAAAAAAATCAGGGAGAGACTCACCAGATTAAAGTAATATTGCAGATGTTCATTTGCGTAATTAATACATAATTGTTCGAAGCTATTTTGAAGACCAAAGTCCTCAAAACCGAAGATATCGAGTACACCGATAGAATTCCGTATGGGAACAGCCTGATCTTTATTTAATAATGCGTGATTGACTTGAAGAACAATCCAATCAAAGAGTGCTCCATACAGACATTTTGCTAGTGCATCACGTGCTGCTATTGCTTCTGGTAATTTATATTGCATAATGAGCGTCTCGTCACTTGCTTTTACACGTTTAGATGTCACTGCTGCAAGCAATGTTTCATACTTGACCTTTAATAGTTCCGATATTAAATGTACGACATCGAGATTCTTAACATGAACACTTTCGTCATGATGATATGCTGACTTTTTTGGATGAAATTCAACGTTCCCGAGTAATAGAACGGCTGATAATACCATAAATAATCGACGTTGCTTCTCTGGTGAAAAACCAACCATTTCCATGCTTTGTTTCAGTCGCGAGAACTCATATTTCTCATCGCAATTCTCTAATGTTAAATTCTTGGCATTTAAATAGTTATATTTGTCTGATGGAAGTAAATGCAGTGCTTCTCGTTCATTTTCTGTCGCACCAGACAATAAATAATAGAAAACGTGATAATTCCTCTCGTACGTTCCTTGTGATACTATTCTACTTTTTTCAAGCAGGTACTTTTGGACAACAGCTCCTTGAACCATCCCGTTTTCTCGATAATTCACCTAAAAAATATATGTATATATACAATTATTTACTTTATTAATACAAACAGTTTTTAATCAAACACAAAAAAGAGCAATGAACTTACTTGAATAAACTTTCCGAATCGACTCGAATTATTATTATGTGCAGTCTTGGCATTTCCAAATGCTTCCAATACTGGTCCAGCGCTGAGAATTGTTTGCTCTACGCCAGATCCATGTAAACCTTTCTGCGACAATGCAGTCAGATGATGTAGGAGGAAGTTTGTGCTTTCCGTTTTCCCTGAGCCACTCTCACCGCTAATGACCACGCACTAAAATAAGATAATTTATGTACATTATTAAAAATCATAATGAAAACGAAAAACAATAAGATGAGATAGTTATAATATGGACTCAGTGACTGCTCGCATTTTAACGGTAATTTGAAATTCAAAATTTAACGGAAATTTGAGATTCAAATTTCGACCAAATATTATACGAACTTTTTAAATTTAAAATTAACGGAAAATACTATAAATTAAAGCAAAGTGCAGCTGTGTGTTACGTAAAAAGTGGAGGCAGTAAGGAAAAGTGACTGAACTTTCACCGGCAAGATTAAATTAATATTAATTGTTAATTTTTACGATATTTACCTGATTACGTTTTTCTTTTAACATGCAATAATAAGCATTATCGGCTATGGCAAAAATGTGTGGCGGTAAAATCGGTCCGATGCGTTGATTTTGATAAAGTCGAACATATTTGGGATTGTAGATGGGTAAAAACCGAAATGGATTGACGGCAATGAGTATTGATCCAACATATGTATAGATATGTCCAGCTTCAAAGCGCTGTCTGAGATTCTCAAGAAGCGTCGATTCATTGAGATCTGGCAGTTGGCACAAGTCTGGATATTCACGATTTTCAGGTTGCGAAAGAAATTCTTTTAGTACTTGCGGATCAAATCCATACCACGTTGGCTCCTGTGTCTGCTTCTCGCGTAAATAGAATCGTCCAAAATGTGGATCTGAATGTTTTGGCCATAATAATTTCAATGAAACTGGTTTCTCATGCGGCGATAGCCGTCTCTCTTTACAATGTCCTATAACTTCAGCCAGCTCATAATTATTTCCAGTTAATCCTAATCGTTCAGCAATGCACTGTACAATTTCCTCAGCTGTCGTTTGTTTTGATGCCTCAACACTCAGCGCTTCATAATGGACCGAAAGAGCTCCAACGTAAACCTTTAATGATAACAGAAACATGGAGAGTCAGTGAAATTCAAAATGCTACTATAACTGTACTGTGTGTGTCTAGCAAGTAAGGTAGAAAGGAAAAAAAGACTGACTTCAACTACCCCACCGAATAAATATGCTCATTAAGTAACATTTAAAGCTCTTTTTTTTTTATTTTTAATGTTCAACATGTATTACTACATAAGAAAGACCAAAAAGTAACAAGTAAAAGCATGCATGAGAGCATTGTTCAATAAATATTACATTATCATCGACAATATTAAGCATGTAATAATAACTTTAAAGCACTCAAAACTTTTCCCCATTTCTCTCTCTATTCGCACATACATAATAGCTTGTGTCTTCTATTAAATTCTAAAAATAAAGGAATCACGCCGATCGATGGACATGAATGAAAATATTACACAGAATGTGGAACTGAATGAAAAACTCGAAGGTGTGAGTGGCACATCATCATTATCGAGAGGGTGAAATTAATTATATTTGAGAGATCAAAGGAAAGATTATTTCATTCGATTGATGAGAAAGCAGGCAGCAATATGGATGATGCCATAATGCAATCAGAACTTTGAGCAAACAAATAGTGAAAGTTTACATGAAATCATTGAATCAATCATTTAGTCAATTTATATTCCTAGTAGTGAAAATATTTAAAAGTTTTCTACTATAAATGAGATCATTACACATTCATCATCATAATTCATTTATTAAGCTCCATTTCCTTAGTCTTTTGTAAGTAAGTTACTATTTCTCTGTTTGTCTGTTAAAATATTTTCAGTTGCATTTTGCTAGTTTTCAAATTTTACAAAACCGTTGAAAGTTCAAATTCTACAAAACCGTTGAATTTTTTAAAACTAGTTTTCAAATTTTACAAAACCGTTGAAAATTCAAATTCTACAAAACCGTTGAATTTTTATGATAATTTTCAAATTTTACAAAACCGTTGAAAATTCAAATTCTACAAAGCCGTTGAATTTTTTAAAACTTGTTTTCAAATTTTACAAAAGCGTTGAAAGTTCAAATTCTACAAAACCGTTGAATTTTTAAAACTAGTTTTCAAATTTTACAAAACCGTTGAAAGTTCAAATTCTACAAAACCGTTGAATTTTTATGATAATTTTCAAATTTTACAAAAGCGTTGAAAGTTCAAATTCTACAAAACCGTTGAATTTTTAAAACTAGTTTTCAAATTTTACAAAACCGTTGAAAGTTCAAATTCTACAAAACCGTTGAATTTTTATGATAATTTTCAAATTTTACAAAACCGTTGAAAATTCAAATTCTACAAAATAGCTGAAAATTGAAATCCTACAAAATCGTTTTTACTTTCTGTACCTATGTTAATTAACTTTTATACTCTGATCCACTGACAATGCATCACTTTTTACTGCCAATTTAATCAACAGAACTAAGCACAAAACACACTGATCATGTTGAACGCATTTCAAGCATGCAAACGCTGATATTGATCAGATAATTAGCAATTTTGAAGTGGTACTTCACGAGCACATGTGCTTTAAAAGAAACTTAAAGTTTTTTAAAAACGAAAGAATTATGTTGGAGCATGTAATTAAAGAATAATCAAAGATATCGAAAGTGAGATTAACGTAATAATCAGTAATAATAAATACGCTGGTGTATATAAAAAAAAACTATTGACCTTACTTGCTTAGTTTCAATTAATTAAATAAATGAATGAAAAAAAAAATCAATGTTAATTGCTTTTCATGTTACCGGCCGTAGCCCATAAAGAAAATTTTCACTTTTTAGCACATTTTTGAAAACTTTTTTTCGATAAGGGAGCTTAAAATGCACTTTGTTTGACTGGAAGCTGAGAATTACTAGCAATAATTGCTTACACAAAAATGCGCTTAAGTCCCCGATTGAAAACATGCAGACTTTCGTAATTTTAAAGCATAACAATAAAATAAAATGAAAAATATGATGATTGCACACTAAGTAGTCTACGATAAAGAGGAAACTGATGATGATGGATGGATAGTAGATCGGTCAGTTTGTACACATAAAGCATAATCTATGAAAATGTGATTTGAAAATTTCCGGTTTCCTGTGACAGCTCTGTCTGCTGCTTTTTGTAAATAGAATAACTTCTATATAATCTAACCATGTTCTTGATGCTTAAAAGTAATCAATATGAGCTGTTAGAACTTTTTGATTCATATGGCAAGAAACAATTGTTCTGCGAGATGGATATATGATGACGAAGACACAATAAAATTCCAATTTAGATTAATTATTGTGAGCCAGAGAGATTGGTCAAAAATATGTACGAACTGCACACACATGTTCGTCATGTGTCATGTGAATTTCATGAAAATATTCTTAGATACATTTGAATGGAATTTTTCCTGTGAAACAATGAGAAAATAACACAAAACAAGGAACTTCCCGAAGCGTAATAATCTTTAAAACTCCTTTACAGATGCTCTATGTGCATTTCCCAAGTATAATTGGCTATTTATAAATCATTATGAATTTTCTGGCGACACGAGATGCAGGAAGTTGTGAGTTTGGAATCATGCCCTGCTTAGCGTTCTCAAGAATCCCAGTAATTAAACTAAGAACCGAATTTCAACTGTCAAAAAATATTTGAATTATGTTCAAAAAATAAATCTTAAGAAAAAGATTGAGATTAACTAAATCCCGAGATTAAAAACAATTTAATTCCAAGAATTTCAAGAATGTTGCGAACCACATGACTGCATGAGTCACATGGTGTGATAAACAAAAACAACAAGACGGGATGACACACGACAGTATCGCAACTAGTAGATTAGATAGCAATTAATAGAACAAGAACTCACCTGTAAAACATATCTGGCACATTCATTTAATGAATCTAGCGAATGCATGTTATGCTTTTGAATCGATAGATTATACTACATATGATCTCTTCACTATGTGATGATCCAACATTTTATAAAAATTTGTATTTTCTGTTGCTGTTTATCTAGTTTAATTCACTTTCATTATATATTATGCTGTATATATATATTTTTTGATTGTTTCGCATGCAAAATAATTCTTTTCATCTGTTTTTATTATGATTTGTCTCTTTTTATGCTCTTTTCTTCTTGATGCTCAAAAAAGTTATAATATGATCACAATCGCAAAACTGTTAACAAACAAAATTAAAAGAAAAACTGCACTGAAATGAAATATAATAAAAGAATTGAGTATGAGTATGATTGGGCTGTATATATTGTGAGTTCATTGATGATAATTTTATCAGCACAACACCACCATTATCTCTACTACTGTCTGATTTATTTTCATTGATGGGACAGCGACAGCGGAAACAATGATGCGAATGAGAGAGTTGGTTCCCGAAATAAATAAGTCATTTATGTGGAATTAAAAGAATTATGCCATTAACACACTATCGTTCATTATAAATAACAATATAAAGTTTATCGTAAGTGAAATGAGTAATTATTATATCTGATAACACCATTAAATTGCCTTGTTTTATATATTTTCTCGCTCCTTCCTTCCACTCAATTCATTCATTCATTAATTAATTAAAATTCATCACATCTTAAACTCATGGCTGGCTGTGGATCATCATCATTATTATTGTTATTGCCGAAAAGAAGAGGTGAGAGAGTAAACAAAAAGTGCATGACGAGAACAGAACAGATTCAATCCGCCCTCAATTTCTTATCTCCCTTTTCTTTTCTTTTCGTCCGCACTTAAAGTTCTTGTTATGCTCCATTTTTAATATAATTTAAAATATATATATAAAATAAAATAAACAGCACTATTCGCCATCATCATCATCATCACATAACAAGACGCACGTTCGTTCACACAACACATATACTTGTTTGTTTGGCGATGTGATTTCAAGACATTCCACAATTGTCTTCGTCGGTTCCAGTTCTCTTTTTCTCTCACATAATTTTCGCGTTGTTATTCTCGCACTGATGGTGGGGCCTTTATTTTTTATGATTTTAAAATTGTGAATGGAATGGATCAAGAGTATTAATTTCATTTTTTTAACATTATGTCTTTATGGACCCACATTTTCTCTCTCAATTCTCTTCGTTCAGACGGCACTGCTGTTTCATGTGAACTTTTTGTTTCTTACTGTTTTTTTTTATGATGAATGCAGCTAGAGCTGTCTTGTGGAAGTCAGTAAATAAGTAGAAACCATTTGTTGTTGATGCGGAACGAACGAACGAACGATGATGTTTTTTAACTACTTAGCTTATTTGTTATTATTATAATACATATTCACAATACACAAAACACATTCACTGACTGGAGATAAGCAACAAGCAAAAGTACAAAAATTAAGAATGAGGCAGGCAAGAACGAAGATTGATGAGATGTTTCATAAATGAATCATCACACAGCGCGCGAATGTATCACATTCGTGACCAATTTCCCATTCATTGTGAACAGGCAGACTATTGTCAATAGAAGGAGTGTATTTATTAATAATAGTAATAATCAGAAGTAACTAGCAATTATTTGATGCGAGCGTAATCAATTAAGAGCCAATTTTCTTCCTAATCACCGACTTCCTGAATCATTCGCTCAATTCATCATGCACTGACATTCCAAAGACACTAGAATCACTGAATTATGATTATTTTAAGGATAACTCGCATCCATAACTATGTATTATTGTAGATAAAGGCAGTTAATAAAGATCCAGTGAGCAGGCAAAGTGTGTAGAGGTACGGAAAAGAAAAATCTTCTTGTTTATCTCTCTCTCACTCACTCAACGATTTCTTTTATATTTTATATTTTTCTTTCATGTCACTTGTTACTATATTTATCAAATTTTCAATTTAAATCAGCTTTTTGATACATAAAATTCACTTAATATGGTGATGCAATGATGATAAAAGCAGTTTATCACTATTTCAGTCCCTAATTTTCTCTTTTTATCAGTATTTTGATGAAAACATGAATTTTCATAAAATAAACTTAATTTTTTAGAAATTTCATCAATTTTCAACCTTTTTCGTTCTGTTTTCGACAGTTTTCATTACCAATTATCCTTTATGCACTGCTATATTGTGTTTTCTCGATTATAACTAGTCAAATGATACTATATTTTGTCTAACAATAAATTTTTAAATTTAATAATTTTTTATGAAGTTTGTTTTTTGATCTACTGATTTTTAACTCAATTTCATTTGACAACAATGTTTACTTATTGTTCACTTTGTCTCAATATCTGACTGACTTTGATCTACTGAAACTTTGACTTGACTGCTGTATCTTCCTGGATCTTTTTATTGAAGATCTAGACGTGATCCAGTAATAGTAAGACTATCACGATAGAAGATATGCTTACAAGACACTCGGATATATAGTTCTAGTGACCTGTTTACTAGTTTTTGATCTACAAACTTTTCGTTCAAAAATGTTTCGTTAAAACAAGTGGATTGAATCTTAAAATTCTAAAATATTTAAATTAACGGTCGTTTTTAAGATGACTAAATCAAACTTTCCCAAAAATTTCAATTTATATTTGACAGTTCCACATTGATACAAATTAGCCATTATAAAGCATCGAAAAAATATAATTAACTTCAAATTTAGAGAATGAATGAGAGAAAACCGTTAAGAATTTATTTTTGAAATTTTAAACTCGTATAACATTCAAATTTTAAAAAATCTGTTAAATATATGAATTTTTCTAGACCGTTAGTTTTAAAAAGGCAAAAATCACAATCAAAATTGTACTTAAAGACAAATATCTACATCAAAATAATCGTGTGATTAATTTATTCAACTGTTTCTCTTATTTAACAATTAATTTGTGAAAACAGTAGTAAAAAGAGAATAATAAAACTTAAATAATCATGATAATTAAAATAGAGACGCTCCAAATTGACCTGCGTATTTCTGCAAGGCTGCTTGGTGCTGTGCAGTCATTTGATGAAGCATTGACTTAATTTCCGGTTGTTGAATTTGGCTCAATTTTTCAATGAAATATCGTCTAGCATCAGGAACTTCCGAAATTGGATCGTCCTTCTTAGCTGATGCAAAGTTTAATTGTGAATAAGCTACTTGATATCCAGCTGTATCTTCAATCTCAATAAAATTGTCACCTTCAATGCTCGATTCATCTTGTGGTAATTCAAACAATTCAATCAAGACTTGAACAAGTGGCTGCCAATGAGTAACATAAGGAGGTTGGAGCATCATTGATGATTCACAAAGTATTTTAGTCATTCCAACTGCTGCAATTTTTCTTTCAATTTCTCCAGAAACTTTATTAAGATCTGTTGCAAAAACACGTTGACAAACCATTCCAAACATTTGTGACTGAATTGTGTCAATTAATTGGATTAATTCATTAGCACCGACTTTGACTGCATAGAAATTGAATAAGACAATCAAGCATCGGACGAATTTTGTTGTTTTTGACGAGCTTAAACGTTGGAAGAGAAGAGTGAATACTTGTGGCATAACAGGAAGGAAATCAGCTCGTGGATAATGAGCAATTAAATGCTGCAACAAGTAAAAGCCTTCATGATCGTTAGACTTTGATGCAATCATCTTTTGGAAAACTCCAAGAACGCTCATTAATTTGCCTTGTGCCTGAATTTGTGCCGATGCTTGTTTAACAAATGTACACAATAATCTCATTAAAGGTGTTACATTTCCTGGCCGTTCCCATAGAACTGGACTAAGAAGACATGGGAATAGAGCTAAATAAGGTTCAGGAACAGATCCAATTGATTGTCGAATTTCCATTAGCAAGGAGAGCATTTGGAAAACGTACGGCAAGAATTCCATAATATCATTTTGAAGCATAAATTGAAATTGTGGAAATAGCGCTTCCTCAAATGACGTGACTGCATTCGGTTCAATTTTACAGACAATTTTTATAGCTAATGCAATTGTCTCAAACAGGAAATGATTGAAATGAGGCTTTGATGGATTCTTCGACACTTGTGTTAATATTTCTGTGAGCTTTGGCAATACAGCGCTCATAAATGGCATTGTTTTTTCATTTAATGTATTAAATGATCGCATAATTGCCTTCATAATATATTCATTTTCATTCGAATTAGGCTTTGATAAAGCCTGGAAAAGTCCTCCAACAACATCGCCAGAATATGGAGATAAAATCTCTTGTGTAATTAAAGGATTACCATTTCCATCTTTCATAATCAGAATCTTGTCTAAAATGCATGCAGCGTAGCTGTGAACGACATAACTATCTGATTGCAAGTGACGAATAACTTGTGGAATTGCTCCAATAATTTGTGGACCAAGAACAGTACGGAAAGTCATTAAAAACTTTAATGCATCAGCTTTAAGTACTGGTAAATCATTTACATCTGGTCTCTCGAGTTCCGAAACAATATCACTTACGAAAAATTGTGGAATTGGCACTAATTGAGAAGCTTGAGTAACTCCATGTTTTTGTGTTGTAGCTTTAGCTGCCAATGTTGTTACTAAATAGATTGCAGTGTCTTTTGAGCGCCAATTATTTTTTGGGTCTGCCTTATAACGTTCTAAAAGCATATTCAAATACTGACTAAAAAGCTCGATAATTTTTGCTTCAAATTTCTGCGATAAAGTCCTCAAAAGATCACTAACTGCACGTCTCCTTGTATCTATATCAGATCCTTCAATATCCTTACGAATGTACTCTTCTGGATTGTCCTCAAACAGCTCCTCATCCGAATCTATAAATATAATTTTTATTAATTTTTGATACTTTATTACTATAAATTACGGTTTTTGGATTTAAATACAGTGGACAGGGTGGTTAAAAAAAGAATCTGGCCTTTTTTAAAAATATGTTAACGTGTACAATGTGTGGCAGAATTCATATGTTGGTAGATAATATATGTCACACATTGCATATGTGCACATATATTATGTGTGATGTGTGCACATATATTATGTGTGATGTGTGCACATATTTGATGTGTGACTCATTATTTTGTGTCACATATGAAAATGTGTGATGTGTGACACATATTTATGTGTGTAGATATCATGTGTAAACATGGAAAATCTGCACATATTTATTAATTTTCGGGACTAAAGTGGCATTTTTTTGTAGAATTTATTTAAAAAATTATTGATATATAACCAAAACAGTCAAATACTGCATAAAAGAGTTAATTTTGTCGAAAATATGTTCATCAAACTGTAATTTTAAACTAATTTGACTTTATTTGTTTGAGAAATGAAGATTAAATTAAGAATCCAAATAATTAATGAGCTTCAGTTATAAATAAAGTCAAATTAGTTTAAAACTACAGTTTGATGAACATATTTTCGACAAAATTAACTCTTTTATGCAGTATTTGACTGTTTTGGTTTTATAACAATAATTTTTTAAATAAATTCTACAAAAAAATATTACTTTAGTTCCTCAAATTAATAAATATGTGCAGATTTTGCATGTTTACACATGATATCTACACACATAAATATTTGTCACACATCACATATGAAAATATGTGCACACATCACACATAAAATATGTGCACATATGCAATGTGTGACATATATTATCTGCCAACATATGAATTCTGCCACACATTGTACACGTAAACATGCAAAATGTGTTGGATATGTGTACATATTCTGTAAAAGAGAATATGTTTTAACAACCCTGTCAGTGGATTTAAATACAATCTGTTTCATATAGTGTAACCTGATAAAAAAATTTATCGACTACATCTATAATTTCAAATTTAGAATTTCAAAAAAACGTTTGTAATGTAATAAAATAATGTAGCATTAATAATTAACTTACTTCTGAAATCCATATTAGGGACAATGACTTTCTCACAGATGCTTGCTAAAACACTTGGTTCCGCAAAGAGACTGCTATATTGTTGACGTCCAGCAACGGTACTCAAGAAATGCAAAGCGTTTGTAACTAAAGCATCATATTTTGGCTGCTGTCCTGTATTAACTAGCAATTCCCAAACAGCTGTAACGAATCTCTGCATATAAGGACCAAATTCCTCGTCATATTTCTGTGCATAAAGCGTAATATTGTCACAAATTTGAGAGCGAAGCATTTCCATAACTCCAGCTTCTTCATCTTCGCCAGTTTTTAAGCATGGAACATCCGTTGTAAGCAATTCATGGAACGTTGGCATCCAAATTCCCATATTATCCTCAAAGAATTCTGGTAAATCTTGAGAATTGAGCGAATAAAAGACTTTACACATGATTGCTAAAGATTCATAAATGACTTTCAATGCTGCTTCATTAGTACTATGAGTTGTTCTCAAATTAAGCGTAGCCTGCAACAAGTCGGTTAAAGGCTTGGCAAACTTGTCCAAAACAATTTTAATCTCCTCCCATAATTCTTGAGACTTGAACTCGTGACGATAGCGTTTGAATAAGGAATGTGCCGTCTTGAGAACTCCATTAATCACATGAAAATCACCAGTTTGGAACTTTTCAATCATCTCGTCCAAAAGTGATGGCCATTTTTTTGGGAAGTCATATTTTCCAATAATCTGAATAGCATCACTAAATTGTTTCTGAATCGACAATGGAGATTTCAACATTAAAGGTACAATCATTCGTTTAATTGCTTCCCGATCGCTTTCATGGATCTTGTCTGGTTCTTCTGGATTATCAATATTTCTTCCCCAATTTCTTTTAATGTAATTTTTAAAGGCAATTGCTCCAGACACTCGAATTGTCATATCTACAGCATCTTTATCGATCAGCATGAGCAATAATTGGGGATAATTACGGTTGTGATCGACAGTTTCAAGGAATTGCTCAGCTAAATTGTGAAAAAGTGAATTTCATAAACTTGTGATTTTCGGCATTTTTAAAATTCAAACACTTTTAATTGACTTACCAGGTCTTCGTACAGCAGGATCTGGGTTTAAAGTATTTGCTAAGTATTCTGTCAAGATACGGAAATTGTTATCGTTGATATCCATTGTTAAATAGTGCTTTAATTAATAAATTTTCACAGAAAAATGTTTTCGCAAGTTTTTTTTTGAAGTATTTTGAAATTTCGGTTACGCGCTTTTTCTCTACTCGGTTTTGAATTTTTTGAAACCGTTGAACATATTTTGACTTTCATTAATAATCTTGATTTACTGAGTGATACATGATGCAATGTGATAATAGTTGATGTATGAGTTTTCTGATGCTGGGTTATAAGTCCAGAGATTATAATTCCAGGTACAAAAATCGTGCACAGAAAATTATAAGTCCAGAAAATCAAAGTGACTAAAGGTTTATAAGTCCAGATACAAATTGTACCTGGACTTAAAAACCTCACGTGCAGTTCATAAGTCCAGGTACAAATACAGCTGGAATTATAAACTGCACGAGAGGTTTTTAAGTCCAGGTACATTTTATATCTAGACTTATAAACCTTACGTGTGGTTCATAATTCCAGAAAATTTATAAATTTTACTTTTAATCTCCCAGTGCGATTATAAGTCCAGATATATTTTTCTGGACTTATAATCCTTGAAAATTATTTGAAATTATTTCAAATTTTTATATTCACACCGTTTTGTTCAGATTGAAAAATCAGTTTTTCGCATTTTGTGAGAAAACAATGCAAAAAAAGTTTGTGCCTGAAATTTCACAATTTTTTTTGCTTGAATATTTTTGAAAATAAATTTTAACATTTCGTGCTTTTAAAAAAATTTATTTCTTAGCTTCGCTCAGCATAAGTTTGAATGTATAAAGCTAGTGAGATTGAAAAAAACAATCCGTAATTTAAAGGATAAACATGATTTTTTAATTAAAAGTTTTTAAAACCACACGTAAGGTTTATAAGTCTAGATATAAAATGTACCTGGACTTAAAAACCTCTCGTGCAGTTTATAATTCCAGCTGTATTATTTGTACCTGGACTTATGAACTGCACGTGAGGTTTTTAAGTCCAGGTGCCATTTGTATCTGGACTTATAAACCTTTAGTCACTTTGATTTTCTGGACTTATAGTTTCTGGACTTATAACCTAGCGTCGAGTTTTCTAAGCTGTGTAAAATTTAAGGAAAATCCTGGAAAATGTTTAAAAATTTGAAGTAAAATTTTTGAACTTTAAAAGTGTCAAAAAATTCAAATCTTCAAAAAATCGTTTAATTTTTAAAAATACGTTAAAAATGGATAGATTTTGAAAAAATATTGATCGCGTGTTAAGCATGAGGACCCTTTTTAATAGTTTTCCAATGCTTTAAAGTTAAGTTTTCATATGCAATGATCAATATTTGATAAAGTTTTGTTGATAGCAAACTGGAAATGAGGAAAAATAATGATTGATGAGAAGAGCTGCGGTCTGAAAAACCATTTAAAGCTAGATCGAATTTTTTATGAATCTTTTTATTTAATATTAAGTTTCAGTTTTCAATATTATTAATATTAAATTAGTAATATTTTTGGGGGATTTTATATTGATTTGTACAACTACAAATAGTATTTTTAAAAAAAAATCAAAGTGTTTTACCATCAAATCGTTAATTTTAGTATTATTTTTCTTTTATTTTTTTTATATTTTCTTAGGGATGTTCACGTTAAACAAAGAAACTCAGTTTTCGAATCATAAAGACATCCCAATGCGTCCGATAAAAATGAATTAAATTATAAAGAAAACTAATGTGTGTTGTGTGTGTGTGTGTGTAGTTTCAAAAAGAATGGATTAAACATGCGATGATTCAGATACTGTTAAGCATCCTGCTTCGTCAATTATGAATCAATAGATATAAGTTTAGTATATGTACAAAATTCATGTTGCTCAAAATATAAGTTTATGTTTTCCTTAATTTTTTTCAATATGAGGGATGTGCTTATTACCGCATTATTGAAAACTTGTTTTCGAAAAGGTGGCTTAATAATACACTTTGTTCGGTTGGCAGTGGCAAAAATTGAGATCTCATTACCAGAAATCGTTTAGAGCTCAAGTTTGTTTTCTTAGCTCAGTTTCATCGATATATCACCCATTGAATGGTTAAGTGTTGATACAGTGCAACCTATTGAAATTTTTCGATTACCTCTATAATTTCAAATTCATTAAAACCGTTAAAATTTGAATTCCCAAAACTGTTGTTTTCGTTTTTAAGGGTACTTAATGCCATATTTTCGCAGTTACTTGCTAATCAAATACTGATCACTGCGACAGTTATGCGTTGAAGTTCCTCGATCAATAACACGAGGACTTTTGTAATTTTTTCTTACAATACATTTATTTGAATTAATTTTTTTTATGTTTTCATTCCTCAAATTTTAGTTAAAGTCAATAAGAAAATAAGCCCATTTTAGCAACTATCTTGCGAGACATACACATGTGTTTTAGTTTTTTTTTTTTTTTTTTTTTCAAAAATTATCAGCACAAGTCAATCAGTTTATCATCATAGTGTTTTTTGGAGTCAAAATATTGTTGTAGGAAAAAGCCGAGCAGCATTAAACACAAATCGACAGCTATGTCGTTCACAAATGATGTTATCTTCCCCATTGTGTGACTAATAGCCTTTACAGAAGTTAGTCGACTCTCTTAAATGCTGCTCAGTCAAAAGTATTAAAGACATTATCATATTTGCAATTATGGTTTGTTTGTTGATCAAAGAAAGAAAGAAAGTAAGAGGCAGGACATAGTATAATAACTAAACGAAATCATTTGTATTATCTTAAGAACTATTAAAATCAAAATTAAAAAAAAATATTTTAAAATAAGGACATGATGAAACTGAACATTATTCATATATATCCATCCAATTTGAAGGATACTATGACATAGAGCTCGATGTCGAGCCCTAATTTATGCTAAGAGATGAAAAGTTAAATATTCAAACATTAAACTGTGAGATTTTTTGTTTTTCATGTTTTCTTTCATCGTACACATCCACTAAACTTACTGTCAGTTCCATGCAGTGTCATTAAAAGAATAATTAATAAATCTATACCACATAAATTGCGATATATCGCTTCTAAATCAAAATCAAAAGTGTTTACAGTAAAAGTTTTTTTTTCTCATTATTATTATTATTATTATTTTTTCTTCTTCTTGTTGTTTGATGTTGTGTTGTAGTAAGTGTAAAACGTCCTGCGCATCTAAAAATTATGCGTTAATAAACGATTCAGTTATTCAACTGGCTGTTCTTCTCCTCCTTCTTCTTCATCTTCATCTTTTGGCTTTTCATCTCTGGGTTTTGCCATCCCAAATATAGCTGCAGCTTGCTTAGTTTCAGCCAGCCCATTAACAGGCTCTTTTACCGTACGTGGTGCAAGCTTCAACTTTGGTCTGCCTGCGTCACGTTCTGAAAACGATTTAAATTTTGTAAAATTAGAATTTTTGCTTTAATTTTGGTGCATTAATGTGCAGTTATGCAGACATATGGTACAAAGTATTACATCTAAGTCTGCAATGTCAACAAACCAATTAGGGTCGTATTTGCGGTTATTAAAAAAGGTTAAGGTTTTGATACAAAATCTAGTGAAAAGCATTCAAAAATTGAAAATAAAATTTTGATTGGTTAACACGTTTTTGCTGAATTCAGTACTTATCAACTCTATTCAGCTGAGTTTATTGTTTTGGATCAATTCAGCACTTAGTGCTATTTTTTTTTTAAATAAATTATTAAGTTTTAAATTCTTTTTATACAGAAGCTTACCAACCGATTAGCAAATTTGTTCTCTGCTCAATAACTTTTCAATATTGAACCAATACTGAATGTTATATATTCATTTTGATGCTATTCGTTTGTTCTTTCAAAGAATATAAAACTTATTTTTAAATATTATGGTTTTTAAACAAATTTTAAAATTATATTTGGCACCAAAACATTTTCTAGCAATTTTTTTTTAAAGAAAGCACTTTCAATAAAAAATTTTAATCCAGCAAACATTATATATCTCTTTGAAGGTAATTGCAATGCCTTAAAATACGATATTTCTAATAGTAAAGCTTCTTTTTTCAAGTTATTCAAAAAATTGCTAATCGGTACTTTAATAAGTTCAAGTTTAGATTTTTTGAAAAGGTTTTCGTACATTTGGGCAATTCCACGGATGAGTTGAATTTCGAAAAAAATAAATTTTTGATCCATGTTCTTTAAAAATTTGATTGCTTCAATAATAAACTATTTTTAATATAATTTTATATTTTTGAAACGAGTTAAAGATCTTCATTGACTATTAAACTTTTAAAAACAAGATTCTAATCAAAGAAATTATTGTTAATTAAAGTAAAAATTGGTTTTTTAAAAATTATTTTCTCACGGATTTGGCTTAAGCGTTGGTATATTACATTAATTGCATTAAAATTATTTATTTTTCTGTCTATTGAGTGTCTTTCAAGTCAATTTAAGTATGCAGAATCATAGAAGAGGAGAGAAAGAACGGCATGACAACCATTAATAGTTGTGTAGATGTCTTTAAAGTGGCAAATTTCTGACAAAAATGCAAATATTTCATTAATTAAGACATGACAAGATGCGTAAGTTAGATAGAATAAGTTTGTGAAAAAATTGCAGCTCCAAAGTTCTCTAATTAAGAGAAAATTCGATTCAAAGATTAAACCGCAAAACTGCAGTTTTTGAAAAGTGCGGTTTTTCAGAAACCCTAAAACCAATGCAGTTCCTCTCTAAAATGTCATATTATGTGTAATTTCAAAGAGGATGCATGAATCAATTAAGCTTTACGTAAGCTGGACTATGTTGGATTAGTTTAAACTTGAGCTTTAAAACTAGTTTCATGAAATCATTGGATTAAAACTTTAGCTTCATCTGAACATGAATAATTGTCTAGACCAAATTGTATGCTCATTAAAAATGCATTATTAAAGAATGATAAGAAATAGTAATAGTATTTACCTTCAAGTGATAACTGTGACATGCTTTCACTAGTTCTTCTTTCACCAGATTCACTGCCACTTCCACCACTTCCAGCACCGCTTCTTTCACCAGCACCTCCTCGGCTTGGATGCTGATGCGCACCACGATTCCCAAAGTTATTGTATCGATCATCACGATTCCCACGATCTGAATTAGGATTGTCTAGATAGGACCATAATTTTACCATTTAATGTCAAACAAAAAATTCTCTTACCATTATAATTATTTCGACCCCCTCCTCCACGCATATTTCCTTCATATCCATCATGACGTCTTGGATAGTTATCATTATTTTCATTATAGTTCCCATAGTGGCTTCTGTTGCTTCCTCCACGATCTAATTTAATAGAATATTAGTTGAGATATCGATAAACTAGAGTAAATATGCTGAGTCTTACCATTATAGTTGCCTCGTCCACGCATGTTTCCACCTTCAAAGCTGTCATTTCGTCGATAGTTGTTGTCATTACTGTTGTTATAACTCCCACGATTACTTGGACCACCACGATTATTACCATTATTAAATCCGCGATTCTGGTTCATCATGCCTCCTCCACGTCGATTATTAAAGCCCCCGCTACTTAATTACATCTATTATTGCTAAATTTTTAAGGATAATGAATTTTGTTGAGACTCACCGATCGTTCTTTTTCTGCTCAGCAACATCAATTCTTAAGGGTTGAGGATTATTGTCTAAAACAATGCGTCCGTCCAGATTAACAGCTTCCTCCAAGTCTTGAAGTGTATCGAATTCGACATAACAGAATCCTTTAAACTGGTCAGTTTCCTTATCCTTTACTAGTCGAACATTTTTTACAGTTTGCTTGCTGAAAATCTGAATGACATCGCCCTGAACGACTCCTTGTGGCAAGTTTCCGACAAAAGCAATGAATGGTGGATCGGTCGGGAATGGCTTTTTGCGTTGGTCAAATCTAGAAATTTATATTGAAAAGTTAAATCATAGATTTTCATGGTTTCAGGAAGTTAAGCTAGCGAATAAGTGACGAGAAAAATTTATAGAGCAGTATAAAGTTTAAAGGGAATGAGGAGAAGAGAAAAATTGAAAGGAAAGAAGAAAAGAATATCAAGCATGATGATATGTTTGTAGGCATTAATGAAAAAATCTAATCGCACTTTAATTAACAATATTTTCGAACCGCATTTTAGTTTAACACATGAATCTCGATACGTTTAATGTTTTTATCACTATTATTGTGGAAATTTTACAAGGAAAATGCACGAAAATTGAGAAAAACTCACCGATTTGCCATTTTTTCGCGTGAAAGCGAAGTTTAATTTTTTCACTTAAAATCTCTTTATAACGTTATTCACACTAATTTTACACTTTTCTCAGCAAAACAATGACACTCTTGTACTTAAAACACCTTTTTATATCGATATTTATGCTGTATTTAATAAAAAATTAATTTATTTTAATTTTCGTGGATATTCAGCCTCCAATTTTGAAAATTGGTTGAGTTTTGATATTTTTTTATTTTTACATTCGATTTTTAAAAGTTCCAAAACCGTTAAAGTTATTTATGCATTTAACAAATGAATCTGATTTGAAGGAGTGTCTTCTGGTATTATTTCCCGATATTTACCTAAACCTATAACTAGATTATTTAATAGTGTAGGTGATTGCACTAGGATCTGAACTGAAATTGGTGATAAACAGAAACAAACTTGTGTGTACAATACAAACGATTATTAGTTCGAGATTTTAATGCAGGAACTGAGTTTAATAACAAAAGCTTTACCAAGAATCATGCTTTGCTGCTTTCGATAGAGAAATGAATACTGTTTAATTTCAGAAGTTTCCAAATAATACAAAGGATTAGAGTACCTAAGCTGACCTAAGCATCTTTGGATAAATTCTAGTCCCAATCAAGTTTGATTGGAAATGTGTAACAATTCATAGGACGCTAGGTTATAAGTCCAGAAACTATAAGTCCAGAGATTATAAGTCCAGAAAATCAAAGTGACTAAAGGTTTATAAGTCCAGATGCAAATTGTACTTGGACTTAAAAACCTCACGTGCAGTTCATAAGTCCAGGTACAAATACAGCTGGAATTATAAACTGCACGAGAGGTTTTTAAGTCCAGGTACATTTTATATCTAGACTTATAAACCTTACGTGTGGTTCATAAATCCAGAAAATTTATAAATTTTACTTATAATCTCCCAGTGCGATTATAAGTCCAGATATATTTTTCTGGACTTATAATCCTTGAAAATTATTTGAAATTATTTCAAATTTTTATATTCACACCGATTTGTTCAGATTGAAAAATCAGTTTTTCGCATTTTTTAAGAAAACAAAGCAAAAAAAGTTTGTGCCTGAAATTTCACAATTTTTACTTGAATATTTTTGAAAATAAATTTAAACGTTTCGTGCTTTAAAAAAATCAATTTCTTAGCTTCGCTCAGCATATGCCCTAGCAGACAAAGAGCATGCTCTTGATCAAGAGTACGGTTTTTTAACACTCTCTCAAGATCCCAGTAAAAAGCATGTTCAATAACGGACTCATTCATCCTCTAATTATAAATAACTTGCATGCAAGTTTTTACTTCATAATCTTTTATATAATCTCAAGAGCATGATCATTCACATCCTCATAAGATTATGCTAAAATTTTTCTTGCTATATACTTCACAAGCGCTAGCAGAAATCACTAGTATAAGTTATATGTAGTTCACAAGAGAAAGCAGAAATCACTTTTATAAGTAATTATTTTGAACTAGGGTTCGAATCACGACAATCACAAAACAAAAAAGAAAAATATCGATTTCTCAAAAACATGATCAAAAGCATAATCATAAGCTCATAATTAATTTTTAATTAATATAATTAAAGCATGATCAGCAGAACATGTTCTTGATCATGATCTCAAGTTTTACTTGCATGAAAAATTTGCAAGTAAAAAAGCGTTATCTTGAGAGCGTTTCTGTGGTACCCTGATGCGATCTCTATTTGTATGGGAGAGTACGCTAATTAAGCGACATCAAATTAAAATATTTATTTTTAAAAATCATGCTCAGATCGTGCTCTTTGTCTGTTAGGGATGTTTGAATAAATAAATCTAGCGAGTCAGCTGAGCTTCGTTCAGCATATTTCTGACTCGAGTCTTTAATTATTTTCTCACCAAAAATTTGTTTACAATTTGTAGATGAAAGCAAAACTTTGATTTTCTCTACTTTAAGTTGTTATTTCCATATCTCGCTAGCAAGTTGTTTGCTAATTTAAACTTAGGTTTGCATATTAAAACTACCAAATCAAAAGAAAACTGCTTATTAAGTCTTAAAATTGCAATTGAAATCTGAGTATTTTTACAAAACTTTAACTGTTTATAACTTACAAAGTCATACAAAGACCTCTCTGAAACCTATATAAATCGATTGATTAAGCTTAGATCAAAGATTAATAAATTAAGCTTAGATATTTGCGATCAAAGTTTACATAAATTTTCATACAAAATTTGGTCATGCACAATTTTTTTTGAAAAACTTTTAATTAAAAAATCATGTTTATCCTTTAAATTACGGATTGATTTTTATACATACTAGCTTTATACATTCAAACTTATGCTGAGCGAAGCTAAGAAATTGATTTTTTTAAAGCACGAAATGTTAAAATTTATTTTCAAAAATATTCAAGCAAAAAAAATTGTGAAATTTCAGGCACAAACTTTTTTTGCTTTGTTTTCTTAAAAAATGCGAAAAACTGATTTTTCAATCTGAACAAAACGGTGTGAATATAAAAATTTGAAATAATTTCAAATAATTTTCAAGGATTATAAGTCCAGAAAAATATATCTGGACTTATAATCGCACTGGGAGATTATAAGTAAAATTTATAAATTTTCTGGAATTATGAACCACACGTAAGGTTTATAAGTCTAGATATAAAATGTACCTGGACTTAAAAACCTCTCGTGCAGTTTATAATTCCAGCTGTATTTGTACCTGCACTTATGAACTGCACGTGAGGTTTTTAAGTCCAGGTACAATTTGTATCTGGACTTATAAACCTTTAGTCACTTTGATTTTCTAGACTTATAATTTTCTGTGCACGATTTTAGACCTGGAATTATAATCTCTGGACTTATAACCCAGCATCAATTTATAGGTTTTGGCTGAGCTGTTCATTTGATTTAAGTTCATTTTGTTTCAGTTCATAGTTCAAAATAATGAACTTTAGATTTTCAAAAAATGATCCAAACGTTAAATCGATAGTAAGTTAACGTAATTAACGATAAAATTGATTTTGTAATTCCTTTAAAATTCATGTTCCTTAACAAATAACCGATTTAAATTTAAAAATATATTGACAGTTAATATTAGTAGTCAAAAACATTCTTGATCTTCGATTGTAATCCCTGGATTGTTGATTTCTTTATATTGAAATTTCTTAATTAAATTGATTAAATCACTGATTTTAAGGACTATTTAAGTAGATATGCCTCGAGGTAAGTGTTCCTTATTAATTCCATATGACATACGAATGAATTAACAGCATTTAATAAGAAAAATTGTAAATGTGATTTTTTTTTCATTCAATTTTATTAAAACCTCATCAAAAATAGGAAAATATGTTAATCATAAAGGCCGAAACAGGCACTTTACATCACCTGAAGAATTGGAGCAGGAACGTAAGAAGGAGGAGATGAAAAAGTAAATATTTGATAAAATTGCGTATATTTGTTATTGTCTGATTATATTTGATTTGACACAACTTTTTAGATGGCGTAAAAAGAGGGATCAAGAAGAAGACGGTGATTCGTCTGAAGGAAGTGATGATGGATCTGATGAATCTGATAATGAGGGAAGTGACGAAACTTCAGAGTCTGAAGATGAAGGCAAGAAAAAGGGTGTTCATAATCTAATTGAAATTGAAAATCCAAATCGAGTCCAAAAGAAACAGACGACAAAGCTTAAAGATTTAGACCAACAAGTAGCAGCAGCTGGATCATCTTCAAGCAGTAAGGCACCGGTAGCAACAGCTCCAGCTGCTAATGCATCACCGCCAGAATTGTCTCGACGTGAACGAGAAGAGCTTGAAAAGCAACAGAAGCAAGCCAACTATCAAAAGCTACATGCACAGGGAAAAACGGAACAAGCTCGTGCTGACTTGGCTCGATTAGCTATAATCAGGCAACAGAGAGAGGAAGCAGCCAAGATGCGTGAACAGAAGCGAAAAGAGGTTGATGCAAAAGGCAAAGGAACTGGAAAATAATGATAAATCATCATCTCTATATCCTATAATATAATTTTTTTATTGCAATTGACTTATATTATAATATAAAGTTTTTTTAATCATTTTTTCCTTGTTTTTCAAGATGAATATAATTCAATAAAAAATTCTCGAGTTATAAACTAATTAATTTCAAAGAAACATTATGCTAGAATGTCATTTTTTATATGTTGTAATAAATTCACTACAAATGCTTCAGCGCCGTACAATTGTTTTTAAGAACTATACAAATTCTTTCAATTAAAACCATACAAATTACTTCCAGTTTTATGAAAACCTTACAAATGAATGGATTTGTTTGAAAGTTTTCCGTTAAAGAAACCTCGCACGTGGCGTGTAAAATTATTAAAAATTGATCAACATACTTGTTATAATTAGATATTTGATATTGTTTTTTATTCATTTTTTTAAAATAATAATGCAAAATTTAAATAGTTCTGACAAACCCCAAGTTGTATAATAAAAAATAAATCATGATTCAAAAATAAAAGGAATAATAAATACAGTTTACCATATGTTTGATCTCAGAACAACCAGAAATACATGCCAACAATTAATAAAATGATTCCAGCGATTGCACCTTTAACATACATAGAGCGTCTATTCAATTGTGTAGCACTTTTCTTGTATTTCTGTGATAACATTGATAGTCCTTGAGCTTTTGTGTCTAATTCTGATAGAACGGCACCGCGCTGCAAAACATCATCAATATTCTGTACCATAATTCTCTGAACATCTTGTAGCTGTGAATTGATTGTGTTTATATTTCTTCGTCTATCCGTTAATGATTTCTTAGCTTTTTGTATATAAATATCGAATTCAATAAATTGGTAAGGTCTTGTGACTGTATTAATCTTCCTTCCATAACTATTATAAAACTCTTGGGCAAGATCTTCGAGATAATTAAATGCGATTCGTTTGGAAAACATTTTGTCACATAAAACAAGATAGCAGACTTCATTTTCAATCAAATAGCTGCAAAGTTGAGAATATCAACTATAAATTGGATGTTTTGACTTGATAATTCAGTTGATACTCACTGAAATAGATAATTGCCAGTCTCTATTGAACATCGTTGAGGTGAATTTGGACCTAGTTTTCTAAACAGCATCTTTGCCTGATTCTGATATTCTAAGACATTCTTACCCGACTATTAAAGGAATTAAGTTATTATTGTGAACTTTCTTTTACGATATTTGTTAATTTACTCACTTCCTCATTCTCCTGCATAGTTCCGACTAACGGTAATCCATCAATGGTCCTTGCTATCATTGTCATTAAAGCCATCTCTCTCTTATTCCTTTTATTTCACGAGATTTAATTAAAATATACAAAAAACTAAGTTTTGCGATGATGTGTCGCTTTTTTTGATGTTTGAAATCCCTGAACTGGGCATGCAACTACAGACACTATTTGTTATTGTTTTGATAATTTTTTGAGTAAAAACACTAAATTAAGAATTACAGCTTAATAAAGATGGATAATGAGGATTTTGACTTGTATGGTGATTTGGATGAAGCACTAATTGAACCTTTACAAGAAGAAGTGCAGAAAAAGCAGGCAGAAGAGCTTGAAAAACAGAAAAACGATGAAAATTTTCGTGAAAAAACTGAAAAAATTATAGATGAATTAAAAACTAGCAATTTTCAATTGAAAAAGAACATGTCCTTGCTATTGGCAACTGCTAAAAGCGAGATTGAGAGGTAATTAATTGATTATTTAAATAATACAGCAATAATATTTGATATTTCATCATTGTGCTCAACATCCAGAAAAGATCAACAAATTAAGGATCTGAGACGGGAGATGGACGAAGTCTTATTCAGAAAGAACAAAGGATCACAAAAAAAGACTTGTGATAAATGGGCACAAACTGATAAAGTTGAATTTAATGATAATAGAAGTAATTCAAGTAGATATAACGAATCAAAGTTGCATGACCGACACAAGCCAAAGGAACCAGCAGATTCTGACAGACACAAGAGAAAGTTGTCACCAGAGAGAAAATATTCTGATGATTATCGTAAAACATCACATAGAGATGAAAATGGATCTAGAAGTAAAAATTATGAAGCAAAAAGTCGTAAACTAAGCCATGAAAATAGATCGAGGTCACCTGAAAAGCATGAAAAGAAATCTAAACATGAATTACGTGAAGATGACTTACGTAAAACACTTTTAAAGAACAAAAATGATGATAAAGCTGGTTCCAGTAGCAAAGAGTCGACAAAAAAAGCTGATGAAAGGAGAGACGGTAGTTCTGGACGAGATAAAAAGGATAAATATAAGGAAAAGGATAGAATTAAAGAGAAGCATAGCATTAAAATTGAAAAGACTGACGAGAAACGTGATAAAAAGAAAGCTGAGCAAAAAGTCGCTAAGGAAAAAGTAGCTAGTCCAAAAAAGATTAAAGATAAAGTTTCAGAATTGAAGATCAATGTGGATGTAGCTGCTGAAAACACAAAACCTTTTAATGGCAGCATCAAGCAAGAAAATGTTGCTGTGAACTCTAATGATATCCCTAAACCAGAAAAAATATTGGAAGAAATGATAGCTGGTTTAAAATCAATTAAGGAAGAAATTGAAGAACCTAAATCTAGCGAAATTTCTATCTCCATACCCGATAAAACGAGTTCTTCAAAGAGTGTTGAGACACAGGTGACAACTGTTGACAAAACAGCACTAGAAGACAAAAATGTTGAAATAATGGAAGTGATGCCAAGCAATTTGAATCTTTCTGTGGAATCTGAGATAAATGAAAGTTCAGTTCAGTCTGAAAAAGTTACACATGAAAATTTTAAGGAAGAAAAAGAAATCTTGATGCCTGATAATCCAATAGAATGCATCACAAAAGAGAAAATTCCAGTGAAAACTGAAGAACCAGAACCTAAAAAACAAAAATACGTGAAAATTTTTGAAGCCAAAATATTTCCAAGTGCAAAGGACATGAAAAATGATGGAGGGTCCAAAAGTGCTCAAAAATTCCATCCAATCAGTAGAATAACTAGCAAAGAGCTACTTCCAATATCTGTTACAATTGATAAATCTCCGATATTAGAACAAGAAAAATCCCCAGACAATATAATTATAACAGAAGAAATAACTGCTCCTATTACTGAAATCATGCAAGAAATAAAGGAAGAAGCATTCGATATTCCAGTTGTTAAAAATGAAATTAATTCAGCTCCAGAATCTCTTAATGACTCGTTTGAGTCCACGAAGGAAAATTCATTGAATAATTCGTTTGAAAAACGAAAACACAAGAAACGGAAGATTACAACTGAAGTGGAAGCTGATGGAACTGTTGTGTGGACAGTCACTAGAAAGAAGCGTAAAACCAAGGAACAAAATTGAATTTTCATGATGAATGAATTTTAAGAAATGCCATGATTTATAAATCAGATTAATTAATAAAAGATAAATTATATTTGTACAACATAAGTGTATTTAATTTTTTTGGGTACGATTCTATTACATCCTCAAATTTTGAATGCTATTATCAAAATAAATAAACGTTTTTTTTTTTCAAGAAATTCAAATTTTTTTGACATTAATAACTGAACTGAATTGAATTAAGATGAAATTTTTAAACTAAGATGAATTTTTTGAACCTAATCTCAAATTTTTGATTACCATTTTAAGAAATGTCAAGGAGTTCAATATGATGAAAATAGGTAATTTAATTAAGTTTTTTAAGGTTTGCAGTGACTAATAATTATTTTAGATATCACTTTAGACCAACTTCCAGAACACATTTTGGAAGAGATATTTTCATTTATATCAGACAAGGACGATTTGAGAATTGTCTGTAAGACTTTTAAAGATATCATCGATAATTTTGCAAAGTTAATGAAAGATCGATGGCTTATAATTGATAATGTCCTGGATGTTGATTCGAGTACCATTCATCATCAGTATCAAAAAATAGTTGTATATAATATAGGAAGCAAAGGAATTAAATGGATATCTAATTATCCGTATAAGAATCGAATTAAAGCAATCAAGATTAGGTGCTGTGAAGATGATTTAGTCATATCAGCACATTATATTCAATACATTCTATCAAATTTCAATGAACTGAAAATGCTCTATTTTATGACATGTGAATCATGTAAATTGCATGAATCATCCTTTGACGAAATCAAGCTGATACCAAACCAACTGTCTAATTTGGAATCTTTACATATCAAATATTATTCAGATCATCCTAACAACGTAAGAAAACTTTTATTCATGCTTATATAAATTAATTAAATTAAATTAATGTTTGTTTTCAGATCTTAGAAATGTTCTCAGACATACCGACTATCAAAAATATAATTATTGATGGCTTTGAAGTACTAAAATTTCCAAGTAAGGTTGAATGGCAACTTGAGCAATTAATAATTCCATATTCATTTGATCAAGAAATCGATGATGACAATTTTAAGTCATTCTTAGAAAGCCAACAGTCTACATTGAAAAAATTAATATTTCCCGATTCTTTGAACTATACTTTCTTTGTCATGCGTAATTTATCAAATTTAGATAATCTTACTTTGAGCATTGAATGTTACCATCAAGAAAATGACAGTTTTTTGATTGGAAATTCACAATTACAACGCCTAAACATAGTGGATACAGTTAACCCGTATGTTCTGGAAAAGTTCCTCAATCATTACAAAAATATCAAGTACCTTAGCATCACATCAAAATGTCAAAGTAGTGATTTCAACTTTAATCCGTCGCTTAATTTAAACTTGAAAAATTTGACACATTTACTGTTGAAAGGAACAGATTGCTTTCCATTTTTAAATTTTGATTTACTTAACATAAAGGTTCTGGTATTAACATTCAGTGACGATGAGATATATTATGGTTTTTCACAGTTTTCAAGCGAAAATTTACAAAATGTTGAAAAGTTAAGCCTCCGTTTCCAGAAAGTGAAGGAAGTCCTTCCAGTGCTTTCAAAATGTTCGAAACTGACTGAATTAAACTTACAAATTGAAGAATGGAACAAAGTTAAAAATAAGACCATCATCAGCAACATTAATGTTATCTTATCGGTTGTGCCTAACGTGAAATATTTGGGTATATGTTCATCATTGAATCAAAATTTAGGAAGTGAAGAAATGCTGGATGAAATTAATAGTAAAGGTGTGACTTTGACAATCTGCAATGATTTTAGATCGTGGATTGCTGAAGATTGGGGGACAGAAAATGTTAAGTATATGGATTTGTTTTAATTATTTTTATATGCACTGGATATTGAGATATTTAATAAATCTTATTTTGTTTTTTGCTTAAAAATTGTAACGTTTTTCTTATTTTAAAACATTTTTGAACCTAAAGAATGAACCGAATTGAATCGAAATTTCGAACTACTGAACAAATTGAACTTTAACACATTTGTTTTAAATAAAATGCTTAAAAATTAAAAATGATGAAATTAGGGATGACCGTTCAAAACACCTAAAGTTTTTTACCTCTAAACATTTCAAATTTATAAAACCTACATTTTCTGCATCTAGAGTTTTTAATCTCTATATACATTTGTGTATAGGTGTTAAAAACTGCATGTGCAGTTTTTTTACTTCTAATGATTTTTTCATTTTTTGCGCATGCAGTTTTTAATCTCTATATGTAAATGCATATAGAAGTTATAATCTACACGTGTTTATTTGAACTGAATACTTAAAGGGTTTGTAGCCAGAACTTAAACATTAGCTTTCTCAAATTTAATTCAAACATTTTTATTGATATACATTTTGCTTTAATAATATTACAATTTCAACAAGAGAAGAAAGTTTCTTAAGCAAAAGAAAAGCTGGTGTCAAGTCCCTTCGATGCTTCCTCTAATTCCTGAATCTTTTTCAATTTCTTCTCCTTTTTATTACTTTTTGATTGCTTGCGCTTTCCATCTCCATTCTTGACAACTGTCGTTTCTTGATCATTGCTTTGCTTCACGGCTGATGGATCGATTTTATCATTAGGAATAAACTCAAACTTCATGCTATTGCAAAGATCACGGTATGCATTTAATATATTTTGTTTCAGGATCAAATGTTTACGGAACTTCTGAATAGCTACAATAAGTTCATCCTTGGCTGTAAAATCCTTAACATTCTTCATTGCCTTCATGAAATGAACCAACTCGAAGAATTCTGGCTGGGGAACGTCATTGACATCAGCAGCATAACTTTTCAAATGATCAAAAATTCTCGTAAAATATTTTGTTGCTCTTTTCTGGTTCTGTTGGAAAAGGAAGTGATTTTTGAAAAATTCTCTAAGCATTTGAAGTGACTGAATTCTTCGTAATGACCGAATAGCTGGTTTTAAGCCATCATCACTAATCATTCTAGCTAATTTAAAGTTTCCAGGCCATTGAATAGACAGGATCTTCATGAATGTCGTTAATTGAAGGATTGGATTGCGATGACTTATAAATTGTGTCATGTGCTCAATTATAGTCTTTAGAACTTCATCGTCCTCGTCATTAGACAACTTTTGCAGAATGTGTGATGAATAAATGATAAAGACACACGTATGCTTGAAATAGTTTTGTTGCTGGATGTTTGTTTTTTCTCTCGATGTTTTCTCAAGTACATTCGTAAATGTTTCAGCCAAATTCTTTTGTGTGACATTTTGAACAGTCTCTAAACTGAATGTTTTCAATTGACTAAGCTGTACGAAAATCTTTTCAAATCGTGCTTTTATTTCTGGCTGTGCAATTGCTATTGGCATCAAGTCAAAGAAGAATAGAAGAATTTCCAAGCATATTTCAATCTGTGGACTGTTCTTGAGGTAAATTTCGACAAGATCAAGGATACGCATACGAAAATGAAGCAGTGCTTTATCTGCCATTAAAACAGACTTTGTCTTTTTCTTTTTCTTTAAATTTCGATGTTCAATGAGCATTTTAAAGGCATTTCCAAGAGCTTCATTAAGTCTCTTACCTTCTTCTGGTGATATTTTGTCGACATCGATGTCTGAATCCTCTTCATTATCATTGTCATCGCCATTTTCCATTAAAACATTTTGTACAGCTAAACGAACTGTATCTTGAATAGCATTTTCATCATTTTCTTCGTCACTAATCATGTCAACATCAGATGCTTCTGATTCTGTTTCCTCGTCAATTTCTTCATCGATTCCATTTTCATCTAGTTCCTCTTCGTCGTCGTCAATTTCCTCAACACTTTCATCATCGTTAATTTGAAGCGGATTTTCTTTATTTCTTATATCCAACATTGAAAGAATTTGATGGAATGCAGATACATTAATTGCACTACAAAGTGACGGAAATACATGCTGAATAACTTTTCTTAGGACATAAGACTCTTGTGATAAAAGTGTCAGGAATAAATCCACAACAACTTCAATCCATTCAGGTTCATTTTCATCACTTTTTTTCTTTTTCATTACTGCACGATCTAGTACAGCAAGTAGCTCACTAATGGCATTTTCAGCGACTTCACTGTTATTAAATAGCTGCAATCCCATGTGCATTAATAAGACGTGAAAAACATTTTTCAACTTTTTATCCTTTTTGTCAGGCTTTGTTGAGACTTCTTCGAACATTTTAGTCCAAATATCTGAGCAGTTTGATTCAAGTGGCTTTTGGAAGTACTTTCCGGAATCCTTGACTACATATTCATTAATATGATTAATAACTCCCATCAAAACTTTCTTTTCGTCCTCAATTTTCGGATATTTATGCTCCAAGCTATGATAAAATAGATTTTTGACATTTGCAGCAATACTATTTGTATAATTATCTTCATTCGTCACTTCCGTACCATCCTTAGACTTTAAGAATGCAATATTAGCAAAGAAATTCAGTTGTTCAATGCGCCATTCTGGATTATTTGACACTAATTTATTAGTCATTAAAATCTTTTGAACAATCGTTGCTGCATACTGTCTCTCCTTATCATCTGATTCAAGATTTGTTACTGCTGCCTTAATATAACTTACAGCTTCAGTAAGTCCATCAAGTTCCAATGAATTTACAAGATTTGTGATGAATTTCTTGATTGAATTCTTCTCAACTGAAAGATGCTTAAATAGCTTTAATGCTTGAAGTTTTTGTGAATCATTCTTGAGATTTGACAGACGTTGATCCAAAAGGTCATAAAATTCTTTGTGAATTTCTTGAATGTCTTCATCTTTAGCTACTTTACTGCTTTGAATGAACAGCATGTCAAGAAAGTTTGGAGTTAAAAGATTAAGCACTTCTTTTGGCTTTTCATCTAAACTTTTAAGGATGAAAATAGCACAATTAATTGTAATCATGTCCACTAATTTTGAGTTCTTGGATTTTACAAGGAGAGTCTCAACATGATTTGGCCAAAAAGCCTTTAATAACTTCAGATCAATCAATCGTTTGATGAAATAAACGTAAATTGGATGGTTAACTAAGCTAATTTTATCCATTTTCCATAAAAGGTTTACAAAAATGTCCAAATTCTGTGAACAAAGAATCTTATCGCTTTGCCAATTCCGTTTATAGAATATCTTGTCTATCGTCGCTGGATGATGATCCTCAATGAGCAATAACAAGTATGTAGGATTTATTGTAATCTTATCCTTAGGTACATTCAAATGACTTGAAATATTGGGCCATACTGAAGACTTTACTGTATCTGAGCTTACCTAGAAGTTGATTACTAGCTTTAATACAGATTATAATGATTGATTTCTATGAGTAACTTACTTTTGTGACTAATTCTGCGAGGAAGTTGTATGCTAAAGGTGCAACTGATGGTTTTGTGGAACAGCTAGTTAAGTGCTTGACAATTTCTTGAATCTCTTCTTCACTGGAACTTCCAAGCATTTTTTCTGATCTGATAATTGCTCCACAAATTAATGCTTCTCCAATGATAGAATCAAGTCCCTTCCTGTCTTCCTTAAACTCTTTAGCCATGATCTCGAAGATTTCTGATACTTTTGGCACATTTTCAACATTCGCCGACAATAATCCACAAAAAGCTGTGTAAAATCCAATTCTCGAGTTTGATGTTGAGGAACCAGTTCCTCTAATTAATCGCTTAACTGCATAGGATAATTCCTACAAACAATACACATCATGAATTTGCTTAATTACAGTTTAATTGAAATTTTTGTTTACCTTTTCGGTTGTCAATTTTTCCATTTGCTGGATTAAGGAATGAGCACCTGATATTCGAACATTCTCGTCTTCATTTGTTAATTTTGAGAAATTCTCAAACACTGAGGTATTTATTTTAGGCTTTTCTAGCTTCATTTTTAATTAAATTCACTTTTATTTCTGCTTGATTTTGAAAACATGTGCGAACGATGTGTTAGCACTTAATTTATGACAAAACAGTCTGTGAGATCTCACTTTGTCTGCTGTGTTATCTTTAATATTGATTTTATTAAATTTTGTATAGTTTTTGTTGTTTTGAAGCCACTGGAAGTTAATTTAAGTTAAGATATTCAGGTTCAAAAGTAACGGATTTTTAAAATTCAAAACAAAGTTCAAAATAGAGTAAAATTAAGTTCAATTTCAAATTTTAAAAGTCTGTTAAATTTGAATACCTATTTTAGCCTTAATCAAGTCAAATTAATTAATTAAAGTACAATAAGTAAGCATATGCTTACCAGTTATGTGCTTCAGTAGCTTTCCTACTTTCAAGTTGTTCAGGAATAAAAACAAAACATACTTTTTTCAAAGGGCGAGTAATAGAAATAAACAGAAAAACGTGGGTCTTTTTAATATCCCGAAAAATGGCAATTACCGGTACAATTCATCGTGCTGGTAGCTTAAAACAGACGAACAAGTCTCATAAACATGGACAGCATAGATCGAAACGAGAACTTGATACTGAAAATAAAGGTAAATTGATAAATTAAGTTTTTGACCAAAGAAATTCAAGAAAAAATTTGTTTTCAGGTCGAGTTCCAGTGAAAACTTCAACAAAAAGGAACAACAAGGTAATGAGACGTGAGGATCGTCGTTTACAACAGCATCAGTTGAGAAAGAATAAGAGAGATGAAGCAATTGATAAGAAGAGAAAACTTGGTGGATTAACAAAATCAGCTCCGTTCTTGACATGTTTTGTTGCTCTTAATGAGCTTGTAGATGTTGATTCTGCATTAGCTATAATTGAGAGTTGCGAAGAGGATGCAGTTCTTGACAAAACAAATCCATTAATAACATACATGAAATCGTTAAGATTAAAGCAACGATTCTCATTTGTCAAGTCAAAATGTGGAATTGGAAATGAAATGAAGGCACTGGATTACTTGAAAGTATGTGACAGCACTGTGTTGGTAATATCAGCACAATCAGAAGATGTTGTAGATAAAGTTGGTGATAAATTTTTGAATTTCGCGATTGCTCAGGGAATTCCAACACCAATTGTAGCACTTATGGATTTAGAATCAGTTAATCCAAAGAAACGGAGTCAAGTAAAGATGGATATACAGAAGAGAATGAACATCTATTTCCCAGATGAAAAGCTAATTGTCCTGGACAAGACAACAGATGGATTAAATTTATTGCGTAAAATTGGTGGACAAAAGAGAAAGACCTTGCATAATAAAGAAAATCGGGTTCATATGTACTCAGAAAAAGTTGAGTATAGCGATAATACATTGAAACTTACTGGATATGTTCGAGGCATACCATTAAATGTCAATAACTTAGTTTACATCCCAGAACTTGGAACTTTCCAAATGTCACAAATTGATTCAGCTCTCGATCCAATGTCAGTTGAAGGATGTTCAGCTCAAGTCTTGGCAAAAGCAAATCCAGCATTACAATGTCCATTAATCTCTGAAAATACACCAGACGAGATGGATGCAGAGCAAGCATTCCCAAGTGAAGCTGAAATTGCACAATCAATGGCTGATAATAAGGAACGAAAATTAATCAAACGAATTCCAAAAGGTATGAGTGACTATCAAGCATGTTGGGTACCTGATATCGAGGAATTGGATGAAAATGAAGATTATAGCGATGATGATGAGGAAGACAGTAAAAGTTTCATGTCTTGTGACTCAAATACTTCACTTCCAAAACATGTTAAAAATGATGATGAAATGGAAGCCGATGGTTCTGATAACGAGGAATATGAGGATGTAACAGACGAGCAGTCACAAGTGCCAAATAAAGAGCAACAGTATGATGATCAAATGGATCTTTATGAAGAATATGAGACACAAGAAAAGTTAAAAGCACAGCGATCTGATGCAGCCTTTCCTGATGAAATGGATACACCAGCAAATGCGCCAGCAAGAACTCGATTCCAAAAATATCGTGGATTAGAATCATTCAGAACATCACCATGGGATCCAAAAGAGAATCTTCCATACGATTATGCAAGGATTTTCCAATTTAAAGATTTTGATAGAATTAAAAGGAGAATCATTAAGGAAGCTGCTAATTGTGATGGTGACGTAATGTCTGGAATGTATGTAACAATTCATATAATGAACGTGTCTAATGAGGCATGGGAAAATTATAAATCAACTCGTGGCACTGACAACATCATTCTCTATGGATTGTTGCCTCATGAAAATAAAATGTCATTACTGAATGTTGTTTTGAAACGTTCGCCAAGCTCAACAATACCAATTAAGTCTAAAGAGCGTTTAATATTTCAATGTGGCTTTCGTCGATTTATCGTAAATCCGATATTCAGTCAACATACGAATGGAAATAAGCATAAATATGAGCGATTTTTCCAACCTAATTCAACTGTTGTTGCCTCATTCTTTGCACCCATACAATTTCCACCAGCTCCCGTTCTCTGTTTCCGTGAAAATCCAAATGGATCATTGTCGCTTATTGCTAGTGGAAGTTTAATGTCATGCAATCCTGACCGAATTGCTCTAAAACGTGTTGTATTGAGTGGACATCCATTTAAAATTCATAAGAGAACTGCAACAATTCGTTTCATGTTCCATAATAAGGATGATGTTTCTTATTTCAAACCATGCAAGCTTCGTACTAAATGTGGACGAATTGGACATATTAAGGAATCATTAGGTACCCATGGACATATGAAGTGCGTTTTTGATGGACAATTAAAGTCGTTTGACACGATTTTCCTTCAACTTTACAAGAGAATGTTCCCAAAATGGACATATGAGGAATATAAGAGAAATCCAGTAAAATCTGATGATACTAAAATGGAATAACTAAATGGGATTTGTAAGTTATGCTGAATTATATTATTTTTATCAATGAAAATCTGTGAATTGCTTTGTTTGAAATAAAAAGTGCAGTAATGTTAATGAGAGATTTTTCACAAACGAATGCTAATGTCAAGTGGTTCCATAGAGATGTAAATAAATTTATATTTCAGTCTCAGTCATTAGTTATGATGCGAGTGTTGTACATTTTTATCGTTTGTCTTCTTATCGCGTTCGTTGTTCCTCACTCAAATGCAGACTTAAATTGTACGGAAGTAGATGAATCAGCAGTAAAATTTTATCGTGAAAATGTCTGTCGACTTCCAAAAATTATCGGTTCATGTAAATTAAAGCAAAAGAGATTTTTCTATAATCGAACGTCACACGAATGCAGTCAATTCTATTACGAAGGATGTGCTGGAAATCGTAACAATTTCAAAACAAAATCAGCGTGTGAATGTGCATGCAATCAACAATTTGGCTCTATAGAAACCGTTTCAGACGTCTCGAATAGCACATAATTGTTAGCGCCTTACTTAAGTCTATGGAATGTATTCAATTTCATTCCTTCTTTTTTCACTTGTCAAGGTTGCATGGAAAAACATTGGAAGTAGAATGAGACGATAATGAAAAGCAATAAGAGGTTGTTTTCCTTCCTATTTTAATTTAATATTCCACCTTCAATCTTCCTCGTCATTTAGTTCTAATGTATATCTACAAGTAATGTGAGCGAGCCGAAAATAAATGTTAAATTTTATGCTGTGTAGAAATACAATGTCTGTAGATAATTAAAGCGCATAATCGATGCACGAGGAAATTGTCGTATATGAAATCGGAACTAACGTTGTGAATGGAAAATAAGTAAACTGTGGATTAAAGTCAATTTATGAAGTGAGGGGTTGGAATTTATTTTGGATTATGAATTGTAAACTTGTGGATTAGTTTTTAGTGATTTGAAAGCAGCATTTTTGATTTAACGGTTAAAATTAATTTGCATCTTTGAATCTCGTTTTGCATCTTTGAATCTCGTTTTGCATCTTTGAATCTTGTTTTGCATCTTTGAAGCTTGTTTTGCATCTTTGAACCTCGTTTTGCGTCTTTTAAATTTTTACAAAATGGCGCCAAGTTGTTGAAGTTTGGTCATTTTAATCTCAATCATCGCCTTGAAATGTTCATCCCTAGTATACTACTTCAATTAAATCACTAATAAGCTCAAAGAAACGAAATATTCAATTCCAAGACTGTTGGAAACTTGAAAACAGCTGAATAACATGAATTTATGAACCATAACAGCTCAGCCAACAAAAAGCTTCAACTTAATGCACACATTTCCACAAACAGCGTTAAAAATCAACGAAATATAATATTGTATGAACGTAAATCTCATTTGGAAATATAACTTGCTGCATATTCATGTGGAAGGAAGGAAGTCAAAACGTTAGAAATTTGAATACAAAAGAGTTTCATTAACATTAAAAACACACATGAATGGAAAGCTTTACGAGGAGTAATTCATAAATATTGTATTAACTTTGATAAAAGTAAATTAATTAGATGTGAAATATTACAAAAAAGCCGTTTTATTGTAAAGAGTGAGTTCATTAAAGCATGAATAAAAAAGCTTGAGTCATATTTCAATTGGATTAATACATTGTTACCTAAACTCCCATAGACAATATTCGTTTTTCATTCGCTTTTTCCACATGACATTTTCATTGCTCTGTGATTTTCCCGAGCGAAGAGTCTCCGTCTTCATTGTTTATTTTGTAAAATTTGTGGTTGCTATAGCAGGTTTTGGCTTAAGAAAGTAATGTACTTTCCATATTTCCTTTTTTTCTGTTAGCATCCGCGCGAATCAGTCATTCAGTTTATCAAAATTCGTTGAAGAGTGAATTAGGAAATAAATTAAGGAGCGCGAGTGTTGAACGAAAATAAGTTATAGAATCGACAGTATTGCAGTCTAGCAATTCTATTGGAACAAAAATTAAGGATTTTTTTAGTCAATTGTGGATAAAGTTACAGTTTAAACCTGGGAAATTGTGTTAATTCATCGCTTGCCGTTGTGCAGCAGAAGCTTAAGTAGTGACAATAAATAAAACATTCATCAATCAATAGTTATGTCAATTTATGAATAAATTTGTTTATACTGTTAATCTAGATTAAAATCGATGAATTTATATTACTTGGACGTATCGCCTCCGTGTCGATCTGTTTTATTATTAGGACGAATCTTAAACCTCGAGTTTACCTTGAAAACTGTCAATATACAGAATGGTGACCATTTAAAAAAGGAGTTTCTAGAGCTCAATCCAACCCACACTGTACCAACGTTGCAAGTATGGCAATGCTGACAGAATTATAAATTGACAATAATTAATAATGCTAAAATTTCTTTTCTGTGGACTAGATTACTGAAAATAACTTAGTCTTATGGGAGTCGCGCGTCATGTGAGTAGAAAAATGACATCATTAGAACATGTAAAATAAATGGGGGTAAATCACATTCGAGTTATTCATAAACGTGATGTGCTTTGCAAGGTTGGATCTCTTTCTACCGGTTTACAGATGTGGGGATTCCAATGCTACCGCTCAGGGGTCGTTCACTTATGATGTCCAATATTAACGGTCATTTTTCAAAACAAAACTATGGAATTTCTGGAATTTCTCCCCCCCCCTTCAACTAGACGTCATAAGTGAATGGTCCCTTAGCTATCCACTCAGAAGCTATTAACATCACTTATTAACAACTCCCAATGATACCATTAGAATGTCATCTAATTAACCCTTCCTTTCATTCCTACTCAATCTAGTCTATCATATTTAGCAAGTGCGTATGGAAAAAGTGAACATGAACATCTCTATCCGAAGGATGTTGAAAAACGAGCAATTGTTGATTTATACCTGCAATTTGACCTGTCAACTTTATTTCAAAGAACTTATGAGTATTTTTTTCCCACAATTCTTTTCGGAGCACTTCTCGATGAAGCAAAAAAGGCAAAATTGGCTGAAGGATTACGTTTTTTCGAGGCCATGCTTAGCAAGGATAAGAAGTTTTGTACATCGGACGACCTCACTATTGCCGATATTTCACTATGCATCACCGTATCGCAAATAGAAGCTTTCGAATTTGACTTGTATCCATATCCAAAAGTACGAAAATGGATAGTAAATTGTAAAAACGAACTACAGCAATATGGATATGAGGTAATGATAAGAATTCGACAAAAGTTCAATGACCTCGACTTACTTTTCTATTTTCTTTTTTTTTCGCCTAGGAAATAAATAGTGCACCAGCAGAAATTCTGGCTTCGATTTTCCGATCCAAACTCAAATACTCGTAAAGTAATCAACATAATCTCACATAAAAGAAAATATATTGCAAAATCATCATAGACATAGCTACTTACTATTTCGTTATTTTATGATCATGCTATTTTGTTGAAGATGACGATATGGCAAAATAATTAAGTGTTAATAAAATTTTATGGATTACTATTCAAAGACTAGATTAGCGTTTATTTTGGCGTTAAAATTAATGACTCAATACGTCCTTGTGAAATCATTAATTATCTTTTGGTGACAATTAACTGCTCGTGGCACATAACTATTTGTAGATGAAAAGAATGTCAAACAAAATCGAATAGAACAGGACTTGCTTTTGCTTTTGTTGACCTTTAGAACTTTGTGGAATTTTTCTATTATCATAATGGGATTTCAAAATGATTCAGAATCGAAAAAAATGTTCAAAAATTCAAAAATTTCATGTTAATTAAACTTTATCTTTTAAATGCCAGATTAAAGATCTTACCTTTATACATATCCTTTAAAAATATCTCGTTCCTATTTGCTGTCTAACTCCAGAAATCATTAATTTAATCTCACCCAAAATTTGTTTACAATTTGAGTATGAAAAAATAAATGTGATTTTTTCTACTTTAAGTTGTTATTTGGATGTCTTGGAAGCAGTTACTAGCTAATTTAAGCTAAGCTTTACATATTAAAACAACCAACTCAATAGAAATCTGCTTATTAAGCCTTAAAAATGGAATTGAAATTTGAGTATTTTTACAAAACTTAAACTATTCATAAGTTAAAAAGTCTTCCAAAGACCTCTCTGAAACCTATATAAATCAATTGATTTAGCTTAAATCTATCTCCCATATTACTAAGGACATGCCGTTTGATGTCGTTTTCAAGATATTTGCGATCAAAGTTTACATAAATTTGATCATGCACAATATTTTTTGATAAACTTTTACAAACTTTTGGTAAAAAATCATGTTTATCCTTTAAGGACTGATTTTTTGAGCAATAAACGAAACTATTATGGGGCCGTTCATTTATTACGTTCGCATTTTAGGGGGGGGGGGGGGGGGGGGGGGGGTTGAAAAATTGTAACAAAATGTAACACTTGGGGGGGGGGGGGGGGGGTCAAGAAGTATGTGAATGTCCAGATCACTTTTGATAGCTAAGCAATAAATAGCTTATTAAATAGTTTAATAACTACTTATAAAAAATTATCAAAATAAAATAAATTATGAACGTTCAGGGGGGGGGGGGGGTTGTGAGTTGTAACATATTGTAACAAGGGGGGGGGGGGGTGAAAAAAGTCTTTTTTTTTGCGTAACGTAATAAGTGAACCTATGTAGAAGATGCAAAAAGAATCAAATCAAGAGAAATTAACAAAAACTTTTAATTTTCTAATGTGTCTGAAAAATATTGTGCACAAGGTATTTTTGAACATTTTTTCCGAATCTGAATCATTGTGGATTTGGGTTGATTGATTTCGATGTGGTTTGTTGTTTAACATTTTCTAATGATGGCCTTGAAATCAGCCTCAAAAATTCAATAATACAAATATTTAAACAACCTTAATGTCTCGCCCATTTTGGTCAATTAGGGATTAATTCTTATTTAGGCGCATTTTTGATTAGATTTCGTCAGCTCCACAGCTTCAGACTATTTCACTGGATGATTAAGAATTCTTTTATTCGTCCTTAATCTTGGAAGTCACAAGTGAACAACCCTTAATAAGATCATGACATTACTTTCGTACTTAAATTAATTTTCTGGAGTTTCCAAATGACAATTAAAACAGCTAATAATCAGTTTATGATTTCAACATGATTCATCCATTATTCAAGCTGATGCAGCTATGTCCTTGTACTAAATAAGTATATGAATGACCAAATGAAAGATAAAACAATTTATGCAACTCATTTGAAACACGAATAAGGTCGTTGCTGATTCAAGAATAATTTTTGAATCACGTGAGCTGCAAACTAGAATTCTTAATGAGCCAAAAATTAATACATGCAGAACTAGCGAGAATGTTCTTGCATTCTATTACTTCAAAAACCTACTACTATGAAATTTTAAAGAATCAGCATCGATGAAAATTTTCAGAATGTTATGAAATTCCAAATGTGATCGATGATCTTAAAATATTGAGAATCTTGTCTATATAAAGAGATTGAGGTGCTTAAGAATATCCAATACAATTAAAATACAGACTGATAAATATTTATAGCGAGTAATGAATAGAATAATTGCTGAATATGAGATTGCCGGTCAATATTTGCTTGACTGACTATCAGAGGCGTATCCAATTTTTTTTGTATATTCTTAAAAATTCATTGTAGCTTAAACTAGCTTATTAAGCTCAGCATCCATTGAAAGCACCGTTTGAAACAATTTAAGACGTATCCAGAAGTAGGAACTAAATCTTTCACCCCTGAATACACCCCAGCTGCTTGTTAACACGAGCTTCATCTGTGTACGAGAGTAATTATACCTAACATGAGGTCCGCATTACGCGTTGATGTTTAATAATGCTTGACAGAACATCCAAAATTTCGAGAAGCCTTACAATGTAGCTTAAATTATTAGAATCAATTGGCTGTTACATAACACCTCTCTGTCAAGGTCGAATTACTATTTTTGAATGTGTTGTACTACATGCTTAAATTCTAGTTGTTTGTTTGTGATTGCTTTAATATGCCTTGTCTAATTAAGCAACGATATCATGATGATCAATAATAGAAATCAATGTATTGTTTTATTTACACAGGCATACATAAAAGAACAAGAAAACAATAAAAAAATCACATGGAGATATATTAAAATAAATGTGCTTTTGTACCTGCATTTTCTCATTCAATTATTATTTGTATATTTTATGCGGTACAAACTACATTAAATCATGGAAAAATAAGTTTATCAATTTGGAATGAAGAACTTAGGAGGTCATATTGTATGAGAACTATAAGTGCATTTGTTAAATAAATCACAATGACAATCAAGTTAAGAATAGTTTGAATAATTCAAGTAAAGCTAGAGGAACTGTATTTGAGTTTTTTTAAGTTCCAAGCACTAGACTACTTCAATGCTAAGTCACGGTATAAGTTTTTAGGAAAAAAAAACACTAATAATGGAGCAACAGGTTTGTTTAATTATATTAAAGTCTATTGGAAGACACTTGGTTTGATACTTGGTAGCTCTAAAAGTTTGGTCTAGGTTTGATGAACCCTAACTTGTTAAACTAAGCTACAATGGAGCACAACTCATGATTTCTAGTTAATTACTAAACGTAGAGTCGGCTGACGTCATTATACTAGTTCCTTTCTAGAAATCATGTCTAGGATTCTATTTGGGTCCACTAATTCTTTGTTACGTACATACATAAAACTCGAGTATTTAAGCTCAGCAGTCGCAGGTGCTCAAATAAATGGAGCATAATCAACTCGAGATTGAGCTCTGGATGTATTTGTCCAAGGTCCATTGAGGACACTGTCAGACATTCAGTTCGAACAAAGAATGAAATAATAAATTAGGAATTATTAAACACATCGAAACCAGAACTTTCTCATTCGCTTTGGATACTCTTCCACAATATGCACCTAAATTATGAATTGAAAAAAATATATCATGTCATTTAATCAGTACATGCAATTGCCTGAAATATTCATAAGTCACATGAGGGAAAGCAAAACGGCATCTAGAATAAAGTGGAATCTTTAACTGCAAATAATGATAGGATAGGGGATAGAATACTCGACTATAGTTTGCCACGACCTATAAAACAATTCCCATGATTGACGTGCAAAAAATTGCTTTTCCATTACCATATCCCACAACACTGAAACACAAAAATAAATACTTTAGTTTGTTAAGCTATGACAGGCTCAGTTCAATTTCTTGATGTATCCAATAAAACAAAATTACCGATATAGGCGTTAAGGGTTAAACAATAAAATCTTATCTTATCATGTTAACATATCGAAGAAGTCACAAATTGATAGCTCGTTAAATATGTCATGTCATAGCTTTTCATGTTTATTAATGAAATTTAATTTACGATCTCAATCAATTTTTATGGTCGTGCAGGGGTCATTCACCTATGATGTGTTGAAATGAGGCTAGGTGGTGTGTTTTAATGGTGATCTTTGATATTTACTTATCTCGGTTTCTAGGGCTTACCGTGGCTACTGCTGGTGAATAGGATGTTTTAAATTACTTACGTTAGGGCAAGAGTCATGCTTTGAATCTAGATATGAGTGATAAAGGGGTCCATCACTTATGACGTCCATCAAAAAACCTGATTTTTAGACCCCCTTCCCCCCTCTGTCACAAATATTCTATAGAAAAATATTTCCATTGTTTGAACTGTCACAAAATCCTAGACCCCCTCCCCCCTTAAATGTAAAAGACAAAAGCTACCTAATGACAATGAGAAGCTGCTTAGACATAATTTACAAACAAACCCAATAGAATTTCAAGAACATTCTAGAATCAATGTTAATTAGAATATTGCATGAAAATGCCAAGTCATATTAATAGAAGTCACAATGTGCTTTTTTCCCAATATTACTCATGCAAGACATTGAAAAAATACAAACTTATTTCCATCCATTTCCATGTGTCATGTTCATAAGAAATGACGAAGAATTCATGTTCACCAAAAAAAAAGAGTTTCAATTCCCCAACATTCTCAAAAAACCGGCTTCCTGAAGCATGTTAAAAAAGCACTGGCTTAATTGACGTTTTACGTACCGGTTTTGAGTCATCGATGGAATGCTATAGGGGAAATTACATTCAAATGAAAGAGTCACAACACTTACAAATCGAGTCAGATTCGAGCCGCAGTGATCAAACACTTACACAACCACAGCTATTACAATCATTTATTCTCATCTAGAGAAGCAAAAAAGTATATTTAAAAATATAATAATAAGCTCTCTGCGCGTTCATTCTTTCAGTTTGTTGAATTCTGTTGATCAGTTCAGAGGCTTTTTTAAAAGCAGCAACAAGGTAAAGATCAAAATATTTTGCAGATTCTAAGTTGCTTCTTATTTTTTAATTTGTATCAAAACCATCAATGGTTATTGCTTAATTTTTTTAATTTAAAACTCTTGCCTTTTACAGTTGTTACATTTCTCAAATCAGTTCAAGTGCCTACATTAAAAAAAACTACAATAATGGATTTCTATTACATGCCAGGTAAGCCAGTTTGTGGATTGGAATGTGAAATTATTTTTAATTTTTCAATTAATCTCTTTTGCACAGGTTCTGCTCCATGCCGAGCTGTCCAAATGACTGCAGCAGCTGTCGGTGCTGACTTGAACCTTAAGTTCTTAAATTTGATGGCCGGTGAGCATATGAAGCCCGAATTCACTAAGGTAAGGTCTTTGAACTTTTGCAATTTTAATGACTGCATTTTTCATCATGACGCCTATACACGCCCTATGTAATTGACATATATCTATGTTCGTGCATCGTTATATCAATTTTGAAATGTGCTGTATTTTTTAATGCAGGAATGTCATACATAATTTTATTGCTGTATACACAAATATTTTGCAAGTCATTGGTATTCTAATAGATTAATAATGGGCATTTTGTTTTTTAACCTTGGCTTTTAGAACATTCAATATGTTTGTAGATGTAGCACAGAGATGATACAATCACTTCAATTATTTAAACTCAGTAGTTTTATTTCATTTCCTTTCTAAATTCATCTCTGCTTGAACATTTTAAAACGCCGGCAACAAAACAAACTTCTCATATCATGAGAGGAATTGTGTATATTTTTATTTTATATATTTTTGTATTTGCGATGAGAGCGCGTCGCATCTTCATAATACTCAATGGTATTAAGTGTGGAATTATGTGTTTTGACATGAGGCAGCGACACTCTACACTACTCTTAGAGTCAAGATCATTTCTGATGGCATTGCTAAAGTTTTTGGTGTATAGAAGGAGCTAATTACATAGTGCCATTAGTGCCTACAGTATATTTCTAATTATATTATTCGTTCTTTGAGTCAGTCATTTGGATGAGCATTAAGGATGTTGTCTTGATCTAGTTTATTAAGTAAGCCTTCTTGTAGTTACCAAAGTGAGCATTCCTTAGCATATTGAACTCTTGCGGCCTGTTTCACTAAAGTGGATTATCCTCGATTTCGGATTATCCACTTCAGTTTTTTGGAAATATCGCCAGACGCTTAAGGTTATTCAGAGATCTAATGTGTGATCTAGCAAGAGTACTTTGCTACTTAAATTAACATTTACTTAGAATTTTTATATCTTCACTAGTTTGAGAATTATAGCAAAAATTGAAGTTAATCTACTAGATTTGGCTAGGAAATTGAATAATTGATAGTTCTTAACGAAAAGTAAAAGTTTAAAGTATACAGAAATTTCAGGCATAGTTCACTCTATTATAATCCAAAATTAGAAATACCACACCTCCCATAAAGTTTAAGATATTTCCAAAAAACTGAAGTGGATAATCCGAAATCGAGGATAATCCACTTTAGTGAAACAGGCCGTTGGAGATTTGTTTAGTTGATTTCTAGTTAAAGTCGACGACTAATGATAGTAAAATGCGATTAGCTATCCATTTAAGTTAACAAGTCGACTTGAAGTCAACTAGCGCTAGTTTTTTTCAATGTCGTGAGCTTTATTCGATCTAGTTCCATCAACAACACCCTAAATAATAATTTATAGATAAACCTCTGTGGGTTCATTTAAGCTTTTAATATCGAAAAACTCAAAAAACGAAATCCATATTAAGAAATTTTAACGCTCTAAATTCCCCCGCCTCTGCATCAAATAAAGAAACAATTTTTCTGCAGTACCCTGTAACAACAAAACTCTCAAACGATTCTTCCTGCCTCACTCACGCATTAATGCTAAAAGAAATTCTTCTTTTCTCTTTGGGGCTGTTCACTTATTACGTAACGTGAAAAAATGACTTCTTAAACCCCCCCCCCCCCCCTCGTAACAAAATTTGTATGAAAAAAAAATTTCCTTGTTTGAATCGTAACAAAATCTTAGACCCCCCTTCCCCTAAAAGCGTTACGTAATAAGTGAATGGCCCCTTTTCGTTTCGATTTATTTCTTTCTTACTTCCACGAAACATGCTTTCTTAATTTTTATCGTTTTTCTTTTGCACTCTAATTCGTTAGTTTCAAGGCACATTAAAGCAGTAAAATGTATAATGTAGTAGTTCAAGTTCAGACTGCAGAATTTTATGTAAAAATTTTCCCCTTTCTTTTATGCTTCTTTTTAGATTAATCCACAACACGTCATTCCAACTCTTGTCGATGGAGACTTTGCATTGTGGGAATCTCGTGCAGTTTGCGTCTATTTGATTGAGAAATTCGGAAAGGAAGAACTTTTCCCAAAATGCCCAAAAGCTCGTGCTGTTATCAATCAACGCTTGTACTTTGATATGGGAACTTTGTACCAAAAGTTTGCTGACTATTACTACCCACAATTGTTTGCCAAAGCCCCAGCAGATCCAGAAAAATTCAAAGCTATGGAAACTGCCATGGGATTCTTCAATACATTCCTTGATGGAAGCAAATATGCTGCTGGTGATAGCCTTACTGTTGCTGATATCAGCTTGGTTGCTACAGTTTCTACCTACGATGCAGCTGGTTTTGATTTGACCAAATACCCAAATGTCAACAAATGGTTCCAATTGTGCAAATCAACAGTTCCTGGCTACGATATCAATCAAGCTGGTATTGATGAATTCAAGAAATTCTTCGATTAAATACTTTTCCAGTTCTCAACTTAATTTTTATTATTTTATTTTCATGCATTTTTTATATTTTGTGGAAAAAAATTTACTCATATTTTTATTTTGATAATAAATCACTATTTTGTCAAAAAGCTGAACTAATTTCTCTGACATTCATTCGTGTTTTCGTTTCAAGAACAATAGCTTCGAAATTTCCTTCAGAAAATTATTATTATTCATCATTTTAATGACCCAAATTCGTCTAATGAAGTACGAAAAACATGTTTTTGAAGGTTGATGTAGGAAATATCCTTGAAAGCATAAACTAAGGGATGGGGATCAACATTGTGAAAGGTCTGAGTTATTCAACCACAATGTGTATGCAAATATTTGGTTTGAATACATAGGACACACCTCATTGTAGAATTTTCACACCTTTCAATTGATTATTTCAATGGATTCTAAACCAAATATCCTGATCAGCCTTGAACTTTAAGACCAGTTTAGGGTAGATTTAAAATAAATGACACATTTTGAACCGATAATTTTTGGAGATGGATTTGGGGTCGTTCACTTATGACGTCTGAAAATAACGGTCATTTTTATAAAAGAACTATGGATTTCCAGGAATTTCTATTGTTCTTTTGTTGCACCCCCCTGGACTTCATAAGTGAACGGCCTCTTTTCAAAATTTTGATATAACTTATGGAGGGATCTTGTTGTTTTGACATTTTTTTCTAAAAGACTTAAGAAAATGGAAGAAAGCATGTGGAGGGAAAGCAGTCCCCAAAAATCAGTTCTGACATAAGCACTGTACTGCTTCGGTTATCATTTTTCCATGCTTTACAAGCAAATCCGTTACAATAAACAAGTTTTCAAAAACCACGTGGCGCTCTGCTAGAGAGTATGAAACTACGCTTTGTAAGAATTTCAAATTTTTCATAGCCGTTATGACAAGGAATATTGAAGATGGAAGAGGAGAAATCACAATGTTTTTTACTATTTGATTGTTTGCACAACAATAAATTATTATATATAAGAATAAAATATAAATTGCATGTCTTGGCGTATCGGGTTAGCTATGAAACGTTGTAAGCTTCTTTTAAAAATTAAAAATCAATAAATTTTAGAACGTTTTATAGAACTTGATTGTGGTAAAAATTAAAGCTCTATGAAGCAAACTGAAAACTTGTTAATAAAGCACAATAGTTTTAAAACTAAACTCCAGCCAAACATTAATAAGCATCAAAAATTAAAAGAGATTAAAAGCTCTTCATGAAAGTTAAATCATTTCAATTTACACTTCATTAAAATTTAAAACGATCAATTAAAATGCTTTTGTGCAATTTTACAATTCATTTGAATTTGTTTTCTATTTTTAACCAAACTTAACAGCATGAGATCGGAGAAGCATTATTCATTTGAATTCTATTAACTCATTTTTACTGTATTGTAAGACTTAAGTTATTAAATATGATTTATTGTTGTTGTATTTGCAGAAAATTAATTGTCTTGTGATCTCTTGGGTTCATAAAAGGGTTGTTCTAAAATTATGTCTATGTAGAATTTACTGTTTAAGACTTCAAGTTTAGTCACAATTTTTTGTCAAAACGTTGATAGAAGTGTCAAACAGACTTAAGAATCGGTTTCTAAGACTATCCGAGAACTAGAATTTGAAATTAATTTTAAACATTTTGAGATTTAATTTATATTTTCTCGAATTCTTAAAAGTAATCGTCATTTCTTTACAACCCACAATCACTTTAAGTATTAATTCTACAAAATCTCTCCATCTAACCAATTAAGTGATTTAATTGCTCTACTCAGAATAATTTTACAGCTCAAATTGCAGTCAAAAATTTATACATCATCTGGATTGGTTTCATTCAAAGAATTCCTTTTTAAAAACATGAACAATCTCATTTAACTAGTGTAAACAAAATGAACAATGAAGTTTCAAAGAATATTCGTTCGCCTACGCTTATCTGTTGATAGATGTGTACTCGCACATAATCCAGACTGAATGGCGCCTTTCATGATAAACGTGTCGTGTTCGGTAATTTGAGTTGAAAGTAAAAGTCTAGCGGTTTATTTACAAGAACAGTTGATTGGTCACAGCTGGGACTTTCTGTCGAATCCATAAAAACGCACAGAATTAAAATTTGAACGATGCATTAACATTTTTAATATAAAACTTTGTCATCCAAAAATAACATTAACAACAATAATAGTAAAAATAAATTTGTCCACTAAGTCCATACTGCATGTGACAGCATGCCTTCTTTAGATGCAGTTGGAGGGGTTAAATCTTCATCACATAGGAAGTCTAGAGGTAGATCGACTAAATATCCTTGAATACTCTTTAATTTTTCTGCAGCCTTTTCAGGATCGGCTTTAGAGAGAGCTGGTTCATCATTATACTTTTTAAGTGTTGCAATTGTTCGGACTGCATTATTTGGTATGCATTTAAAGACGTCATCAAAAATGTTTGAATTATCTTTAGATATTTTCTGCCAAGTTTCTTTAAAGAATGCATCAGATATAGGATCATTAATATCAATTTCATCTTCTTCACCATTTAGATGCTGTTCTAACAGCCCCAAATGTTCCCTAAATAAAAATCTTCTCAAGCTTCCAGCAAAATTGCCTGTTGGGAATGTTTCTCCATTCATTTTTCCATCATGAAAAGCTTCATCATTTACAATTATTGCCATTTCTGAGTCTCTCTTGCCCAACATTGATCGATCATTAATATTTGCAGAACCAACGATTACTGTTCTATCATCAACAATCATTAATTTAGAATGAACATAAATTAGTTCAGTTATTGGCACTTCATTTAATGTTGAATGATTTCTTAAACTATGGAAGCTGATGTAGTCTAATGGATTCTTTATACCGGCTTTCAAGAGTCTCTTGAATATGGAATTTTCAGCTCTACAAATAAAATAAAATAATAATTCATTTTACAGAATATTCAATTGACTCGTACCTGCATATCGATGCATAATTCCAATGTGTTATGATTCTTAATGCAATACCAGAATTTCCAGCAACATCCCCTATGGAAACGAATGAATGTAAAGCTCAGCATAAATATCCTAAATAAATCAATTTTTTATTGTATGTACCTTCAAATCCTGGCAATAATGGAAGCACAACATAAACACGAAATACTTTTTTCTCACGGTGAGCTCGCACAATTCGTTTGAATAAGCTCTCAGCTATCTGATTCTTTACAATTGTATCGGGGAAGCCCAAAGAAATGAAAAATTGATTCTCAATGTAAATGTAGTGTTGAGCGCGTGATATTGTTTCCACGTAAGCTTCATGTATGCTCTGTTCGAGATAATCATTTTCGATAAATCCTGTACTCCAATTTGATGCGCTACGAAGTACTTGGACTGTCACACGTTCAAGAGTCACTTTTGATTTATTCCAAAAATTTGCATCAACACGAATGTCATTGTAACTTTTTGGCATTAGGTATGGGTAGCTTAAATTTTCTCTAGCCTTTTCTAATTTAGATGCATTCCATCGCTCGATAAAGTGACGTGCAACATCACGTGCAGCAGCTCCTACAACAACACTTGATATATCATGCCAAGGCATACGAGGCATTTTATTTCGATCTACAAGATCTGTGAATGGCTGATTAAGTTCTGTGAAATCTTTGAATATGAAATTTGTGTAGTCTTTTCCAATCCACAACTTTGCTTGTCCATCAAGTTCGAAATAGGCTGGAGGGATTTCTTCAACGACTGACTCAACTTTTATCATCACTGGTGCTTCTACAACAGCGGTGCCACCACCATCTGTGTTCAATGTTAAGCGATTTATTAATTCCTTTCCCGTAATTTTTACATTCTCCTTAATCTTTTCCGTAATTCCTTTACGTTTCATTTCGGGTGTATCTCTTTTAGTATGCTCATCCAATTCTTCGTCGGTTTCGTTATCTTTTCTTACTGTCACTTTCCTCGTCTTTGTTGTCGTTATTGTAAGACTTTCTTGTGCTGTAACGCTTAGATTGTCATTATTAGACCTTGCCGTAGCAGTCGCTTGCAAAATCTCGGTTGATTGAACAATTAGAGAGCGTAAAGGATTTTCTATAGCTATATATGACTGTCGATTTGCTTGCTTTGCAGTAATGCTTATACTTCCCAAATCTTTCAATCTGTGTTTATGATCGTCCCATCTTCCATAAGCTAAATCAATTCCACCAACAAATGCATACGTTTGGTCAACAACAACGAGCTTTTCATGATGTGCCCAAAAAAATACTCCAACACGTACGTGATCTGGATGTCTTAAAACCTTAATGTTTTCATGTAATTGAACTAACCTTTGTTTGCTGTAGTAGCTATTTAATCCTAGTGCCATTTCAACCTCTTTATATAGTAGAATGAATATCTTCACGCCTTGTCTCTGCAAGAATATACGAAAGAAAATTAGGGGCCGTTCACTTATTACGTTCACATTTGAGGGGGGAGGGGGGGTTTGAAAAATTGTAGCAAAATGTAGGGGGGGGGGGGGGGGTGTCAAGAAGTATGGAACGTTTTTAATGATAAAATAAATTATGAACGTTCAGGGGGGGGGGGGGGGGGGGGGTGTGAGTTGTAACATATTGTAACAAGGCGGGAGGGGGGGGGGGGTGAAAAAAAGTCGTTTTTTTGCGTAACGTAATAAGTGAACGGCCCCTTAATGATTAACTAGTTCCCGGAAATTAAATATTGTATAATCAAAATTTGTCGTACTTTGCATAATAAGAAACAGTGTCAATTTAAAGTGTTTGCTTAGTTCAATTAACTTATATGAACTTGCTGTTTTTTTGTCAAAACTATTTTTAAACTGCGGTTAATTGAAATATTACGAAATGTGTTTGTTTGTTTTGTTAATTTACCATAGAACCTTCCAAAATTAAAACTAATTGTAAGGTTTTGAAATTTAAATTTTAATTAAACTTTAAAATCTATTCGCACTTGAAAATTACACTTAAAAATAATTCAAGATAAGGGGCAGTTCACTTATTACGTTATGCAAAAAATCGACTTTTTTCACACCCCCCCTCCTCCCCTTGTTACAAAATGTTACAACTCACAACCTCACAACCCCCCCCCCCCCCCCCCCCCCCCCTGAACGTTCATAATTCAAATTTTTTTCCTGAACTTTTTTTTAAAAGTCAGACGTTACATACTTCTTGACACCCCCCCTATGTTACATTTTGTTACAATCTTTCAACCCCCCCCTAAAATGCGAACGTAATAAGTGAACTGAATGACTCACTGCCTAGTATCACTTTTCATAGATAGCGATGAATGATAAAAAAAATTAAAATCCAACAAGATATCATGTGAAAAAAATTCTGAAGATAGTCATCAACTTACCGCTTTTCGTAGCAAAACTTTATCCAAACGCCAATATTCACCATCGAGTGTTGGACGCTTCATGTATATTTCAGGACTCAACCACCAATCAGCAATGAAAATTTCTTCTAATGCACCTTCTAAAGCATCGGCTACCGCACTCATGTGGTTTGCACCATCCACAAACCATGAAGCTAACGTGGATGTTCGTACAGGTGCGAATGAATTGTGTGGATTTGGTGAGGTAAAATCTCGTGCTGTTGTATTTGCGATTTGCTTCAAATAGTTATTCCAATCCTTTGCTATTTTTTTCGATGAATATTTTATGACCATGTAACGTGAATTTGTCAATATTTGAAGACCGCTTCTTAATCCCGTACTGTACATTCCCAACGATGTTTCAAAACCTTGATCAAAAAGAATGACACTCCGAACAATACCGTCTTTCGGACGAATCAATCCAAAACAGGTTTCCTTTACAAATAGCCATCGCTGTTGCCATTGTGAACAGCAGCTCTCGGAACAAAAGTAATTGCATCTAATACAGCATCCCAATGAAAAGCATCCAAGTAAATTGCACTTTTTATGTCCCGGATTTGTGCTGCCAGTTCTTTTCTTTATCAACAATTCACGTCCTTTCTCGCCAAGTGCCGCAATGAATGAGAAATTTGATACTTGAAGGAAATTGATAGTATCGTGGTGATTCCGATACAATGTGATGTTGAGTAGATTGTAAAGGTAATTCTCTAATTGCTTTATTCTTGCTGGAATTTGATCGACAGATAGAAGTGTGTCCGGACGTTTAGGAAACCTTGGCAATGAACCTTTTTTTCTCTTCTTCTTTTGCTTCTTCTTGTTTGCATTCATTGTATCATTTGACGCGTCATCTACTATATTAGAATTGTTGATCGTTGATATAGAAATTTTGTGATTATTTCTAAAGCTACTTCGAATCTCTCGATGTGTGCGTGACGGCAGAGGAAAATTCAAGGACGTCCGAAACATTCGTAGTGAGTTGTGCAAATTAACGAAATCTTTATAGCGTTTCTTAATTGTCCAAATGAAACTGCCATGCTGCAATTGAATTGTGTATAGAATTGGATTTAATAAATGCGTTGTCATTGACCGTTCGAAATTGGTTATCGAGACATGAATTTGTGTCCCAGGAATGAATATTTTTCTATCGAATGAATTGAACTTTATAGGTACACTGTAGATGTAATTATATGGCAGTTCCCTTGGTGGCTTAATATATGTTTTTGTTGTATCAACTTCATCATCTGAACTTGAACTGTCATTAGCATGATCACCATTTGAGACAATTTGTTTCTTATTTTGCTTCTTAACCAAAACTGGATTTTGTCCGACTGTCACAATTGAAAAATTATCTTCTGGAAATGCCAATGCCTCATCATATTCTGAATCTGGCGAGAGTGTTGCATCGGTGAGATCTAAAAATTCATTTGATGTTGCGCCATAGTTATTCAACTCTGTATTTGAATGTTCCATTCCGTAATTCACGACTCCACCTTCCAAACTTGCTGAGTTTTCTGCTTCGCGTATCTTATCTAAAATGAATTTTTTTTTTTATATTCGATTGACGTAAGTGAAGATGAAGCCAGAGTTTGAACTTTGCAATATAAAATTAATATAAATTCTTTACAAGTCTGAATATTTTAGATATTACTTTATATCCACCAAAAAAAAGCCAATTTGCTTTTCTATTTCGCGACTTAAACGTTCAACAGAAAGTAAAAAACTGAGCGAATAAATAAATTCCACACAAGCACTCAAAAAATAAAAAAAAAATCTTGAATTGTTCAATCGGGCATGTGTTGTGTGCTTATGTTATGATACTTAACTTCTCAGTTTGCTCTCTCAGAAAAAAATTTATTGAATATGTAAGTTTTCACATTGAGTGTAGCGAAATAGAAAAAGAAATAATAGTATTTAACTTCTATACATGTATGAATATTACAATCTCATATCATTGGCAGTGAAACAATAACAAAACATTCAAGCTTTACATGCTGCTTTGATGTTTTCGACATGTGATGATTGAAAGTTAACAGCAGTATGTCTGAGTTATTTATATAATAGAAATATCACCAAAAGCGGGTGATTAAAGCATGGCTTTACCTTGAAAACTTATGCAATCTTTCAAAAAATTGTTTTTTTTTTGTGGAAAATGATGACGAGTTGAAATTGGATTGCTTTGACATTGCTGCATGATAATTGGGATTTATGATTTTTGAATGAAATTTGTCAAATTTAGAGCTAGATTGTGTCAGGTCAGAACTGATTTTATCAGTATATAGAATATGAGCATCTGACAGGATAAAATTGTAAAGAATTATTGCAGCCTACCTTGAATAAGCATAAAATTCACAACAATAAATCAGAGAGAATTTGTATCTTATCACTTCCTAGAATTTCGCATTTATCATTTATGCACGCCATTATCACAATGCAAGCATGTCAATTTATTGTATTACATCACATTCAATACTCAATAATACTCTTGATAATCGCTTGAGGAAATTTACATTATCATTATTTGCAGAACATGAAATAAATGCCCCAATAAGTTACACAACCGATCACACCATACAATTGTTTAATCCACGCATATAACTCATTAAAATATTGAACTTTACTGTTATCAATTATTACATTATTATTGCATATCTTGTGATGTATCCAGAAAGAACAACAAAAGTTCATCATCCGTTTAATTATAGCTTTTTCATCCGTAGCTGAACTTTCATAATTCAATTGACTCGAAAAAAACTTTTTTTTTATTGCCACTGAATTGTGAAATATTTCATTTTTATCAGTTTTTAAAATAATATGATTTACTAGCTTAATTTGGTTTTAAATTAATCTCGTTAAAAGAGAAAGAATTTTCATGGAAAATAAAGAATTGGATAAAGTTGATTGAGGGATAATAAAAGGGGCAATTTTAAAATTAGTGAAAATTAAATTAATTTAAGGTTATTTTCGTGAGAGATTTTGATAATGTGGTTAGGGGCCGTTCTTTTATGACATCCAGCGTGGTCGGGGGGGGGGGGGGGCAGCAAGAAAAGAACAATAGAAATTCCTGAAAAACCATTGTTCTTTTTTAAAAAATGTCCGTTAATTTCCGACGTCATTAGTGAAGGACTCCTTAAGGGATCAACCTTAAAGGTTGATAGGATGTCGAGGGGAACCAATATGGTGGAAAGCTTTCGATAAATTAAACACGATTGGAAACTCAATATTTCCCGCCAAAATATTGATATCAAATCGGCAAATATGAGACAAATTTCTCATCAAAACTATTATTCATCATGTTTAGTTCCTCCTTGTAGGATTTAAAATTTACTGTTGATTTATAATGTCCTATAAGTTGGTAGATTTCAATTTTGGACCCAAGTCAATGTGAGAGGGTTCCAGCCTGGCGGTGTGTTACTACACGTTGCGATGAGCTGAAGGCACTGCGATCCTAATCGATGATAGAATCTATTGTACCGTTCGTCATTGGACCCAAGTCAGTGAAGCTATCATTTTTTTCTTAATTAACATGATCACGAATCGAAATCAAGACCTTATAGATCTAATACTTACTCTCTACCACTTAGGATGTTGAATCTATTTGACCAATCAGCATTACAATTAACAATCTTCAAACATTATCAACACTGACCTAGCCCTTCAGTTTCTTATTATCTGCTTTACATGCATCCACAGTAAATACTCCTAAAGTCAACCTAATCTATCAACATAAAATGTCTACTAGATAATTAACATTAAAAACAACATTGATAATTGCCTCTATATAAAAATCTAGTAAATCAAACAAAAACTAATCTAAATTATCTCAACTATAGCACTTAACAAGACAGTTGTTTGAACTTAAAATTTATGATTGCCGCATTTTCAGAAGAAATTAAAGTTTTTTTTTTTTTAATTTTTTTGTGATAATTTTTATCAACACTCAAAATTTAAGTGGTGAGCCACTCATATGATTATGTCAATTCATAAACCACATGATTGGCAATTCTATTAATACATCGTGTTAACATTTTTTTTTGCCAAAAGCAGTTTCAATTGCAATTTAATTTTTAATAAATGAATTTTCAATTAGCGTGATTGGATGTGATTGATTGGCTTTAGGGCTTGGCTGCACGCTTTAATAGAGTTATGATAAAAGATAGTAAATTACCGGAAAAATTAATAAAGCGAGATGATCTGCTAGAGTTTAAATGATTTCATCATGTGTGATTTTTCAGTAAAATTTGTTCTATCAGAAAAAGCTTGAATGATTATTTTTCTAAAATTCATCACGTTGTATTAAGTTTTACATTATTTCTGATATTATAAGGATCATGATTTCTTTTAATTTCAAAACTCAATAGGAATATATTAACATAGAATGAAATATCTTGAATTTCAGTCGATCTAAGAGTGCTTAGAAAATAAGTTCGACAAGTTAAAAGTCAATCGGAAATATTCAGTGAAAGTGAAGATTAAAATAAGTTTGCAGTTTGTAAATTAATTCAGCAAGTCATCTAAACAGAGTGAGTTCTTAAGCATTTAATACATTTCAACTAAGGATTCTATTTTTTATAATTTTAAATCACTTCCTTTGTTCAAAATCAAAATAGTACCGAATTAAGTATGATTATTTAACTTTAAGAGCATTTAAAGGTCCGCATCCTCTTAAGATTATCAATACCAAACTTAAATATCTAAGAATGCATTTTTGAAAACTCCTAAAACTAATCCGAAAAGCTTATTCAGCATAAAAAATTCTTGACGTAAAGTTTAAAATAACACTAAACCTAATTTCTCATATTATGCATGCATCATCATCATAATAAGCACAAATCATTCACAATCACATGCATAACTCATCAAAAATATAAAGAACAAAATGTTCTGACTCATTAAATTATTTTATAATTGTTCATGACCTTCACAAACCAGCACTAAAGCAATGCAGCATAATAAATTAAGTCATGACGTTCTGTAAATATTCAACGTCATACTCAAAACACAGCGGCATGTCTTAACTGTAGATAAAAAATTTTACAACTCAAAAAAGTATCGTAAAAGAACTGACGAAATTGCAGTTCATTGAGCAGTGAAATAAACAAAAATAGGAATCAGCTGGTGTCTTATTTTATCACGACATTCTCACTTGTACAAAAAGACTTAGGAAAGGAAATAAAATTTACACTCATATTTCAGTTCCAACTGACACACAGCACATGAATAAACGTCACATTGTAAAGAGAAATATCCCAGAAAAATTCATGTTATGCTCATTCTTTTTTTTTGTGTATTTCACTGATAACAAAAAATAATTTTCAACGTCACAGTCAAGGAAGAAGAAGCGAAACTTTTTTTTCATACTTCCACAATAACTTTTTTTTTTATTTCAACTTCACCGTCACAATTGCAATTTTAAGAAAAAATTAATTTTTTTACCCATTTCTTCCACCATTTGTGATATCGAGCGACTATGCTTGCGAAATTGCAACTTTAATTCACTTCGTTTCATGATTAAATGTGGAAATTGTGCATTAAAATGATATACAATAATTAATTTGACACAATAATTCACACCTGTCGACGACGATGAGTTTTTTAATACTGAAATAATTATTTTGGATTTGCTAATGTATGGGAATGTTCTTATCAGCCCCTATTACTACCACGAGTGAAATAAAGTTATTTTTTTATACATATGTTAAGCACATGGTGTGCTATTTTTTTTGATATTGATTCGTGAATTTATTCTTTATCATTAGACAACCTTAAGAAAATACGTGTATACGGATATAAAAATTTCAAGTTCTATTATTTTCACTGTTTATACATTTTGTTGATAAGATTAACATTTCGCAGAATTTTTAAGTATTTTTGTGATAATGAAAATTTCTATTAAGGTTTTTAGACTTCGTGTGGGTAGTTAGAGTCGATAATCCATGGGTTTAATTTGAGATTATGGTCAGGTAAATGAAATTTCGTCAACATATTGTATAATATTCATTTTACTAAGTTTAAGTGAGGTTGAACTTGCTTTTATCGACATTAGTAGATCCTGGGATATCAAATCATCTTTTAGTGTAGATTAGAAATTGTTCTGATCAAGATATACAGTTAAAATAATTAAAATAAATGCTCACATCTTGAATAATAACCTTTGGGAATTTTTAAGAACCAGATGTCAGTCATAAACTTAAATATCAAACAATACCAACATCCAGTCATCAACAGAAGCCAAATAAACAAATCTCGCAACAATTCTTCCAGTGGATATTTAATGAAGGAAGCAAAACTTTGTTGCTACATGCTCAATGCTTAGTTGTTAAGGTTTCCGATAAATTATAATTCTTTGACTGCAAATGACTCCGAGAGGAAATCCTCTTATTCAATTATTAATTATTTTCTTTTAATTTAATACTTGCTCACAGAAACTTTTTTTATGTTTTCATCTCCAAGTTACTAAGGATTGAATTTCTTCCTTTATATAATTAGACATGATACTTTATTCTCATGTTTTCATGCATTTTGCAACTCATGCATCGACTTATGATCACTATGGATACATACATACATTGAAACCTTATCACAACTAATTAGTTTTCATTATTATGCACAATACCTGTTTAATTAGATTTGATTCTGATTATTTTTGCACTAATTACGAAATTCAGCAATCCTATTAATTTACACTGTACTCATTATCATAAAATTTTTGCATTATGATTTCTATTATTGAATCAATTGAGGATTTGAAGCCATATGGAATTTAACATTGTAATGGGAAACTTTGAGAGATGAGTGATTCTTTAAAGATAAAGCAGAGTACTGCTGAAAATTGCATTTTCGATAGATCTTAAAGGTAATGTCCTTTATAGCTCGTACTAAGGCTGTTGTTTGGTCCAAGTTATCTGTCTCTTATTACGGAGCAGCAAATATTATATCAAGCTATTAATCACACCCTTCAATTCGACCTTGATAGATACAATTGGCCTAAAAATTAACAACGACTCAAAAACTCAATAAATCGAGTCCTCTTTATCTTCATTCTATTTTATAATGGGCAAGATCAGAAAAAAAGGGAAAAAATCTTCAAATGCTGATTTCTCTGCTACCAAGCATCCAATTTGTATGATTTTTTCACAGGTCGAAAGCAAATTTCAGAAAGTTTAACTTTTAATTTCATTTTTAAAAATGGCGGATTAATAAGTTAGCTTAATTAACAAATTCACATTTGAAATTGATTTTTCTTCAAGAAAAAAGCAAGCTAAATGTTCAAGTCCTTGACAAAAGTTATGATATTTTCTTTCATAACAACAGACTAAAGCTTAATAAAAATCAATAGATTTAGTTATTTTAACAAAAAATCAACTTGTTGAAATTTCCTTTTTCAGCAAAAATACTACCTCTAGTTGACCGAATACAATTTTTAAATAATTAAAAAGTCATTGTGTATTGTAATTGTATGTTGAAAATGCTTAAAATCGAGTTAAATTAACTTAAAAACATTGTAATTTCAATCGAGCAACATGTTTTGCTCTGTGTTTGCTCATGATTTCACACAAAATTTGAATTTTTGCAAAGCCGTTACAAATATTTTGGTTAAATTATATAAACTTTTATGATTTTCTTGACTTTTCATAAAGATTTTTAAGTTTTTCTTTTGCAAAAATATGCATCTAATGTATTGTTATAGTTTCAAATTGAGAGATCATTAAAATAATAAAACAGTAATGGTTTAATAGAAGTTTTCTTAAGCTCACTGTAACTTTGTTAATTAAAGTAGAACTTAAAATTTTCTTTTATAAACTTAAAGACAGTCATATTTGCTAGCTTTTTTGTAATGAAAGCTATTTATTAAGATGTTTCCTTGATATAGAAATTTTGACCTAAACATTTAAAACATTAATTAAGCTAACTTGAAATACTGCCATTTTAATAATTTTATGCAAGTAATTCACTATTCTGATCATTCAATTACTCAGTGAAATAATTTCTAAGATTCGTGAATCAGTTGCAGAGATATTGAATTAGCAACATGGTGTAAAATCGAATTTCCTCAAAATTGTTCGTGACGCTTAGCACTTTAAATTAATTTTTAATTATAATACAATGTCTAAGAGATACTTGTTATACACCAAAATATAGGTCTTGGCAAGGACTTTAAGAAAAACACAAGTCTTAAATACATATTTCGCATTATTGATTCAAAAATTGTAAATTATTGCTTAGCGTCACGAACAATTCATTTTTGATCTTGCCCTAATCTTTTAACTCAGTTTAACTTATCAACTTTATTGTGAACGTGCTGTGCATTTAATTATAGAACACTACAATGACTATAAAATACAACAATTTTTCATTGTAGATGACTTTTCTTGTTTTTATACAGCAATATGTAATACATTAATTATTCGTTGTATGGAAGTCTTAATTTGTTGACAAAATGACTCATTTTATAGCCAAAATAAACAATTTCTTATCTGAAAAGTTGTTTAAATGTGTTTGGTACAGGAACAAAAGGTTATTTAAATGCTAAACCAATGCTAGTCAATTCACTTCATTTATAATGGAAAGTAATAAAATTAAATAACTAATCGAATTCACCAAATAAAGTATTCAACATATTCTGGGTTCAATCGATCAATCTCTCAAGTACTATCACTTTTTAGCAAACATAAATCAATCAATTTAAGACAGCACTGGAATGAGAGCAATAAGATTGGGAGAAATGACTTTATATGCTCTTGATTGCACAAAAATGAAACATTTAAAGTTGATATTATTTTGCAGGGATTTAGTTTTGATGGCAATTAACATGTATTTTGATGATTCTCAATGTTCTCGACTGAATTTGATTGTTAACTTGCCAATTCTAAATTTAATTTTGTTTATTTTTCATAGTTTTAAAATAACAGCTTCTTAAAATTCAAACTTTCTAGTAAAAATCCGTTAAAATTTTCAATATACATTTAAAAATCAAATTTCCGTTATTTTAGAACTTTTTGACACTTGAATTAAGCATAAAATAGCCCATGGCACAGCTCTCTCCTCCTACTCATCCTCCCTCTCAAAAATCGGTTCGACTATTTCACAAAATACTCAAACCAAGTATTCTTCACAGATGATTGATGATGCATTTTGTGTTAAAATTGTTGGAAGATGCTCATTGAAATATTAACGAGAGCTATAACTTCTACAGAAAATGCTCCATACATCATATCACACTTTATGTTTTTATGCTGAAAGTTTCCTGAAAAATGAATCATATTTCCCTCATTTTTCAGCATAACAAAAATCAGAGCCCATCAAAAGCACAGACAGAGTGTAGTGGTATTAATTTATTGGACATGCGAAGAGTGTTAAAAAATTTATGTTTGCAATTTTGGATGGAGTTGGATGTGGTTGTGGAATTTCGGCAGTTTGTCATTATTTACTTCTTTCGATTACTGGATGGATTGATTGTTGTCCATAGATTTACTTACCTGTACCTAGGGTTTGGGGAAACTGTTAACAGAAAACAGAAAAACAGCTGTTTTTCGACAAAAATTTGGTAACAGAAAACAAGTCTCAAAACAGATCTGTTTTCTGTTTTTCATTTTTAAAATATAATTTACAGAAAAAATTTTTCTTTATTTTTTGAAGAACTTAATATAGTTTTCTAGAATTCCAAATTGAAATGTATTTACTATTTTAAATTTTTTTGGATGTGTAATAGGTTTGAAATCATTATCAAATTTATGGTTAATCATTATTAATTTTGCAATCGAAATTTTAAATTTGTTGAACCTTTTGTAGCATTTACTAAAGTTCAAAAATATAATCAACAATTTTGCAAGATATTTTTTTATTCAGAAATATTTTTTGAATATTTCAAATAAAATAATATAGCTTATGGAACTTTTACAATGCAACAATGCAATGTTACTTAAAAGTATAATTTTTTTTTTGATTTTTTTTGCATTTTTATATTTCATTATATTTTATAGAGTTAATTAACGAAAAATTAAAAAATGATAATGCTTAGCTCTATAATGTAAGCTTAACTGCTTATAACCACCAAAAAGTTTCATTATCTTAGAGAAACACTTAGGATAACTCAGTTTATTTTGAATTTTAGAAAAACAGGAAAACAGCTGTTTTTAAAAATCAAAAACCAAAAACAGACTGTTTTTCAAAAACAGCTGTTTTCCACAAACCCTACCTGTACCTTAATTTAAACATATAGCTACCCTGTTTTTTTTGTTATAAGCTACTCCTCGTTACTAAGCTACTAGCTTAGTAAAGTTTTTTTGAACTTGAAATTTTTTTGTAATCTTTACTAAGCTACTACCAAAAATAAAGTATAATTAACTTTTTTCAACTTTCTAAGTATCAGTTTCAATGCCTTATGACATTGTCAATGAAATAAAATCGAGAAGATAGCAAAATGTCTTTAATTAAGTTAAAAAATTCAAAATTTTCATTGAAGTTCAATTTCTTTACTAAGCTACTACTCGTTACTAAGCTACTAGTGAACCAAAAAAAATCACTTTTTTATTCTTCTAAGCTACTTGCTTATAACGAAAAAACAGGGTAGGTAGGCACCACAATGTACTATTTTATGGACAGCAATTCAGTCGTTTGCCACATGATCATCTAAAGACTGATTTAATTGAATTTCCTCTTCTTTT